GAGGCCAGAGGTCTCCCACCTCTGGATTAGCGTCTCATAATTCTCATAGTACTCCCACAAGACATGGAAGAATAGTTGACGCAAGTCCTAGAAAGCTCTTAATCTGGATCCAATCCATCAGTGCTCTAATTTAGTTTTACTTGGTCATAATTTTTCCAGTTGATTTCAATGGAACCCAAATTCAACTGACTTAATTTGGATCCAGCCTCTCACTTTTCACTTTTCCCTGTGAAACATGGAACACCAAGATGAACTTTTTGGCTATAGGTATTCAAATTTGCCTCATAAAGGTAGAAGAGGCAGCTTGATAGTAGCAGCTAAAATGTAGTCTGAAAATGTCTCAAAGGGTGTGGGTCTTTCCCACTGCACACACATTTTTACATGGCATTTAGGAATCTATTTATGATTGCACAGTGCAAGCTAGTAAATATATAGGATACCGGAATTGCCTTGGTTATTGTCCATTTGCATTTGAAACTTCAGTGATTTACTGGTAATGTGGTGGGAGCTTTGGATTTGTGCACGCTTCAGCAGCCACTCAAAATGAGCAAATTGTCATAGTGAGACGTGGAACTGGGCATTTCTCAAAATGCCACCAACTCGTCTGACAGGTTTTTGTGAATTGGCCCATAAAAATGACAAACTTCACTGTGCAAAGAAGTATTTACTTACGGAATATTTTTTAAAGAACCCCATAGCTTAACAATTGCTAGACTAGTATTTTTAGTCAATTATACTGTATTTAAAGGTAAAGGGACCCCTGACCATTAGGTCCAGTTGTGGTTGACTCTGGGGTTGCGGCACTCATCTCACTTTACTGGCCGATGAAGCCGGCGTACAGCTTCCGGGTCATGCGGCCAGCATGACTAAGCTGCTTCTGGTGAACCAGAGCAGCGCACGGAAACGGCGTTTACCTTCCTGCCAGAGCGGTACCTATTTATCTACTTGCACTTTGACGTGCTTTTGAACTGCTAGGTTGGCAGGAGCAGGGACACAACAACGGGAGCTCACCGGTCGCGGGGATTCGAACCGCCGACCTTCTGATCGGCAAGTCCTAGGCTCTCTGGTTTAACCCACAGAGCCACCCGCACCCCTTAATACTGTATTTACCAATTAGTAAATAAAACAGATATAGGGTTGTATCCAATGCAGACTCGGTGGAAATAGAACAGACTTCTGCAGTGGGACTTCACCTTCTTTTTCCTTTCAGCTCAAAACCTGCGCCTGAGGATTGGCGGCTATAGCAGATTTTGGAGGTGTGCAGAGGTCGGCAGTGTAGAGAAAAGGAAGGTAAAGTTCCATTGCACAAATTTAAGTCCATTTTACTTATTAATACTTGTACTGATGACGTTGGATTGCTTCTAACTATTTTTACCATATGTCACCTGGGCATTAACATATGGCAGCTAAAAATATAATAAAGATTAAGTAAACAATTTTTCTGTAAGTAAACTCAATGCAAGAGTACAGTAGTGAGCCAGTGACATGAATTGAATCACACCCATTGCTAATATTGGTATTTATCACAAAATTAACCTTTGAAATGGGTGATTTTACAAAAGGCTCTTTTAAATTTGTACATTTTCGTGCAACCCAGAAAGCACAATTTTGACATTTTGGTTTTGTAAACCTGTACATTTTAATTGCTGCATCATAGAAAGGGTGCCACGTTGCTTCACATCTCCTGCCCCCCTCGTCCCAATTTGAACTTTGCTGTTGTTCCTGTATCGTGTTACACCAGTCAAACAGGTGTAACTAGCAGGTAGGTTCCAGTAAAAGATCTGAGTTGTAGTACTAGAAACCAATTAATACAGGAACTGTACCCATTAAATAGGTACAACCAGAAAGTAGTGTTCTTGTCCTTTTATAATGTTTCTGAGGGTTGTGAAGGTCATATGATTTACCCGTGCTTTTTGCAACACAGGGGGAACTGCCTCACCCACACCCTGGATGCCCCATCATATGGGGTAATATATGGCATCATTATGCTTCCAGATGAACTCCCACGTGAAATCTTGAAAACCCAATAGCAACTTGTGCTCCTTCCGCATGAACGCTTGTCACTAAGACATTATATCATCAAAAAACTCATCCAATTTGACTTACATAAACTTGCCAGTAATCTGGGATTGTACCTGTCTCCAATAAATTAAGTAGAGGTGCATTAGAGAACTGGTAGGTCTTATGCCAGGGCACATCATTATCATATCTAAAAATCTGTATTGTACAATTTTTGAAAGCAGGATTTAATGTTCCACCATTTTAGTGGTGATGGGGGAATTTCACTGCCTTTCAAAACCCTTCTGTTGACATCTACTTTTCTAAATCTGTTTTTTAAAAAAAAATAAAAAATAAAGGATCGTTCAGTGATTCCCCTACCTGAGTGATAAAGGTCTAGGAATGGTTTTATCATGTGATCTGCTTTGTGAGGCTTAGGAAACAATGCCAAGTGTGGACTATATGAAGAAGCTATAAAGATAGGACTCATAGACTCCGTTGCCAGCAGCCCACTCCCACTGAGCTGAATTGAACAAGTGTAAATGTGCTCCAGAAACCGTGCATTGTTGTCCGCTATGTATCTCTCCCCACCCACCTTGGGTATCAAGCAAAGGTTTATCAAGCCTCTGGTGGGTTTCCATTCGTAGCTGTAGGTTGTGTTCTAATTAGTGTATCACATTGTGTGTGCGCTTGTGCCAGAATGCCAATTGGTCTAGTCCAGTACTACAGATTTAAAGAGGTTTAAAGACTGTCTCAAGCCAAATCTTTAAAAATGTAGTATAAACACTGGCAACTGGGAAGCACTGGCCTGCGAGCGCTCCAATTAGAGAACAGCCTTTACCAAAGGTGTCATGGGCTTTGAAGATTCTTGAACTCAGGACGAAAGGGAGAAACTAGCTAAGAGGAAGGCACCTTTGGCAAACCCTTACCATGATCAACTCCCTATGTCCCCACTGCAGAAGGATGTGTGGATCCAGAATTCACCTCCACAGTCACTTACGGACTCACTGTTAAGACCGTGTTCATGGAAGACAATCTTACTTGGCTACGAGTGATCACCAAAGAAGACTGCAGATATGAAGTCTGCCATGGATCCTGGGCCCAACTTTGTAGAGTCTCAGAGAGGGATGGGGAAAACTGTGGTCCTCCAGATGCTGTGGAACTTGACTCCTGTGAGTCTGAGCCAGCACGGACAATTCTTAGGGATGGTGGAAGTCATAATGTAGCAACAGCTGGCAGATGACAGGTTCTCTGTGCCAGATCTAAGCAAATCTTCCCAGATTTGGTCTCAGAGAATCTCAGTAGGAAAAGTTTATAATAGAAAGCGTGTGCTCTCTGACACATCAATTTTAGCACGTCATACTGGTATTAAATTGAGAAGGTGCAAAATGCAACTTTATTTGAAACACGGAATTAAAAATGCATTAAAACTCACCCGCCTTTCTCTTACTGAGCGTTTACCTACCCATGTTTATCAGAGGTTGTAAACCTCATTGTAAACTTCCTCATTGCTTTGGTACGAAGCAGGTGATAATGCTTTTGCTTGCTGAAAGCTCAGGAGGAGGATATACTACTGGGAGTCCAGAAGGAATTGGATTTTAATTTGGAGGCACACCAGATCATTAAAATGGCTCCTGTGCCCTTTAACACATTTATTAAATCATTACTGAAATATATCACAGAGTGATAGAGCTTGTGATCAGTACATTTCAGAAGTTACATGGAGGCTTCTCTTTCCCCTTCTTGCGTAGGCTTACAAATATAGACCAGCCACATTGCTTCAGCAAACACATTATTTCCTTAATGTGTATGTTTGTTGATTAATAGTTATGCAGGAATGAAGAGGTTTGCAGAAGTGAATTGGCAGGCAGGATGAACTCAACCCCTTCCCTACCCACTGATTATCTTAATGCAATACCTCTCACACTTTTCCCCTAGTTGGGCCTATGTCTGGTCTCTGAACATGCTGTACCACTGAACTACAACCCTCACCATGGTTGGACTAAATACTCGTGCTCACTGGTCTTTCCCTTGCAATGAACCTCTCTGAATTATGGGAAACTGTATTTCCCCTGGAATGTGTGGTTTTTCTCTGTGTCTTCTGTTTATCCTACTTCCCACCTGGATTACAGGGGGCAATATCTAAATTTGCATGCGGTGGCGGTGGAATATAGAAGGAAAAATATACTTTTTCTAGGGATTATAAGGAAACAGCTGTAGAACTGCCCCCTCACCATTTTTGTCCCTGTGGAGTTTGGCAATGAAATGATTAATTTTGCAAAAGGCAGCTCCACCCTGTCCAGCCAAGGTTAATAGAGATTAAGTGCTTTGGAAGTTTAAGTTAATTGTGACGTGTTCTTCTGGTTTCAATGGGACCTCGGCTTTATCTGAACTGTAGTCAGGAAGTTTCTGGGCCGTGCATGACGAAAGAGCGGTGGGATGAGATAAGGTACGTCAGACAAAGCATATTTCTTTACGGGTAAATTACATTGAAATAAATTGGACTCACTTCAGAGTGAAGCTAGTTGCAGCTTTTAAGTCCTTCTGGTCCAAGGAACTTAAATTGCAAAAAGATCCCATTCCATGGGTTTTAAGTATTCCTTAGCTACGGCTGGCTTTTGCTGGGCTTGTGCCCCATATCTATCAGGAGCATTTTGAAGCTGACATCTTCAAAAAGAAAAAGGTGCCAAATTTAAAGCGCATCCATTTTTTTATGATGCGCTCAGAGTGTGATCTCCATTTTTCCCTGGTCTGTCCTCTCAAACTCAAACTGGCAATGGGAAAGAGTCTTCTTTTGCCTGGTGCAGCTTGAGTTTTCCCTACAAGGGGAAAAGGATATTCTGAATTGCTGGCCTCAATTCAAGTTTAGACTCTAGCCTGAACGAAAATGGGTAAACTTTTGTGTGAAAAGAAAAGGAAAAGAAAGTGTAGCTAACACACAACCCCTTGTCTTTTCTAGGTGTTCGTTATCAAGGACCGCTTTTAGCTTCATCTGAATAGCCATGGCAGAAGGTGGATTTGATCCCTGCGAGTGTATCTGCTCCCATGAACATGCCATGAGGAGGCTGATCAATCTGGTGAGAGACATTTGCCTTTACGTTCCTTTCTTTCAAAACAAATTTCAGCCAATTGCATAGCTACTGCTGAATAGCCTTCTTGAGCGGTTGGTTGCTCGTGCAGTCTTTCAAAGTGCATGCCAATCTCATAATTTTTTCTTAGAGCAATCTTTCCACAAGTCCTTCAAGGGGCTACATCTATTATCCATAGGATGGACAGGTAGATACACTGTTAGGTGATAGGGAAACCTTCCAGCTGAACATTGTCGATTTCACTTGTGCTGTCAAAAACAAGGGTGAGTCCTTGGGAGTGGGTTCTCCTTCCCCCTCCCCTCTTAACATTTCGGGGAGATATGCACTCTGGCACAGATGAGCGGCACAGTTTTGGAAACTAGTCAAGATAAAATCCATGGAAACAAAGCGCTGTCTAAGGGTAGGGGGAAAGTAGATTGGTTGGAGGTTTGCTTCTTAGATTTATTTAAAGGGCTATACAAGTACTTCTGCAATTGAATGGTGTCATGGGAGACTATCCAACGTGTGTATAAAAGAGAAGAACTGGGAAAATAAAGGAATGATCCAGCCATATTTAAATACTCCTTTGTTTCAGTGGGAGATCGTTAAAACAACAAGATTGAAAAGTACCATAACATTGACAGGCTTGTACCTAAGTTTAAAAAGGACTTACATTCTTTTACCCCGTGGGAGGGAAAATACAGCATTTTACTTGAAACCAGGCTGGGGATCCACTTGGCTGTTGGGAAAATGCAGCTTCTGGGTGTGTTACAATCACTTCTAGGAATTTATTCCTCAGGAGCCTTTTCGAACAGTGAACATCCTGTTTCAGTCCAAGCTGGCCACGATAAGAACCTTGAACGTTTAAGAATTAGGTGCCCTCATTTGCTCGCTTTCCTCGTCCTGACTCACCACTTTTTCCTTTTGTGTCGTGTCTTCTTACATTGCAATCCTGAGGGCATTCAAAAGCTGTACTCAGAACTTTTCCATAATGCTTTGAATAAACAAATGCAATAAACAAGATCTTGGCAACCCGAGGATCCTACTAATTCAAGCTCCATTAACCTATGGGGGGTAGTAATCACAAAACCAATCTACTGTGGCTGGTAGTTTCCCTTTGCCATGAGCAACGGATGGTTGCAGTAACAGGCAGCCATTGAAGAGAAGGAAAGGTTCTGTCCAGCAGAGAGGACAGATAAAAATTAGGATTAGCATGTTGATTTAGAGGAGTGATAAGGAGACAGGAAATGTGCATCTGTGCCTAGCTAAAAGAAAAGTAGGGAACAAGAAGAAAAAATGGAGGATATGGGGCCTAGTGGTGTGGTCTGGGAGAGGTAGGATGAGCATATGTGTGTGAGGTTTTAATTTTATTTAGAGGTGATTTAGGGGAGATTTAATTGTGAACAGTGTTAGGTTCCAATGAGTAGCTTTGTGTTTTGAGGCTCATATATCCCAGCCATGTGTTCTCCTAAGTTTCTGGAGGGCCAAGGTCTTTTGCCTCTTAGCCTCTTATCAGTTTTCCTTCTGTGAAATGGATGTTTTCTTGCAGTAGTAACCACAGTCTTTCTCCATGTCCCCACAGCAGCCGTTTTGTGAATTGCCGTGGCCTTCCGGGCCAGCCGTTTTGCAGCAGTGCCCACATTGCAACTGCGGCCACAGACCCCAAAATATTGGAGGCCTGATATATATAACAGTTGTCATCGGCAACTTCGTCGAAGTCAGTTGAGACTATATCAGATAAAATAGGTTCAGGATGGAGTCATGGGGGTATTAATGCAAATGAATCCAGTGAGGTAGGGGTGTGTGGGTGTGTGTGGGTGTGTGTGGGTGTGTGGGTGTGTGAATTCTAGAAACACAAAATCCTTAACATACTGCATCTTGTGTCAAATGTGAGGGAGGGACATTTTTGAAGGGACATTACTGTATATGAATTTTGTTTTAAACTGCCGAGGAGGGAAATGAAACTGGCACACAGTCTGTCTGTTAAGGGGAGATCATATCTCAAGTTCTACGAGGTCTAAATACTTGCTTTTTGAAAAATGGAAGCTGGAAATTAGGTTCACCAGGGGGCAACTATCTCTTGTGGATGCCCATTTCCTATAACCTTATCTCCAGAACGTGTATAATAAAGGCAAGGCTATCTCTAGGGATCTTATTAATACTACTATATATTTTCCCATTATTTTTCTATCTTGCCTACATCAACATTGCCCTCTTTTGGTAGGGAAGCAACACTACAAGGTGTGTGTTTACAAGCCCCTTTAGAATGGTGGTGTAAGTTAAAACACAGTAAGTTATGCTTATATGATTTCTGTTTTTACCTGGTAAATATGGTAGTATGTCACATAATACAAACCACTGGACACAATCTGCTTGAAGCTCACCTGCAATTAAGCCCCACTGAAATTAATGAAACATGTGATTCATTCAAATCAAATTTCAAAATGTGTTAGGTAGAGTTTATCTTTATCTACGTCTGCAAAATGTCTGCAGTCTTGTGCAGAACTCTCCCTCATTGGAACAACTCATGTTCTGCAAAGCTTATTGAAAGAGCTTGCTAGATCAAAGTCGAAGCAGAAGCGATTAGAGAGTTTTCTGTTTGCCAAGAATTAAAGCCAAACCTATTGATACGGTCTCTCTCTGATTGCAAAGTGTGTGTTGATGCTAAAATAGGAGAAAGGACAGGTGTGAGAAACCTTCAATACAGTCGGGAAAATCCTGTGTGTGTGAAATCTCTAATTCCCCTATCCCTCCAGTGCAGAAGGGATCAAGGGCTGGCCACTGCAAAAAAGATGGAAGTGAAGCAAATTGCATAGGTGAACACTCATCTGATAGCACTGGAACAAAAAAAGGAGGAGGGACTTGTGCTTAGGAAATGTCCTTTGGAGAATCACCATCAAAATTTAAAGGATGGGGTTGGGGTTGACCTATGGCATGTGTTCTTGGGTTTCTTGGTCCACCCACCACCCCATAATCCTTTCAGTTGCGTGGGATGCTTGCAGGGTAAATGAATGCACATCAGATGGTTCGTCTGAGTGTTGTTGTAGTGTGGCCAAATTACATTGCTACATTAAACATGCTTTTTAAAAAGCACGCCTAAGCGAGCCGCTTCTGTTGTGAAGGAAGCATAGTCACATGGGACCCTTAGCTATTTCCCTGCCAAAAAATCCACCCCACAGCTGCTCCTTGTACACAGATGTGACGTTTGACTGCAAACGGTATCTTTAAGGACAAATAGCAGCTGATGGGAAGGGAGGGGCAGGTTTTGGCAGTGCCCTAATCTGGTACAGTGCCCTAATCTGGATCAAGACCCTGTCTAGCTGTTTTTCTTTGGAAATTAAAGCCACCAATGCTCAGCATGGTGTTTTTAAAAACATGCTTAATATAACATAGTTTGTCCTCAAGTGAGCATTCCATTGAAAATGATGTAGTGTGGTGAAACCTCATTTGCTCTGAGATGCTCATTTGGACATCTATCTGGTTTAGGCCTGCTCTTTCTGATCCAGTAGAACAGGCTTCCTCAAACTCGGCCCTCCAGATGTTTTGAGACTACAATTCCCATCATCCCTGACCACTGTCCTGCTAGCTAGGGATCATGGGAGGGCTCAGTTTGAGGAAGCCTGCAGTAGAAGGTTGCGTCTGGCTGGAGAGTTGGAATTGGTCTGCACTTCATTCTTTTTAATAGCAGCTCCTCCATATTGTACAGCCAACTGTGATGCGGTGTATTGGGAGGGGCTACTTAAAAAAAAAGGAACATCTTTTTCCGACCAATGATATCACCAAATTTCTAGCACTTATTGAAAAGCTGAAAAATAAAGAATTTTGATATACAAGTAAATTTTTGAAAGTAAAACCCATGTAGTTAACAATACAGTGGTACCTTGGGTTAAGAACTTAATTTGTTCTGGAGGTCTGTTCTTAAACTGAAACTGTTCTTAACCTGAAGCACCACTTTAGCTAATGGGGTCTCCCACTGCCTCCGCGCCGCTGTTGCGCGATTTCTGTTCTCATCCTGAAGCAAAGTTCTTAACCCGAGGTACTATTTCTGGGTTAGCGGAGTCTGTAACCTGAAGCGTCTGTAACCCGAGGTAGCACTGTAGTTAACTTCCAAGACTTTGCACTCGACTCTCCAACGTTCATTTGATTTCAGAAATTCTGAAGACTCGCCCACAAATCTTAGAACGGATGAAGTCTCTTTTTTCTCTAAGCAAGTTTCTGTTCTCTTCATTTCAGTTACGGCAATCCCAATCCTACTGCACAGACACGGAATGCCTTCAGGAACGTGAGTAATAGGGGAATCTTGCATGTATATTTTTAAACGCTTTTGTATATTGCTTTCCAGCACAAAGCAACTCAACAGCTGTTTTTATATATATCAACGGAAATATATCCAAATAATAATAAAATTTAAACGCCAATAAAACAACACCCACAAGCATTACAAAATACAGGAAGATAGTTGGACAGAATAAATCTAAGCATGCCATCTTCATCATGCGGCAAAATCCCATGTAGATTAGAAAGCTTTCTGTGAGTCTAAGTTGGGGGCTGGGGGGGAGCACATCAATACAAAGGAGGCCATACTCTGGTTCCCCATTGTTGGGGTTCCAAGGGGTTGCTCGAGAGCAAGCAGGCAAATACCTCCCTGCTTGGCTGTGAAGCCTTGCTTTTGATGCCAAAATAAACTTTAACTGTCCAGAGAGCCACTCTCCCGTGGCTGGCTCATTCACTGGCAGAACCTAAGTAGTTTCTTGATGCCCAGTCTGCGCCTCCCCTCTCGGCGCGAAAGCTTACTGTGCAAGGAGGGCGTGGGTAATGGAGGACCTCTCTCCTCCCTGCTTTGCCCAGGCAAGGTGTCCTGGCACCACCTCGCCTCCTCCGAGCCCTGACACTTCTCTCCACTGGAGGCGTGGTTACTCTCCTCTGCTGAGGAGGAGCTGCTTCCCAGGATCTTTGGGGGCTCTCTGTAATCCATCCGGCTTTTCCCCCCTCCCCCCTGAGCCGATGGCAGTTCCCTGACACCCATATAACAAGCTACTATCATCAATGGAAATGGCAAGTGGGAGTGACCCCCCTGCTAATTTCAGGGCTAAAATAGTTAGTGTTAAGGAATAGATGCAAAGGAAAGGATTATGTCTGAGGGCTAAATGTGCATTAGACTGAGTTTCATATTTCACCTGTTAACCTTTCCTTTCTTTTCACAAAATACCACTGGGATTGTTGCACTCTAAAGTGGGAGAACTTCACAGAAGCAGGGAGATACTTCTTAGGTTTTCTCTCTGGTCCCCCTCCCATTTAAAATGTTCCCATCTGCTTTCTTGCTGCAATTTGGGAGGGGGTGATTTTTTAATAAACGGAATAACCACTGGATAAGAAAGGATTCAGAAGCCCTTTCTCCCTGCTTAGGACTTCTGCTTTAGATTGCTATCTCTGCAACTGTATTTTACTTTATTTAGTTCACAACTTTTTATATACCTTAGTTGTGATAAAACTTAAAAGTGGTTTGTTTTCTAAAATAGAAAATGTGGGGGGTGGGACGGGACAATGCATGGCTGAGGGCTAGGGGTGGGTCTTGCTCTGTGAAAAGTATCATCAATTAGGATATCAAAACAGCATTTTGAGAAATTTCAGGGGCATGCGTTTTGATTCAAACAGAAAAAGGCCTAGATAATTCAGAAAGAATCGTGCCATTGTATACCTTGTAGTATTGGTAATTTGAACCAAAGGAACCCTAGAAGGGTTTTTTCTTAGTTGGAAGTTGATCTTCCAGTTTTGGAATGCATAACCGTTCCAGCCAGGTACTAGTGTACACTGATAAAGACCCATGTTCATGATTCATCATGCCAGATTACACACTACAGTCTTATTTTCCAACTTTCCTACTCTCTTGAAAAAAAGGGGGAGGGGGTTGGCAGCGTTTGGATGTTTAAGAGTGATATAAAAATACAGTGAGAATTAGCTGTGAGTAAGAACATGTTTGGAATTTTTACATAAAGTGTGTTGGGGCCAGGAAGAGGCTACAAGTATCTAGACCTGGAGAGTTAACTGCATGACCAGCTATCTAAATGCTTTGTGTAGCAGGCAAGGCAGAAGGCCTGGCTGCTAATATTTGCATCAGGCTTAGCCATCCCAGAAGTTTCATGCTGCTTGACAGCCAACTGCTAGGCAGATGCTGTACGCCTATGGTATCTTTGACTTCTGGGGGCCTGTAGTCAACAGGGAATGGCTCGCTAGACTACATTTTGACTTGCTCCCTTAGATTCTGTCTCCTCTCCAGATTCCCTCTCACTAGCTGTCTTCTGTATTTATTTTGTGCCCTCCCCCCAGCCTTCTCTTAAACCGGAAATGAGGAACTCCAGATGTTGTCGGACTCCAATTCCCATAATTCCTGATTGGCCAAGCTGCCTTGACTTATGAGAATCAGAGTCCAAAAGCATCTGGAAAATCGTAGGTTCGCTAAGCAGAGCTTTGGAGAGTGTAGATCCTGGCACACAAATGACTTTGGGAACTTTATATCCTGAATTTCTGTCTTACATGAAATATGGCTTGCATATAGAATTTATAAATTCTGGCACACACAATTCATTTAGGAACTTCACACACACCTGATTTCTGTGCTAGCTTACATATTAGAATTAAAGGGGGGAACCAGTTTAAAAGAAGATGGGAACAGCAGATAAAAAATTGCAGACACTTCCCACCCACCCCCAATATCAACTGAAAAGACCAAATGTCTAGTGGAATAATAAGCTTATTTCTAGATTTGAGGTGAGGGAGCTTAGCTTGAATTGGCAGGGAATTATGACACCTGCTGTGTTGTTTTCCCTTAGTCACATCTGCTGATAGGAATGAAGAGCTGGAGGAGTGCAGCAAGTGGTTTGGGAGCCTATGATTATTTTGCTTCCTGTCTGAGACCCAGCTTATACAAACAAACCCTTTTGGCCAATGATTACAGCAGTAAAGACTGGAACTTTGGGTGGGGTTTGGTTTGGGAAGCAGGAGGGCAGAGGCTCTGCTGAAGTCAGCCTGACGTCTGTTCCATTGCTGCAGATGAATGAATCATTATGAAAACGATGACTTGAGAGGGGAACTCCCTGAATTTTGCACATTTGGAGTCTTTCTGTGGAAGTTTGAAGCTCTTGGGTTTGGTCTTTGCATCCAGACAAAGTGAAACAGCACTCATTTGCTTTGAGATAATATAGGCTAGCAGTGCTTCCTGAACTTAAAAACTTTAAAAATGGTATTTTTGCAAGTAAAATTGGCGTCTGATGACACTGTTATGCCCATAAAGATTGGGAAAAGACCTTGCCAAGGTAGAAACTAGGCGTAGAAACAGAGTAGCCCTTCTGGGGGCAGCCAATTCTGTTGTTGTCTTTGTCAGCTTTGATTGGCTCAAACGCCGGCTCCCTTGGCCTGAAAGTGAGATGAGCGCTGCAACCCCATAGTCACCTTTGACTAGACTTAACCATCCAGGGGTATTTTACCTTACCTTTTGGGCACTGACCACTCTTCAAACTAGCTTAGCTTAAAACAAGTTGGTGGTCTTCTGTTTCTTCAGACCATACTTTTATTCTGTCTTATCATCAAGGCATGTTGCTTCTCCCTTTGCAACACAGTGGAGAGCAACCTGTGGCCCAAGTGCAACATGTAATTCCCACCCCCCACCAGCTAATTTTGTGTGCCCTCCCAACATTTACTGTAGCTTCTCAATTTCTCCATTCTATCAGTTTCTTCCTCCTTCTTCGTTTCCTCCTTCCTTCTCTTAGCTTTCAGAATTGTGCTTTCCCTCTTTCTATATAGTTTCAGAAAGGGAAGTATTTTATTTGGTGAAAATAAATTAGGGTGTGTACATATATAGCTCACTAAAGCCAGAATGGAATTGCTGTCCAGAAAATAACCCCATCAAACCTAGCTCAGGGCTTACATCTGAGTAGACCTGCATAGGATTTCTAATCTGAGCTAGCCATGACAACAAAAGCTGAAGAAGGGCAGTCTTTGTTCTGGATTATTTAATACATAAAACTTTGTTCCTGCCCCTCATCAGCCCCCCTCTGCCCAGCATTGACATGTGTCCCACATGAGACTACCCCTGAGGGAATGCAACCCTCAGCAGCAGGGGTCAGCAAATCTTTTCAGCAGGGGGCTGGTCCACTTCCCTCAGACCTTGTGGGTGGCCAGACTATATTTTGGAAAACATAATAATGAATGAATTCCTATGCCCCACAAATAACCCAGAGATGCATTTTAAATAAAAGGACACATTCTACTCATGTAAAAACACACTGATTCCAGGACCGTCTGCAGGCCGGATTTAGAAGTTGATAGGGCCGGATCTGGCTCCCGGGCCTTATTTTGCCTACCCATGCTCAGCAGCATAAAGATTTCCCAACCTTGCTTTGCAGAACAAGGATAGAGCCCTTCCTCTCTGCCCCATTGGCAAAACCTCTGCATAAGATTGTGGTTATCGTCATGATGTGAGCTGGGAACAAATAGTCTCCAGTCCAAATATCAGTTTAGCCGTGAACTTCTTAGATGGCCTTCAGCAAGCTTCTAGCTCAGAGCTCCCATCTGCCGCATGAACTGTCCTCCTTCAGCTGTACCTTGAAGGCTGTTGCAAAGATAATTTACGAAAATGTTTAAAGCATGCCACAAACGTTTCAAACTTTTCGTATACCTTGGCAATTCTTACAATATGCTATATAATTATTAAATATTAACTGTTTTCTCTTTAGTTTGATTACATTTTTAAATATGTATTCTTGCAATACATTGAGGAAAGGAGTGGGTAGTCAGAGGCTTGGTGTATATTGAACAGAGCTATGTCACAGGAGGATGAAGAAACCTTACTCCTGAGGTTTTAAAAATCTATCATTTTAACTGCTTCCAACTCTGAGCTTATTTCCTGCTGGGCCTTCCCTCTCTGCCCCAGCCCCAAGGACACTGCTAATAACCTTTGCCCAAGGAAGCTGAAGGTCTCTTTCGCAGTTTGACGTTGAGAGGGATGTCATACAGGAGATTCCTTTGGCGGATATGCAGATAACTGATGAGCCCTGGAAATAGGAGCTTCAAGTGTTGCCTTGAAGAGAACAGCTTCTTAAAGAGGTGGTCAGCTTATCTGTAAGATATTTGATGGATTTAAAACTCCACAGCAGCCCAGATATCTAGCTTTTATCTCTCACAGGCCCGGTTGCATCAATTGCTGTTATATTGCTGCCCAAATGATGAGTGAAATGAGGCCTCCAGAAGTTTAGGGGGATATTGTTTTGTGGGCTACAGAAGAAAAGCAGGGTGCTTATCAGCTTTCCTCTCTGAGAACTGTGACTACATGATACTGCTGCCTTCAATGTTCTTTGGCTACTTATGGCAGCAATCTTCTGGCACCGAGCTCTGAGCCAAATTAGTTTTCTGTACTGCTGCAAGATTAACAGAGCAAGCCAAACTGTTTATCAAGCCAGACTGTGGGAGGTTTGGACTGAGTGGAGGCATCCCTCTGCTCAGTAATCATGGCTGAGCAATCCTCCCGTTTTTATATTATTTTTATTTATTCATTAAATTTGTATAGCACCCTTCGTCCAAAGATCTCAGGGCAGTTCACAGTGTAAAATCACAAAATACATAATAAAAACAAGAACAAACCAAACCAATAACCATCCCCTTGTGAACACATTTAAAAGGATATGGGATGTTCATCAGCCAAAGGCCTGGTTGAAGAGGAATGTTTTTGCCTGGCACCTAAAGGTGTATAATGAAGGTGCCAGGCGAGTCTCCCTGGGGAGAGCATTTCACAAAAGAGGAGCCACTGCAGAAAAGGCCCGTTCTTGTGTTGCCATCCTCCAGACCTGCCTTTGAAGCAGCACATGAATAAGAGCCTCAGGTGATCATCACAGGGTCTGGGTAGGTTCATATGGGGAGAGGTGGCTCTGGAAGTATCGCGGTCCTGAGCTGTTTAGGGCTTTACAGCTCAAAACCAGTAGTTTGAATTGGGCCATAATTGACAGCCAGTGCCGTTTGGCCAGGATCGGTGTAATATGCTCAAACTGTCTGGTCCTGGTGCGCAACCTGGCTGCCCATTTCTGAACTAGCAAGTTTCCGAACCAGCTTCAGAGGCAGCCCTATGTATAATGTAATCTAACCTACAGGTTACCAGAGCATAGACAACAGTAGTTAGGCTATCCCTATCCAAAGCTGATGGAAGGCACTTTGCACCACTGAGGCACTGCTGCTGTGGATTTAATCAATTTGGTAGTAACTTTATTAAATAATATTAATGTAAACATATTAGAGTACAGTAGAGCCTCTACTTACGTCCCGCTCTACTTAGGCCTGTTCCAAGTCGTGACCGCGACAAACCCGGAAGTAAACACCAGGTTTGCCGTGATTCACACACATGTAGAAGCGGCTGCTGCCGTCTGCACAAGCACAGAAGCGGGCTGCCGCCGAATGTGCCTGCGGACAATGGCGCTTCTACCAGCGACCTATTTTGCCGTAAGGACGGGCCTCCGGAATGGATTGTGGTCGTGAGTAGAGGTTCCACTGTATTTGTATCTTTGCATAAATGTGTGTGTTCTGCATGTGTGACTATATCCATCAGGAGGAGGATATAGTGTGGAGGCCTCAATAGCTTCAGCCTTTTACCGCCACTACAAAATTTATATTGGTCAGTGGGTAGATGACGGCTTCTTCGTAACAATCAGCAATTATTCGCTCTTTACATTTTCGAAAATTGTGCTAATGTTGATTAGCAAGTAAAAGACACAGAGGGAAGAAAATAAATATGGAAGTGAGAATGCTGAGAGCACCCATCGGTTGGAAAGTTGCCAGATAGCACCATAAACTTTCAGAGATGAGTACGGATGAAATAACTAGCCCTGTGATCAGTTTAAAAGCAATTAAAGACGAAGTGGAAAAGAAGCAGACAGCGTTTAAGAAATAGTCATCTATTTCTTGAGGTTAAGGCTTAACAGTCAGTACAGTGACTCACAGGGGACCATGTTTGTTCAGTGACTCAGGAGGTGGAGCTACTTTTCTCTTTCCAAGCCAGTTAGCCCTCCTTCAAGAGTTGAACTTATCTGTCAAGCCTGAGATTCTACGTTAACTTGACCCTCTTGTTTCTCCCAAAATGCTGCGTAATCCCCATCTGAGTCCCTTTAATTGTAGTTAATTTTAAAAAGTGACTTGAAATTCTTCACTGTGTTTAATTCATGTGTTCTTTTCCTTCCAGTGCCAGGACCCAATCCGTCTGCTGATAATGACATCAGTGTGACAATGATAATGGTGGGCTGGCTGGTTCTGGCACTGGTACTGTTCTTGATGAGACCTGCTAACCTAAGAAGACCTTTTACAGCTGAAAAACCATCCAGCCCACATAATGTGAGTATTCCGACGTTTTAGTTAACCTCCCTATATAACATCAAACGACGAAGCAGGGAGAGGGGAATATGTGATGCAGAGGCCTGAGTTTCTCGAAGAAAAACCAAGACACAAATGCAATTCATATGTAGCTTTTAGCAGATTGTGCTGCATTGTGTCCAGTAATTTCATTTTCCTCATTCATTCTGACGTTGCATTCCTGTTTACAAAACCGTTCGTGTTGCGATCTGGTGCAGTCCTAAATAAAAAGTTCCTTAAAGCAGTGGTTTCAACCAATGGAAATCTGTAATGTTGTTACACACAGCAAATGCTCTCCCCTTTCATCCCGCACAACACACTAATACTACACAGACTTCACGCACGACAGATTTATAAAACCTTTTGAACAATTTCCCCAAGTTTGTTATACTTCTAGCACTTAATGCACAAGATCGGTCACCCTTGTGTAGAGGAAGGAAAGGGAACAGAAAGAGGTCTGTGTATATTTGGGGGGGGGGGGTTTAAGAGAGAGTATTGAAGATTCCCTGTTGTAGCTGGTATCAGGATCAGGCTGGAACTCGGGACGGTTTTGCATGGAACCGAGCCAGGGATAAGCTGACACTAAGCCTACTAGTCCTCAGCGCAGGAGGGTCTGCCCTGCTAACTAGACAATGGCAGATGCCCACTTCCTGGTTCTGATAAACATTGTGGTCACTCTGGAAACATCTTCTTGGTCTATCAAAGGGAGTGATATGGGGATCTCTATTCACTGCCAGGCCTGAAGACATCTCTGAATACTTCCAGTTCTAAGTTGCTCACTCAGCTAGAGTTCTATCTGTCCTTGGCACTCCTGGTTCTGCCATTGCATTCCTCAACTCAAAAAGGTGTACGGCGAATCTTGAAATGGACAGCTTCTTCTCTTGTACACGTTTCCTTCTTCTGTTCTAATCTTTCTTCTCTTTTGTACACATTCCTATTGTTCTAATGGCGGGCACATAGAACAGGGACGTTTTGGTGGTGGCCTGCGGTTGTGGAATTCAGTCCCATGTGACATGAGGAAAGCTTCATCCCTTGATACTTTTAAATGGGCCTTGAACACCCATCTTTTTGTCATGGCCTTCAGTGAGTAACTTGCAAGCAGTAGAACTAGTGCTGAGTTCTGGTTATGTATGTGTTTTAAGTTACGCTGGGTTATTTGCGCTAGCTTTCAGTAGTTTTAAGTAGATGCTTTATATTTTATTGCCTATGTTTTAATTTGTATTATGTCGTGCCCCTTTACATAGAATGTCTGTCTTGAAAACCAGGCTGCTATATGAAATTAAAATATATAAATCAGTGTATTCTTGACACACAGGGGCAAGAACCACCAGCTCCACCTGTGGACTAGACCTTACTGGAGGAAGCTCAGCGACTGTAACCTTGCACGACCAAAAGAACGAACGTGACCAGAATACCCCTCTATGTCGCACACAATACTGTTCTGCTCCATACATTTAAAATTGTTTTGCAGCCCCTCCCATTATATTTGAATAAGTTAACATATGTGGCATTTTTGCTGATGTTCATTGGACTCTAGGCATTGCACTTTGCAATAATATCTGAAAGAAAATTAAAGCCTAGTTGTCATTTTTCAAACAAATTGTTCTTTCCCTGCAGTCCACCAATAATGTCTCCGTGATCTATGTACATTTATGGAGTGGAGGGAACTGCACAGAAGTTCCCATTGAATGTGCCATTATCTATAGAGTTGATTTAGAACTGGGGTGGCTAATCTGTGCTCCTCTTAATATTGCTGGACTAAAACTCCCATCATTTCCAATCAGCATGGCCAACGGTCAGCGATGGTGTAAATTATTGTCTGGCAACATCCAACTGGCCACACGTTAGCCTCCCCAATTTAGAAAAAACCCAAATTGTATCTCATCAATACAACTTTGGATTTACTCTGTGCCTGCGAACCAGAATTGTTTCACAGGGATTCTGTCTACTATTTATATCTGTGTTAGTGTTGTCCAAAGTACATCCTTCTCTAAAATAAGGCCAAATTAAATGTATTTATTGGAAGCAAGCAAATAAATTTAGTATTGTATTAAGATAACTAAAGAGTGCATAACTAAATGTTACATTTGAAACTAGGAATATTTACAAATACTATAATAAAAATAGTTACCTGTATACTTCTCTGTAGTGGATATTACAGTCCACAGCTACCTATATCCAGTTATTTTCTGTAAATGTAGGACTCCAATGTGCACGTGAAGCTGCTCTGGATTGTAAAGGTTTCCCATTCAGTTCAGTGGCAGGGCAGCAGCATGGTGTATTTAGGTAAAAATGATGCATTTGTAAGGATTTCCCCTGTCATTGAAGTTGTTAGAAGCCTTTGAAAGAAGGAAGCAGTCTATGCATATTGGACTGTTTGTGGAACTGTAGATCAGAACACCTCAGTACCTCTTATTCAAATACCGTAGGGGAAACAATGACCAAATACAACAATCTCATTCTATTTCGAAGTCCATAGAACTAGATTTATCCTATGTACTTACTTGCTGCATCACTCCAATCTGCATTATTTATTTTCAGACGTTAACATTTTCATATTCTTAGAAACAGCATGCCAAAGCTGTGCCTCTAAGGCAAGAGTCCAGCTGCCATTTTTTTATGGATGGAATCAGCAAGCAGTAATGTAAAGAAACCAAATGTTCACAGAAATAGAACAGATTGCTTGCAAATATTAAACATAGTTTTGAGGACTGCTATTTGGATTTAAAAAGTTTTAATGCATAATGAATTACATTATTTATGTTTAGCTTTCCCTTAGAGTGTGCGGAAGACAAAAAGGAGTCTTCAGGATCACTTGTGGGCATACCCAAAGACATCTTAAGAGACAACTTAAGTGTTGCTTAAATCCCCAGCAAGAGATATTCTGTATACCACAGAAACTGAAGTGGTACGTTGAGGTGATAAAATTCTGGACTGTACCACTTGCAATTGCAGATGTGTGGAAGGTGTCATCGTTCTGAATGCTAAAACCTTTCCTGCTTCAAAGAAACTATCGCATTAGATAAGGCCTCATGAAACCTTTGTGTCTGATGGAATAGTACATCTTGCAGAGATCCCCTTCCTAGGTGCAGAAGCGTTCAAAAGCATGCACCTCCCACCTGCAGTCTCAAGTGTACAGCCCAGAATTCTGCTATCTCAGTATGCAATGTGTAGAACAGCTTTAATGCTGAAAGCATCCTCAAATTTGGCTTCTTTGAACAGACTTTTCAATGAGACATAATTTATGGTTGCCAGAAATGAAATGTAGGAATTGTAATTTGCATTTTTCTTACGCATTGTCAATTACTTTACTTTATTCTTGGAATAACCAACAGGAAAATATAAGATGGCTTAGATGATTTGGTATGCATGTACTCATAATTCCAGTTTTAACTACTGGAAAGGAAAATACATATGCAATAAGTAATTTAAGAACATTATGCTGTTCAGTCCTGTGCATGTTTACTTGGAAGTCCTATTATGTTCAGTGGGGCTTGCATCTGAGTAAGTGTTCCTAAGACTGCAGCTGGGAGTGAAACAAAACAACTCTGCCTGTTTTTCTTCATCAGAGAACAAAAAGAACCCTTTTATGTTTTAGATTGGCTATGAAGCTTCTTACTGACAATTTTATAGCAATTTAGCAATATCACAGCAAAACAGCTTGCAATAATTTACAGAATCGTAGAGTTGGAAGGGACCATCATTCTAGTGCAACCCCTAGCAATGCAGCAATAATGGCCTAACTCAGCAAACAAAACATTTCTTTGGTCCTATACTAAATTTGGATCAGTGACCCCTAAAATATGGAACTTGAACAAAAATATTTTTTGAGGAAGATGCCTTATACTGGATTGGTCTATCTTCCTCGCTGTTGTCTACACTGACTGGCAGTGACACTCCCAGGAGACGTTCCCAGTATGGTGTAGTGGTTAAGAGCAGTGGACTCGCAATCTGCTGAACCGGGTTCGATTCCCCGCTCCTCCACATGCAGCTGCTGGGTGACCTTGGGCTAGTCACACTTCTTTGAAGTCTCTCAGCCTCACTCACCTCACAGAGTGTTTGTTGTGGGGGAGGAAGGGAAAGGAGAATGTTAGCCGCTTTGAGACTCCTTAGGGTAGTGATAAAGCGGGATATCAAATCCAAACTCTTCTTCTACTTGGAAATGCCAAGGATTTGTCTAGGACCTTCTTCATGCAAAGCAGATGCTTCAACACTGAGTTATGGCCCTTCTTGACTCCTTTCATCTTGTTATGGGAAAAGCCATGGCAAATTTAAACCAATCTCGTTGTGATTTACACTTCTACAGTAGAATAAATGTGCCTTAATAAGGGTCCTAAATTGTACCATGGTAAGTTTTTTTGTTTACGGGGGTGGGGGCGCTACTAGCAATTTTTTTTCAGCCACCCCAGACAACGTATGATGATTAACATTCTTGCTAACTTAGGAGCAAGCAGAACAATCCGTACTGCGCTTTAAGACAGTCTTTTGAGCATCAGAGAAGCTGTTCCAGATTGCTTAACCTGCTGCAAAACTGTGTTGCAGAAGATTCAAATAATGTTAAAAAAAATTGTGGTGGTGTTCATTACATTTAGCTTTGTCTGAAGGACCTGTTGCTCTTGTTCTCATGGATCGGCATGCTATAGTACAGCTAGGCATTGGAAACTGACTTCCAGACATGTTTGTGCACCCTTGCCAAACCTGGCAGGGAACTCGAGGATTGCTGGAACAGCTTGAAAACCTCTGCTTTAAAATTTCAGATGGAGGGATGGTGAGGAAATAGGGGCTGTCAACCAACATCTAGTCTAGTGTACTAGGGGAAACAGAAATATTCTGAGAGGCCCAAACTGCATTCTCCCTCCTTTTCCAATACACTTACACTGGTGGTGGTTGAGGAAAGGAAGGTGTCCTTTAGTGCCTCTTTACAAGATTCACTTCTCATGAATCTTCTTAGAACTTGATCTTTGTATTAAGGGTTCAGTGATCAGATGGAGAGACACTGCACAGCCTGCTTGATGGGAAAGAGAAAGCAGGCTTGCAGTTTATGCTTTAGTTTCTAATACTTTTTTAAAAAAACACACACATGCTTTGAATGCACAAGCTAGACATGGCATCAGGCTTTCTCACACTAAAAAAAAGTTAATAGTACCCACACAGGGCAGGGAGTAAGGAAGAGATTTGGACTAGGACCATGGTACTGAGGACAGGATCACCCTCTTTTCTAATGGTGTTTCCTAATGAAAGTCACCGCCACCTGCTAAACAGCTTCAGGGAGGGAGTTTTAATTGTAAGACTACCATGGGAGAAGAGGGCTATACCCCCATATATTCTACACTGCGGCCCTGATTAAATCCCATCCTACAGCTCCTATTAACTTGCTTCAAAACAAAGGGAAATCCTGATCACATAAATCTTCATTGACCCTAGATTCACATGTGCTTATAGAATATCAGCAGTTCACTTAGCCTTAATTTTCTGATGCAGACGTGAGTAATAATGTGACTTGTGTTTTTATAGTTTAGATTGGGAGGCTTTAAAATTGTTTGAATCATGCCAGACAAAAATCGTATCTGTGCCATTTGGGAATTTGCAGTTTTTTAACTAAGGTTTTTGCTTGTCCTATGCACTTTTTAAAATGATCTAAATAAATAGTAACCATTAGTTACCCTCTGTGAATGTGTGGATTTTATACATGATCAGTTTTGGAGAGAAGTAACAATTTATCTAGTTGACTCTTTTAACTTAGGTTTTGTTTTGTTTTTTTACAGCTCCCTCCTCCGTTCTTTTTCTCTTGGCTGCCCCATTTACATTTTTATGTTGCCATGATTTTTAGTTTTGGACCAAAGATCACAATTTGAAAAAGAACTGTTAAAAAATAAGGATAAACATCAGTCTAAAATGTATCATTTCTTGTTAGAATGGGAAACAAAAGACAAGCTAGTTAAAGCATCCAATGACACACTGGGCAATAATGTTGATACAGGACACAATATAGAACTGGACCTCTGGTAGAAACTTTGGAAAAGTGATATGAAATTTACTGTGTGTTATTCTCTGAAAGAGAACTACAGTGGTACCTTAGTTCCCAAATTTAATCCATTCCGGAAGTCTGTTCCGACTCCTGAAATGGTTCAAAAACCAAGGTGCAGCTTCTGATTGGCTGTAGGAGCTTCCTGTACTCAATCAGAAGCCGCGTCAGACGTTTGGATTCAGAAAAACATTTTCAAACCAGAACACTCACTTCCAGGTTTGCGGCATTCGGGAGCCAAACCATTCAACTACCAAGGTACCACTGCATTTGAAAATGATTCCTAGATGGTATTTAACTCTCAGTAGGTTGGCTAAGATGTATAACGTAGAATCAGATACGTGTTGGAAATGTAAAGAAATGGGAGGTACCTTTTTTCATATGTGGTGGACATGCAGAAAGGTGAAAGAATATTGGGAAATTATTTATGATGAACTGAAAAAAATATTTAAATTTACCTTCCCCAAAAACTCACGTCCTTTTTGTTGGGAATAACCCAAGTAGAAATTCCCAGGTGCCAGTAGTTTATTTATGTATGCAACAACAGCAGCCCATGTATTGTTGGTCCAAAAAGAGGATTGGCAACTTAAAGATCTTAGAATATGCAGAACTTGCAGGTTTAACCCACAGATTAAAAGAGCAAGAAGAACATCTATTTAAAGAAGAGTGGAAAATATTTATTGAATATATGGAAAATAATTGTACACAGCTGAAAACGCTGGCAGCATTAAAATAAATCCAACAGAGTAAATGGTAACTGATTGATGTAAAAGTTTGAAAATTGATTTGAATGGTCATAGTAAAATATACTGGAAACCATGAACCATGGATGGAGAAGCAAAGTCACTGGATGTTTCAAAGTTTGTAAAATGTTTAATTGGTTATGTAGCAAAATGAAAACTCAGTAAAATATATATAATAATAAGAAAAAGGCATTGCAGGCTGGACCGCCCTGTTTCAGGCTTATAAATAAAGTTAAGAGACACACATCCCATCCCACAAATGTATGCTGCCTCAAGTTAGGCGTGCACTCTCCATTCCATTTGTATGTTTTCCAATATTTTTAATTTTTTTGCTACTATAAAATACTGTATTGAAATGTTTAAAAGTCTCTGGTGATCCTTGAATCTTCCCGCCAGCCTTGCCATCCTCTCCTGACGCGCCTTTGGAGAACCACTGAATCGCACCCCATTCACGCCGCATATTCAAAAAGCCACTCACTTCCCGCCCCGCCCCCTCGCACGCTAAGAATTCTGGGAGCTGTAGTTTGCCAGGGGTGCTCCTAACTGGGGTGAGGCTCCCGCTCCCCTCACGGAACTACAAATTCCCAGTGAAGGGAGAGATGTGGTCAAGCCACTCCGGCCCCAGCCTCTTTTATCAAAAGGTCGCTGCGTATCCCGTTTCCCTAAGCAACACCTAATAAAAGCCTCCATAAAAAAATTAAAATAAAATAAAAGCGAGGCCGTGACAGTGGCGGCCGCAGACGGCTTCCTCCCCCCCCCCCCGCCCCAAATGCTTTAATTTCCCCTCAAACGCGGCCTGTCTGGACGGAGGAACCGAGGCGCTCGCTCGCTCGCTCGGCCGTCCGGAGACGGAGAGCGCGTGAGGTAAACCCTGGCCAAGCCCGGGAAAAGCCACGTCGCTGAGGCGATGGGCCTGGTAAGATGGGCCGCGTAAGCGCTTCTCGTAGTCGCCGCAGCTTCAGGGCGCTCGCCTGGGTGTGCAGCAGGGATTTGAGGCCGAGCTCCGGGGCAGGAGCAGCAGCAAGGCCGAAGCGGCCCCGGAGGCCTTGCCTGCCGCCACACCCAGCCCGCTTCCCTTAGCGCGGGAAGCCAGAGGCGACTAGGCCTCGGGCAGCTGCGTTTTCTTGGGCCTCCTCGCTGGGGGAGAAGGTAGAGGCCGGCTTGGGGGCCTCGGCCCAGCGTACCTGGGGAAACCTAGCCAAATGGGCGGGGTTTTAATTTTAATAATAAAAATATCAGCACCTTCGCCAGAGGAAGGAGGCGGAAGCGAGAGGCAGAATAAGAGACCCCGCTCGTCCTCTCAAGATCCTTGAGGACACCTCGCTCTCCCAAACGATTCCGACCCGCATTTTATGCTTCCCCATAAATCTCCCCGCCACTTCTCTCCAGTAGGAGCTGCTCGCCTCGGCCGCCTCCAAATACCTCCAGGCTCCAAAAATAAATCTCATTTTCCCTCACTGCCTCCTCCTTTCGTCCCCGATCCCTTGCATGGGCTTCTGCATTTCCTCCCTCCGAGATCCAGGGATCCTTCGCCGCCCACCGCTCTCAGCCCCCCAGCAGATTTCTTCCAGCTCTCTCGCTCTTTTCCAGTCATCCCAGAACTGTAGTCCCAGTAACCCGCTTTCATTCATTCATTCATTCACCCATCCATCCTGCAAACTCCCAAACATGCCGGCGGATTCTTCGTTGGCTCTCCTAGCCCGATCGCCGCCTTCCTTTTTCGCTCCTCCCGGCCAGATCTTCGCCATCCTCCCGCCCCCGGGCCCCACTTTTCCCTCCCACTGCCCGGGCGGGAAAGGGGAGGGATCCGCCGCTGCCCTCCGGGGGGGAAATAGAGGAAAGCGGCTCTTTAAAAGCGGGGCGGCGCCGGCGCCTGGGATCCACTCGCCTGCTCGATCCCTGCCTGGCCGCATCCGCTCCTGCTCCGTCCAGCTGCGGCACAGCCACCTTCGCTTCCTGCCCATCCAAGGCACCGGGACCGCGGATCGCTGTATGTATTCCCTTCCCTCTTTAAAATGTTTGCGGACTTTCTCCTCTTCTCCACCCTCGCTTTTCCGGGGTTGCTCCCCCCCCCCTTGCGCAGGATGAAACCCTTTCACCAAAGCGTTTTTCTTACCGGACAAAGGGATCGTTTGATTTTGAAGGAGGTATTACCTTGGGTTTCCGTGTATATTTCGCCTTTCGTTGATGTTAAATTTAATGGCTTTCCCTGGGAGCTTGCTGTTTAATCTAAGGCATACCAGAGATACTCCCTTTTCAGAAGAAGACTAAGGTTCCCTTTGTCAGGGCGTTTGAATGACTCTTGTGAGGTTTTTTTTTCAACCGCTTTGCAATGCTGCTTCCTCTATCGGTGTGTGGTATCCCTACATGTACACACGCAGGAATTTAAGACTCCAAATAACTTGAGACTTCAGTTCTTCTGAAAGCAGTTATTTCAGAATTGCTCTGAAATGCTCTCATTGTCTCCTTACAGATGCTTGCATATAGATCTAGTGAGTCTGTTTTGGGGGTTTGTTAAAAATGGGGCTACTCTTTAGAAGTATTCGAGAATAATTTACGGTATTTTGCACAAAGATCACTCCACCAGTCTGTGATCTGTATAAATTGATCTGGAATAGCTACCACAGCCACTTAATACTCTCTCTGTGTAAAATGTGTGCCTTCTGGAAGTCAATCAGGAGGCAATTTATAAGTTGCCACTACTAATTTTTAACAACACATCCCATTTTACTATACTCATTCCTGAAGTGTTCTTACTATAAATATTTACTTACATATGTATCCCACCATTTCTCAAAGCTTCTCAGAACTCTACATGGAAGTTGCCGTGTTTTATCCTTAAAGCTACCCTGTTAAGCGAATTTGACTGAGAGTGACTGACCTGGTGGACTTTGTGACTAGGCAAGCATTTGAAGCTAGGTTTCTCCAATTCAGCACTCTTACTAACTCAAGTTCATATTGTAGCAAATGCTTAAATAATTATAGTGGCTCCTGGTCTATTTCTGGGCCCAGAATATTGGTGTCTTACGTTCAGACTGAGGCCTTTGTTGGTTTGGGACTGAGCTCCCTCTGGTACCTGAAAAGACACCTGCCTCCATATCATCCTTTATGTTCAGATATTCTGCCTTCTTCCAGGTACCCTCCCCCCCATATTCAAGACAGGGGCTTCTCAGTGGTGGCACCAGAACTATGGAATGCCCTTCCCAGAGAGGGGCACTAGGATGTGCCTGCTGGCTTTTGGCACCATTGAGGAATTTTGGACTGAGAGAGCAGCAATTCCACTAGCATAGCAGCGATATTATCTTGTCCTTATAATTGGTATAGGATTGCTCTGCCCATGTTCTTTTGTTATATAGAGTTAGCTCACTAGTTGGGCTCAGCCTCCCTTGCAATATAGTGAATAATAATGGACTTATCTTGAGATTGCTATAAGGATTACAGCTAGACGAGGCATGTGAAGTGCTTTGAACTCTTGGAATAATTATGCAAATGTTATTAGATAGATCCATAAAATATTAGCCATCATTGTTAGCATAGGCATTCCATACTTTTGAAGCTGCATTCTCATGATTGGATACAGAGGTAAAAAAGATAGAAGATTGTTCTTTTCACTGATGACATGTTTTCAATGAGTCTTTCGCTGGAACATATGTTAGCATGCGCATGCGTGCACACATACACATACACCTTCTCCTGGTAGCATGAATAATTTGATCAGCATAAGAATATAATATAAGAAGAGCTGGATCAAATGTAAGACCAGCATCCTGTTCTCACAGTGAATGACCAGATGTCCATGGAAAGTCTGCAGATAGGACCCGAGTGCAGCAGCCGTCCCCCCACTTGTGATTCACAGTACAGTGGTACCTTGGTTCCCGAACTCAATCTGTTCTGGAAGTCCGTTCGACTTCCAAAACGTTCGCAAACCAAGGCGCGGCTTCTGATTGGCCCCGGAAACAATGCCAACAGCTGAAAAGGATGTTTGGCTTCCAAAAAAACGTTCGCAAACCGGAACACTCACTTTGCGACGTTCAAGAGCCGATTTGTTTGGGAGCCAAGCCATTCGGGAACCAAGCTACCACTGTAATGGTATTCAAAGGCATCTTGCCTCTGATCCTTGAGGTAGTACATGGCCATCCTGTCTAGCAGCCAGCAGAAGAGGATAGTATCCCTATCTTGCATGAAAAGGAGTTGAAGTGGTCTACAGGAAGAAAACTAGAGCTGATGGAATTTCATTGGTGTAGATATGCTAAACCAAATGATTAGCCAGCAGTGGCAAAAAGCCTCTTGGTTTTAATGGAAGATGCATCTAGCTTGACTTCTAACTTCTGCCTAGGCAAAATTGTGATAGACAAAGGATGGAAGCTGGGAGAGAAAGCGAATCAAACCAGCCCCAAAACAAATTGCCTGAAGAAGGAAAACAGAAATGTTGTAATTTGAATGGTTTGGGGCAGCTTCTGAGCGGCTAAGCCACAAGCAAGCACAAGGCAAACCAGTTCTTGAAATCCTCACATATTCGGTTGACTGTCTCTTGCACAACAGACCCCTTTCCTCATTCCATCCAAGTTCAATGATTCATTTTCCTCTGCTGGGAAGGGAAAAGATCCTATTTCAGAGAGGCTTGTGTGTTTGCCAGTAGCTAATAACACTAATAACGGTCACCCAGTGAACTTCATGGCTAAGTGAGGATTTGAACCCTGATCTCTTGGGTAGTAGTCTGACACTCAACCACACTGGCTCTTTTTATTTCTCTCTGTAAGTCTGAAGAGCTACAATAACCCATTGCTAATATCACATCTTGAGAAAGGGGTTGAATGCTACTGTAATGTTCGGACCTTTTCTCCATACTCTCATCTTGAGCTGCCCATGTAAGCCTGCCTGGAGTTCTTCTGACATTCCCCTTGCAAGGTTTGTAACTCAGTCATCCTCCAGCAAGGCCTCTTGGGAGCATCAGCTGGTAATCTTATTTTGTGGCTACAATGCAGCTTTTGAATTTTTCTGTGAATATAGGCCCTTCACTCTAGCTGCTGGAGAAGCCTACAGTGTTTATCCAGGGGAGGAGGACTCGCAATGTACCATACTGTAGCTCTTTGCAAAGGCTGGTTTTCATCTAACATGCCTGCATATTTTTTTTTAAACCACTTGATTAGCAAGAGACACAACCTCATTTGTGCCTCTCTTTTACTCCTACCAGTTATATGCCTGCCAGATCTCTCTTAATTCTGAAAATTCTTTTGCTCAGTGATTGTGTCCAGGAGAGACGTTGGGATTCTGGCGGAGGGAAGAGGGTTGATATTGTGCCAGAGGGGCCTCTCAGCACTTTGCATAGATGCCTACCTGTGCGTAGGTTTGGATTGCACAAATTCAGAGCCTACACACCTTGCACAAAGGCAAGAATAGAAATGTGATGAACAACACATGAATGTTGGATGTGCTGGAGAGGCAGGGTCAGTTGGCATGATTGTGATACCCCACTTTTATAGGGAAAACCAGCATTTGCAAGGACCACTGAGTCAGAGACCAATGGTGCATTCAGACCCATCAGAATACTGACAGAGGACCACATGGGCAATTGCCATAGTGTTGCCTTGTTTCCCTGGCTGGGTAAGGGACAGTTTTATGACAGCTTGGGCGCCTTCATACTCCTAGTCTACCATAAGAAAAAAGATTAGGAGAGCAGTGTTCACAGATCTCTGTAGCTGCCATAGTGCAAGACTTGATTTCCCCAACGGGGAAACATACAGTGCTCTTACGGCTGCGGGGTAGAGAAGCAGTATTTGTGAGCTATGTGGGTGAGGTAGCCCCCACAAATACTTGCTTGTGAAGCTGTTTAACGCTTTTCTACAACGGAGACACTTGTGTTTTCACTTGGTCTTGCTAGAAAAATGTTGCTGTCTTCATAATGATTCACAGATGTTGTTAAATGTCTTGCTGAGTTGGCGTAAGCCGGGCTTTAAAATGCTTCCAAATGGAGACGGAGAATGTTTTATGCCATATTTACTGTGAATAAGTAGGAGCACTTGTATCCGAAAATGTTCCTTTTTAAATTTGTGCGCAATATAAGAATGTGACTGGGTTTTAGTATTCACAGTAGTTTTAAACTGAACATTACCCACTTTTTTCTTCTTTCTCACCAGAGCAATCATGTTTGAAATTAAGAAAATCTGCTGCATTGGTGCTGGTTATGTAGGTGGACCAACGTGTTCTGTCATTGCACATATGTGCCCCAAAATTAAGGTCACTGTTGTTGATGTCAATGAAGCTAGAATCAATGCATGGAATTCTGATACACTTCCAATTTATGAGGTAACTGAATTTTAATGCTGCAGTTTTCCATTCTTACCTTACTATACTTGTCATGTCACATATCTCTTCCGGGCTGTATTTCATTGTTAGATGTCTCCAAAAATGTGTGCTTCCTTTACTTTTTTTATTTTGCTATCGCTATTTTTTAAATGCTATTGTCATTATTAGCATGTGTATCCTACTCTTCCTCCAAGGAGTTCAGTCACAACAGTCAAGTGAACTGAGTAGAACGGAGCAATAGTGACTGACCCAAGGCCACTTAGTGAGCTTCATGATGGAAGGGGAATTTAATAGTAATATAATAGCAAAAGAGGAGGGCTTGAACAGTGGCTAAGCAGTGAGTCATATGTAACACTTCTAAGAGCTTGAAATCATTTGTGCCCCTTTAAAGAGGTGCTTAACTTTGCGCTAGGAAACGGAGCACAACCAGCAACATATCACAGGATGTAGTGTGGACTGCTCTCTTTTAGTTGCACAACTAGCAGGAGGGAAACATAATTAAAACTGCAGATGTGGGCACAGACCTGGAATTCAAAGAAAAAACTCTGGCCTCTTTTTTTATGTGTAAGAGTCATATAACACATCCACGTCATTGAAAGGGTTGAGTTCCTCGATGTGGCTTAGCTCCCCGAGCCAGAAAAGTAACCAAGTTTGTTTGTAGAAGGAACAAGAGACACTCAATCCTTTTCACTCTATGAGGCACAAAATTGATTTGAATGTTAATGGCTGGAAGTTGTTCCAAGTTTACAGGATTAGATGCTTCAGGACAGGGCATTAGATCTGGTTATTTTCAGGCTTCCCTAAAGAACATAACATTTTACGAAAGATTATTCTTTTGCTGATTAGGGCCTGGGTTTGCCATTTGATTATTTAAAATGAACATGCATTGCACATCCAGGAATTGCACAATTCTGTGAAGAGTCAGCACATTATTTCTGACTGTAGAGTGGTGATTCAATTTTATCTACCTCACAAATGGTTTATTAATGGGAAACATGTCTGTTTCAAGACATGGGGAAGTGGTTGACACTGACATCAGAGCAGTGGTTAATGCTGTTTTAGGGTACACTGGCAGAAGCACAGCCATGTTTTTCAATAGGACATTGAATTATTCTTTCTGTTTAGAAAATTGCCGCAAATTGTGGCACAGAATTACACTAAATGACATGTTGTTTTAAGTCAGTCTTCAAAAAGGGATGGGGCACTTAGAATTCTGAGTTCCTTAAAATTATTGAGATTTAAAGTGTTTCCTTATTTTTTGAATTTATGACCTGATAGGGTTGCTATCAAAGGTTGTTGAGCTTTTTTTAAGGAAACTCTTGACATTGTTGAGCTTCTTTTTACAAAAGCTTGCCTAAAATCCAGGACAAAGCGTCACCTTTGAAATCCCAGGGGAAACCAGACCTATGTCAGCCCTATGACCTGAATATGTAACTCTTAAAACAGCTGCTGGAGTTTATAGTTCAGGTTGCATTAAGGGTAAATAATGGCAAGTGACCTTTGTTAAAGCCCTGTTTCTCTGAATGAGTTAAATTTTAATCCAGAGTATGAAGTATATATACTGAGATGGATCAGTGGGAACTGGGTATGCTTCTTAATACAGTGGTAACTCGGGTTAAGTACTTAATTTGTTCTAGAGGTCCGTTCTTAACCTGAAACTGTTCTTAACCTGAAGCACCGCTTTAGCTAATAGGGCCTCCTGCTGCCGTGGCACCGCCAGAGCACGATTTCTGTTCTCATCCTGAAGCAAAGTTCTTAACCCGAGGTGCTATTTCTGGGTTAGCGGAGTCTGTAACCTGAAGGACCTCCGGAACGAATTCAGTACGTAACCAGAGGTACCACTGTACATGCCAGACATTGTGATTGGGTTTGCACAGAATACTAAACCATGTTTTAGGGTTGCATGTACAAATTTATGCAAGCCCATCAGAGCCTCTGGCTTGACTAGTCGCCTCTCCTCCTCCCACAGAGGCTGGGAGGAACAATGTGCCCAGGATTCAGTTTTGCTTTCCCTGATTCTTGACATTTTTATCTGCAGGCCAGAAATCCTGGTTTATGATAAACTCCAGTTAATTGGAAAACAAACCGACTTCACACCATGGTTCTGAAGTGGGCTTCTTTACCAAACTAGAGTTTATTTTGAACAATGATTCCTGGTTTGTTCATGATCACAAGCCAAGCGTTAGAACAAAATATCTTGATCAAAGGGGTTGGGGGGTCTCTTATGGGGAATGCATGCTGCTTGTTCAGGTATAAAGCACATTTTAACCCTTAAATAACTTGCTGATATTTTTCCAGCCAGGGCTAAAAGAAGTGGTAGAATCCTGCAGAGGAAAGAATCTCTTTTTTTCTACCAGCATTGATGATGCCATCAGAGATGCTGATCTTGTGTTTATTTCTGTAAGTAATTACTTTCCCCCTTGAATAATGCTAGGGGCAAGAATTTTGGGAAGTGGGAGAAAGCAGAGTCTCTTTCTCCATCTGTCTCAATAAGCTACTCTCAGCTGGTTGGTTCATGTTAGGGAGGGAGAGGTTTGCACAGATATACAAAAACCTTTCTGCCCTTTTTTGTGAGTTCCACAAGCACAAATATAAATAGTAGCAGCACTGACAATTTTGTGTGGTGCCTGTAGATTTAAATGGTAGAATAATTTTGCTTTCAGATAGTTCTTCCTAGCCGTACCTGAAAATATCAAGATTTAAATCTGGGACTTTTTGTGTGGAAAACATGTACTGTACTCCATCACTGAGTCATAGCCCATCCCATAAAAAGTGTTGGGGGTGAGGAGAGAATGCCCCGACTGGACTTTGAAAAATGAATTGCAAATCTCATCTTGCTAACAGAATGTTCTAGATAATCAACAAATTGGAAATCAATGGTCAGAATTCTTTTGTGTGTTGGGATTCAGACAATTCAGCTGCTGAAATGCACTCCTTTTCATAATTTAGATAAAACGAATCAAAGGGCATGGAGAAGGAAAAAGCAATTTTGCCTCCAGAATAAAGATTTCAGAGCACTACAGTTGAAGAGATGCCATGAATGGCCTTTTCATAAATTGGGCATGAGCTTAGGGATGCTTCTTTAGTAGCTGTGTTGTGATAGATGGCTCTGCTAGCTCTTTCATTCACTGTGCCAGCCAGCAGCTGGATGAACAAATGGAAACAGAAATCTCTCTATGTTGGAATGAATTATATCGGCACTTCTTTTTTGTGGATGCAGCCATTCACATAACGAGGATGCAAGTTGTACCGAGGCCTGTTTTAAACTATTTTAAACTACTTTTTCTGTGAAGCCTCCCCCCACTCCCCAAACCTGGAAAGGGTTTTCTTCATTCAATAAATTAGGGTGCATGCACCATGCACGCTGTGTGACTATATGTGTTTCTGTGTTTCTTTGGGAGAGGTAGTCTGTTTCAAGAGAAAAAAAAGAAAAGCAGAGTCCTTAAGCTGAGCAGGTGAGAGAGCTAGTCTGATCTCAAAGCTCTTGTAGACATTTGGCTTTGCCACATAATCTGCATTGAGCTGTGCTGAAGAGGCCTCTGGTGGAATCCCTGAAAATTCCTCCTTTGATTGCAGCTTAATAAATATACTCAGGCTGAATCCCTGCCTGATGTTATTCCTCAAACACCAACTGAGATTGTAGGCTTGAAGGCAAATACACCACTGTAGTACCTAACATCTGGACTTTAATGTAAATTTGGTTTCCTTAGTTAGCCAAAGTTGAATGAGAATTTTACATTAATATGACACCCAAGAAATGGGATATCAACGTTTTTTCAACCTCCTAAATAAATGTCCTTTGCTTATACCTGCAACCAGGTTAATACCCCAACAAAGACCTATGGCATGGGAAAAGGTCGGGCAGCAGATCTGAAATACATTGAGGCGTGTGCGAGACGGATTGTGCAGAACTCAAACGGATACAAAATTGTGACTGAGAAAAGCACCGTCCCTGTCCGTGCTGCGGAAAGCATTCGTCGTATATTTGATGCCAACACGAAACCTGACTTAAATTTGCAGGTAAAATAACCATTTTGAATTGAGTGCATTTTGATCTCTCTTTTAATGCATTTGGGGTTGGACTAGATAACCCTAGGGGTGTCCCTTCCAACTTTATCATTCTGTGATTCAGATCAGTCTTTGGTCTTTGTGTGCAGGTTCTGTCTAACCCAGAATTCCTAGCTGAAGGCACAGCAATCAAAGACCTGAAGAATCCAGACCGTGTGCTGATTGGTGGAGATGAGACGCCCGAGGGTCAGAAAGCAGTTCGCGCTCTGTGTGCTGTCTATGAGCAGTGGGTGCCCAAAGAGAAAATCCTTACAACCAACACTTGGTCATCTGAACTTTCCAAACTGGTTGGTATCCTTCGAAATTCTGACATCAACAAAGTAGAGAAAGTATGAAGTATCGGCTTAGCAGTGTTAGATCTTTGGTATTTTGTTAGCTTCTGAAAAGCGCTGTTACAAAATATCAGAGAAGAACCAAGTTTCATCTGTCTGTTTCCACAAAAAGGCTTTCAAACTGCACCACTGATTCATACTCCCAAGGCATCATACAAAGGTTGATGGCATCTGGGCAATATTTACATGGTGTGATTGTCAGTAGCATGTTGATCCCAAGTCCTCAGCTGCTTTATCCAAGGCGGTGTGGCCCACTGGTCAGATCAGGGTAGCTAAGTCAGTAGCAGCCAGAGGCTCCCTAGGACTACCCAGGACCTTAGTAGTAGCAGAGCAGCCCATGTGAACAAGCCTTGAAACTGCTGCCTTGGCTTGGGAAAATCCCACTGCTATTTACAGTCAAACCTCGGTTCCTGAACACCTCCATGTTGGAATGTTTCGGCTCCTGAATGCCAAAACCCCGGAAGTAACTGCTCTGGTTTTCAAATGATTTTCAGAAGCCGAACATGCAACATGGCTTCTGTTTTGAGTGTCCCTATTGTATTGAGGCTTCTGCTTTCAGTTTGCGGTTTGTCAAACATTTCAGAAATTGAACCGTCTTCCAGAACAGATTACGTTTGACAACCGAGGTGTGATTGTACCTTAAGGCTGATTTTGCTGATTGAGCACAAACTACCTGCCTTCATCAGAAGAATTTTGCAACAAGCCCTATTTCATTTTGGTGGGGATAGACAGTGCCTATTAGAAAACCTAAAGCAAATTAAATTCAACACCAGGTGGGTTTATAAAGGAAGAAATCTGAAACAAGGGGCCTGTCACTGGCTCTCGTGGCTTTAGAAGTAAACTTTGGCAATCAGTATCTCAGAATCCTAATTTCTTTGTCCAGTGCCAAGTTACACTATCAGGTAATGCGATAAGACATATGTGCCTCTGGTATTGAGGAATTGTGTGGGGGACTGTGGTTCTGATAAAGAAGTCATTATGCTCCTATAAAGTAGCTATGTTCTAACATTGATGTAATATAATAAATAGCTTTGCTAACAAAGATATATGGATTTTCTAGGACCCACTTTCTAACATTCTGTTCCCATAATAGATGTATTGTCATACTTAATCTGTCGTCCGCCATTCATTTCAGCAGAAAGTAACATTCTGAGGTTGTTTTCTTGTTTCTTTTTCATCTCCAGGCAGCTAATGCTTTCCTCGCCCAGAGAATCAGCAGTATCAACTCCATAAGTGCTCTTTGCGAGGCAACAGGTGCGGACGTTGAAGAAGTTGCAAGAGCCATTGGAATGGACCAAAGGATTGGAAATAAATTTCTGAAAGCCAGTGTTGGTAAATGCTCTCTCTCTTTCTATCTTGGTTGTGACTTTTGGCAATATGGTGTTAAGACAACAGGCCTTTCTAAATATGAGTTTTGTGGCATTCTTAAGTCTGGTCTTCAACCCAGATTTTTCTCAATAACAGTTGCCAATTTTTTTTGACGTTTTCCAAATGTGTAATTCCTTTTTTGACTCTAGCTACAGAATCCTGCTTATTTTAACAGGACATAGAATGTTCTCAGGAGAGAAACTTCTTAAGCATATTCATTTATTTGGAAGGCTCTTAAAACTGGTCAGCATTGATCCTGAAGCAAATAAGTTTTTTGGTTAGCTATCACTGGATATAAAGATACCCATCAGGTGTTTTTAAGGTTGCAAACACCTGGGAATAAGTTCTATTGAACTCTTTAGGGGTGTGCGTCTCATTAAATGTACCTAGGATCAGAGTGCACAAAGAGAAATCATACAGGTGGAGTAATGAGTTTCCTCCTCCCCCATACAGGATTTGGTGGGAGCTGTTTTCAAAAAGATGTTCTGAATTTGGTTTATCTCTGTGAGGCTCTGAACTTGTCAGAAGTCGCTCGTTACTGGCAACAGGTAAGAATGTATGGAGTGGAAATTAAATCTCTTAATAATTAATATAATTATTCTCCTACCTTGTTAGCAAGAGTTTTGTTAGAACTGAGAATAGCATCTATTTTCACATCACTAATACATTTGTTAATACCTCTTTTGCTGCTTTTCAGAACCAAATTATTAATCACTTTTGAGTCCCAATTGGGAAGAAAACCTACTTTCAAATATAGCAACAAGTTTTCATTCATTTATATAGCTTTGGGATTGAGTGACAGTCTTACATCAAATACATTGCTTGGAAATAAGTCCTATTGAACCCAACAGGGCACTGCACAGTAAGGACCTGGATGAGCACTTTGGGCATATTGGACCAGTCTTTTAGGCAGGAAGGAAACTACCCAGGGGAAGCAAGTAGCTGGAGTGCCCGTAGAGAATTTGTGGATTTGGCAATGGGTTCTATAATTCTATAAAGTAAAAATCCAGAGTTACAAAGTTCAGGGTTAGCAGGAAGAAGGAGAAGCCAGTATACAACAGAATCTGCACCAGCAATTGCTTAGGGTGAAGCTGACAACCTAATCAGTCTGCCTCACCCAACTACAAAAGTAGTCCCGGAAATTGATCTCACAAAATGCGCCTAGTTCTGATTCTTTCTGAAAGTCAGACTGCCCAGAGGGTAGGATATAGGCCACTAGTGATCCATTTTTTCCCACTTGCAGAAATTGGTAGGGAGGAGGAAGCTAGGGCCCCAGGAAATTTGACCTCTTGGTGTGGAATGGGCCTCTGGCACTGGGGAGGAAGCAGATTTCTACAACCAAAGGTCCTACAGGCTTGAAATAATCACAAGATTGGCTTTTTCTCCTATTGGGTTCAGAAATTAACTAGCCTCATTGGCCTTTTCATTGTTATTTTTTAAGAGCATGGGTTGGATCCAGACTATTAGTTGAACTTAAGTCACATTGAAATCAGCGACACAGGTTAGTCATGATTTAACTGCTCTCATTCAAATCTATAGGACATAAGTGCAACTAACTGAAGACTAGGTCCAGCCTCCTGCTTCTAAGCCATGTTGTAGAGAAACATTTGAAAATGCTGAGTGATGAAGAGTGGGAGTTTGGTGGTCATTTCTGCTACCTGGATCCCCATCATGGCCTTCTGTGATCAAATCAGAATAGCTGCTTTGCTGCCGTGATATTGCTCCTTACTTTAAAATAGCCATTTTAGACCAAATATGACTAGGAAGAATATGTACATTGATGCAGAATAAGCACATGTGTACATGTAATTGATCTGCATGCATTTTCTTTATCCTTTGGCATTTGAGATCCTGCGCACTCCTTTTATCAAGCGCAGACTCATGGAAATTACTACTAACATTGCATTACCATTGATATAGATTCAGGTAGGTAGCCATGTTGGTCTGATGCAGTTGAAATATAACTGAAGAAGCGTGCATGCGCACGAAAGCTTATACCAAGAACAAACTTAATTGGTCTCCAAGGTGCTACTGGACATTTTTTTTATATATTACCATTGATGTGGCTCTCTGCATCCAATCCAATTGTAGGTGATCGACATGAACGACTATCAGAGGAGAAGATTTGCTTCTCGGATCATTGACAGCTTATTTAACACTGTCACCGACAAGAAGATTGCTATTTTGGGATTTGCATTCAAGAAAGACACCGGAGACACAAGGTAACACAAAGTGAGCTCAAGCCGCAGTTGTAAAAGTTACCTGTTCTCTGAGCTACTTCATGCCATGAGCCAAAATAGACCCAACCTGCGTTCAGAGGAAAACAGGACACTGTTCCCAAAATAAATGCCAAAGATTATACCCTAAGGTGTTGCACTGATATAAAGCTTCCATCAGCAGAGTGAAGAGGGGAGCTGTTTTCAGCACATTCCCTAAATTTGCTCCAGAAGAAAGCCCTTGAGGAAGATTTGGGTGAGTGGGTGTGCTCAGGGGGCTGTTGGAGGGAGGGGAAACTGCTGGAGACAGCTGCTTTCCATTCTGCTGACAGAAGTCTCTCCCCCCCCTCCCCCCCCGTGGAGCAACACTGTTGCATACAACCTCAATAACTTGTTTATTATTGCAGCATTATTGCCCATCTTTCTATTCAAAAGGCTCTTTGTTTTTGAATGAGGTCTCTTTAACAGTCTTGCTGCATTACCTATGGACATTCTCAGTTGCATGAACTTTAAAATCTCTTTTCCAAGCAGCGATGTAGCTTATGGAGAGGAGAACTCCACAGGTAAAGGAATGAGCCTCTGCTTCTCCCACTGATTCACTGGAGGGGAAACCCTTGCATGTTGGGGAACTCCTCTGCCAGTTCTGAAAACATTAGATGGGGCATGTGGGACTGTGCCACAATGGGGAATGGCAGTTACCTGGGATGCTCCAGTGTACCATGTCCCAAGGAGAGAGGGTTGTGCTCACCAACTTTCTCTCCCTGACCCTGACCCTCGATTGGTTGAGTCAGGGAATTCCCCCTCTTTCCTCCCATCTTCTGGCCCTCACTTCTGACTCTAGAGAGAGTTGTGCAGTTGGCGCATGTTGCAACAAGCTTGTGCCTTGAGACACAGGTTTCTCTGAATCTGAGTTTCTCCCTAAAGGGGGCAATTTGCAGGAAACGGTTGCTAAATTCTCACAGGCCCATTGATCTCCTGTGACCCATTTGCCTTTGGGGTTTTCTTGCAGCCACTTACCCATGCCCCCTGGGCAGTCTCCCGCCTCTTTGGCCCACCCATCAATCATCCCAGTAACCCAGAGGGATATGTTGCATAGAGATTCCCAAAAATGGGGAGAGGTTCCGACTCAAGGTGGAAATTCTGCCCTATTAAAGAGGGGTTTTTTCTGGCCAGAATTCCAAGAACTACACAACTAGTTCCTTGTGCCCTAGGACTTGTCTTAAACAGTAGCCCACTCCTGCAGACACTTGTGCAAACTGCTTTTGAAACCAAGGTGACTTTTAGAAGTAATTTGTGCTATGGCATGGAGCTGGGTTGCTTTTTAAAGAAAATAACAAGATTTAAAAATCCCACTAGGTATGTCCAAGCCCTAGGTGCCCGTGAAAGTACTTTTTGCATTCTGCTCTTTGTAGGTTCTATCTTTATGGGTTCAAAATGTCATCTATAGGACTCTGAGAACTAGAAACTTTCTTGTTATAACATGAAAAAAAGAAAGCTGTGATAGTTAAGAATGGGAATTCTGTGGCAGACACCAGTTTCTAGTGAACAAAAGGGTAACTTTCCTGGTTTTGAGATCATGATACAAGCCAGGTAATTGGATAACAAGTTATCTGATAGGATAGATAATTTCCCCTTGACCTGTTAAATTGATGGAAGTTTCTTATTTACCCGAGCTTAGCTTATTTGGAGCTCTGATTTATCTGCCCAGCAATTGTTCTTGGCTTGTGGTGAGTTCAATGCACATTTAAAGCTGACTGTGCAGACAGATGTTCATCCAGTTGCTCAGTAGTGCAGCTTGATTGAGGTTTAGTGCTACAGACCTCACAAAAGATCAAAAACCAGTCTGATGGGGCAACGGACCATACAGTGGAAGCTTAACTGTGTATCCAGTTGTAATGCAGTGAAAAACAGATTTTGGTCATATAAACAGGTGACGTGGAAGATCAGATTTGGCGCAAGTTAAAAGGGGGTTTAATTAAGGCTCATGTTAAGACAGTGGAATATTATGAGAGAGAGAGGGGGAGACACAGAAGAGGAGGGAGTTGTATTTTTTAAAAAATGTTCTGGAGACACTGGCTCTAATATAATATAGTTTCTGTATAATCTGCAGCTAATTTGCCATCTGATAACTTCTTTTCTAGTTACCTTTGGCCTGGAGTGGCCCTTCTCTGTTTATGGCTTTAGGATTAACAGAGTAAGCCAAGGCCATGACTCAGCAGTAATTCCCTGATTTTACCGTCTGAGTTGACAAAAACTCTGTTAACCACAGATTTTAAGAGGAAAAGATGGCATTTTTTTGAGACCTTTACAGTGCAGAATGGCAAGCTTGGAAAAATGTTGCGGCAAGGTGGGAAAAGCTGCTGAAAAGCTGTGTTTCGTTTCTATTCCTTGTTTATTCATTTGGTTTTGCTAGTAGCAAAACCTTACAATATAAGACTTACTCTTGCAAGATAAGACTATGACAACAAGGGACACTGTTTCCCCAGGTTTGTCCGATCATGATGAACATGCAAATTATTTGATCTCCGGGAGGCTTCAGATGCCAGATTTATAGTGCTAGCCTTTGTCTGTTTACTTGGAAATTAAGTTTCACTGTGTTCAAGGGGACTTACTCTTTAGTAAGTTAAGATCCTGTAGGACACCAACTACCTCCTGCCCACTTGCATTCCACAAATCACATTGCAGCTTGTTCATGAAGGCTTCTCAGTAAAAAGTTGATGGGTTGTTGTTTTTTTCTGTAGAGAGTCCTCCAGCATCTACATCAGCAAGTATTTAATGGATGAAGGAGCGAAACTTCATATCTACGACCCTAAAGTGCTAAAGGAACAAATCATTCTAGATCTTTCTCATCCAGGTGTATCTGAGGATGATCAAGGTGAGTGGGGCTTGCTTTTTACAAGCATCTCCAGCTCTGAGGGCATAGGCTTGTCTGTACAATAAAAACAAGCTACTCTTCTTCTTCTTCTTTGGTGATCACTCGTAGCTGATTGTCTTCCATGAACACAGTCAACAGCAAGTCCGTAAGTGACTGTGGAGGCTAATTCTGGATCCACACGTCCTTCCACAGTGGGGACATAGGTTTCTGGGTGGGAGCTGATCACAGGTGAGGGTTTGCCAAGCATGCCTTCCTCTTAGCACGTTTCTCCTTTTCACCCCGAGTTCGTGCTTCTTCGAAGTCCATGACACCTCTGGTAAAGGCTGTTTTCCAACTGGAGCGCTCACAGGCCAGTGTTTCCCAGTTATCAGTGGGAAACCCTTAAAAACAGTAGCATAACCTAGAGCATGTTCCTCCTTCCATCTAGTGCAGGACATTTTGGAGTATAGCTATTTAAGAGTCAGAACTGAAGAACACCGATGTGTCCCTTGCAAGAGGTAGTTTCACAGGACTGAGGCATAAACTGGAAAACTCCTGTTCCTTACTGCCAACAACTCAAATGCTCAAACGGAACAGACCTCCCATTGATAACCATAAAAGTTAATTAAAGTTTAGTTTGACAAAACTGCAGGATGCAGTGGAAGACAGGAGTGCCTGGCGTGCTCTGGTCCAAGGGGTCACGAAGAGTCGGACACGACTAAACAACAACAGCAACAACTAATTAAAGTTGTATGTAGGCTGTGTATCTGTGGAAAGTGGGGTCAGGGCAGTTCATAGTATGGTATGTGGGGTCCAGAGAATCTCTCTTTTTTTCTTCTTCTTCTTCTTCTTTTAGTTTTAAAGCACGTTTCTATCCCTCATCACTATACAGTTGTGCTTGATAGTGTATAGGAAATGTCTGGTGAAATGCTGGGTGTCAGAGGAGTTGCTGAATAAGATTTTCAGCACTTGAGGTGTGTTGCAGCCAAAATTCAGCCATTCTCAGTACTCAGCTTTAGTTACTGATTTATTAGTACAGAGTACACAGAGTCCTGACTGTAACTGCATACTGAAGTATAATAGCAGAGATCGCAAGCTATTGCCCAGTCAAAGTCCTTTATGCTTTCTAAGTGCAGAATAATCCTAGGCTGTCACTGTACTACGACTAGAAAGATGGTGCTGCTGAACTGGTGGGACAGCTGCCGCCACAAGTGTGTGCTCAGCCTGGAAAAGGAGGGGCAAAATGCACAACTAGCAAATGCACATGGCAGGGAAACAACAGGCATATCCCCAGTGTCCCTGGAAACTGCCAGTGCCCACCAGTCGGGGACTGTCCTACTGCCAATATCCAGCTACTGCCCATACATTGGGTGGGTGGGGTCAATGAATTCTCCACAACTGATACATACACGCCAGCATCAACACATAAGCATCACACAGGATCATACTGCGATGCCTCCATTCCATCAGCCCCAATGGCACAGTAACCAACAAGCCCAGCTGCTCCCAGTCCCCAGGCAGCCCTCCAGGCAGGGGTGTGGAGCTCCTCCTATGCCTTTACCACCTCTGCTTTCAAGCCCAAAGGGGGGAGGAAGAATCACCACCCAACACCCACGTAGTTTCCTGGCCGGTATGCCTTCAGACATCACACACAGCCGTCCTGGGCCAAGAGTTCAAGAGCAGCCTGTGGAATGGTTGGCAGCATGTTCCATCAGTGCATCTGAAGCCTATCCATCACAGCAGCGAGATGAGCGCCACACACCATAGTCAAATTTGACTGGAATTAATTGTCCAGGGGTCCTTTACAGCAGCGGTGTATCTGGCCTTGATTTAAAACGTTTTCATCCTCTCCTTCAGCCAGAAAAGCCTCCCTAAGTGGCTTACACGGGTCATTGTGGTTTGTTTTTGCCAGCAACATAGATCCTGTGCCGGCAAATCTTTGGCATAAAATGGTGCCACAAATCTCTCGTTGAAATCAATTCACAGGGAGAATACTGAAGTGAAGGCCCAAGACAGGTGTTGATCATGATGTGAGCTGTGCACAGGTGGTCTGAAGCGAGCTACCACCATTCCTGTGGAGCCTCCTTTTATTGAGACAAATATGCAAATATGCAAGCCAAATATACACTTTGGGCTGTGACCTTTACACATCTTCCGTCCCGAGATCGTGGGGTGGTACAAAGCTATTTTGGCACCTGTTCCACAGCGTCATTTTCCCCTTGCACAGTGTATGACGAATGGAGACAAAAGGTCTCAGGGAAAAGAGGTCACAGACAGGACACCGCTAACTGCTGAGACCGCAAAAGGTCAGACATAGGTGGAACGATGTACCAGACAGCTTTTGGCTTGTCTGAGGGGGGGGGGTTTCCCTGCACCCCAGGGTCATGTGTACAGGCAGACTATGGCTGCCTGCTGGTGGAAAGTGTGCTCCCTCCAGACCCCACTGTCCACTCGGCGATATCCCTACAGAATACTATGAAGATGATGTACAGATGGCATCAAACCCTGGCAAAACTTGCCAAAATGTATAAAAACAGATCACCCCTGTGTTGGAGATGTAAAAAAGAGAAAGGGTCCTGTCTACACATGTGGTGGAATTGTATAGAAATCCATGAATTCTGGAATATATACAAGGAACTCAAAAAACTACTTTAACTTACTTTAAAAAAAAGACCGGAAATTTTCCTCCTAAGCATGCTGCCAAAGGAACTTGGAAAATCAAAAAGACCATTGACCATGTATGGGATAACAGCTGTCAGAATATTAGTGGCAAGAAACTGGAAGAGTCAATCAGTACCCAGTATTGTGGATTGGCAGAATCTAATGGTATAATACCTGCAGCTAGCAAAGATGACAGAAAGAGAGGTCAGACAAAACAGAGAGACTATAAGGAACGGAGAATATATAAAGAATACTTAGAAAATTATGGTGTAAACAGAAATCTGGCAGAATTAGACTGATCCTTGAAATTTATAAAAGGTAACTGAGGTATAATGAAAAATCACAAGAAACGGGTAACTGCGGTATAATGTACCGTATTTTTCGCTCTATAACGCACCCAACCATAACACGCACGTAGTTTTTAGAGGAGGAAAACAAGAAAAAAAAATTCTAAACGAAACAGTGGATGTATGATTTTTGTGGTTCATGCTGTGGCCACAGACATGTGATCTGACAGTGAGTTTGGAGTAGCCCAATACAAAAATCCTGAGGATCCATGTGGATCCATGCTTTGTAACCATGTTTTTGCACCACTGCGGCCCCAGGCAACAGTGGGTGCATGATTTTTTTCGTGCAAGATGTAGCCATGGACATGCTATGTGATCTGATGGTGAATTTGGGGTGACCCAGTACAAAAATCCTGAGGATCCATGTGGATCCGTGCTTTGTAACCACGTTTTAAGTGGGGAGGGAAGGAAAAGCACTCAAGGGACAAGGAGCACGCGTGGGGTGTGTGGAGAAGGATGCTGCTAATAATGCAGAAGAGGGGTTTAAGGGGAGAAGGAACATGCGTGGGGTGGGTAGAGAAGGATGCTGCTAATAATGCAGGAGAGGGCATTAAGGGGAGAAGGCTCCTCTCCTCTCCCGCTTTGCTCCTTTAAAGCAAGCAGGCTCTGCTTTTCTCCCTCCTCCCCGCTCATCCCCGGCTTAGCGAGCTGAAAAACTTTGCTGCTATGTAGTGAGCTGAGTGGGGAGGAGAGAGGGACAGAGAGCCTGCTTGGTTTAAAGGAACCAACCAGACAAGAGCTGCTTACACGAGTGTAAGCAGCTCCTCTCCTCTCCCGCTTTGCTCCTTTAAAGAAGCAGGCTCTCTGTCCCTCTCTCCTCCCCACTCAGCGGCTCTTCTCCCGCTTTGCTGTTTCAAAGCGAGCCATGGAGGAGGGAAGGAAGGGGAACATGGATCCTCTGCTCACAACTGCAGCAGATCCCCCCGCCACCCGTAGGCATTCCCTCCATAACACGCACAGACATTTCCCCTTACTTTCTGAGAGAAAAAAAGTGAGTGTTATGGTGCAAAAAATACAGTATATAACAGATATAGTACAATTAGAATACTTGGAAGTCTTTTTAAATGTTTGCAGCACTTTTTGTTTCTAATTATTTGTTTCTAATTATCTAATTAAGTATTAACAAAATACTTAATGTTGAGGAATTCCATAATTACATGTTTTTTCCCCCTTGATTTTTATACCCTTGTCCTTATCTTGCGTTTTTCTTCTTTCTTTCCTTCTTTCCTTTCTTTCTTTTTCTTTTTTTCTTATGATGTAAGCTTGTAATGGCAAATACTGTATGGATGTATTCATTTTAACTCAATAAAGATTGACTAAAAAAAAATGAAATCAATTCACAGTCCTGCTGTTTCTCTCCCTCCCTGCTCCTTACAGTGTCTCGACTGGTCACCATTAGCAAAGACCCGTATGAAGCCTGTGATGGAGCCCATGCCCTAGTTATCTGCACCGAGTGGGACATGTTTAAGGTAAACAGAATGTCATTTAGCAACATTCAGAAGAATCAGGGCTAGCAGCTGCCATCCCTGAAACAGTCTCTGAGTAGTTGGGGTTTTTTTATATATGTATATAGGAGCTGGATTACGAGCGAATTCACAAAAAGATGTTGAAGCCAGCGTTCATCTTTGATGGCAGAAGAGTCCTTGATGACCTTCATAATGAATTGCAGGGCATTGGCTTCCAGGTAAGTTTTGCTTTTGCCCATCCACTAATTCACATTAAAATCCTTGTATGGTTTTAGAGGGAAGCAGAGCAAGGTTTTATGCAATCCCTACACCATCATGGCCTCTTTTGGTATTAATCTGAGAGTGCTGCATATTTTCTAGGTTTCATAGAATCATACAGTTGGCAGGGACCTTGGGGGTCATCTAGACCAACCCCCTGCAATGTGGGAATCTCCACTAAAGCATCCATGACAGACAGCCATCCAGCCTCCAATGAAGGAGAGTCCACCACCTTCCAAGGGAGTCCATCCACTGTCGGAACAGTTCTTACCATCAGAAAGTTATTCCTGATGTTTATTTGGAATCTCCTTTCTTGTAACTTGAAGCCATATGATAGGTCAGAGCATAGAAATGCTTACCCGTGTTGTTCCAGGCAGGTATTGGTTTGTAGGATGTTGGTGGGCCTGGACAGTATCTTGGGCAATGCATACCTTAGGCTGCATACTGTGGTGGCGCCTTGGGCCATGCCAGAGCCTTCAGCAGCAGTGCATGACTTTTATCTGTGGAGATACCTTTGCACAAGCCTTGAGTCATCCCTGGATGTAGCTAAGTTACTTGGTCTAAACCACTTAGCCTCTTGAGCTTGCCAATCAGAAGGTTGGTGGTTTGAATCCCTGTGGCGGAGTGAGCTCCTGTTGCTCTGTCCCAGTTCCTGCCAACCTAGCAGTTCAAAAGCATGCCAGTGCAAGTAGATAAATAGGTATCCCTGCGGCGGGAAGGTAAACGGTGTTTCTGTACACTCTGACTTCTGTCACGGTGTCCCATTGCGCAAGAAGTGGTTTAGTCATGCTGGCCACATGACCCAGAAAGCTGTCTGTGGACAAACACCAACTCCCTTGGCCTAAAAGCAAGATGAGCGCCACAACCCTACAGTCACCTTTGACTGGACTTAACCATCTAGGGGTCCTTTACCTTACCATGAACTTGCATGCTTTTGTCCTAAAAATTGCCAATATTCTGAGTTACTGTAAGCGGGGAGACCAGCTCGCAAGGCTTTTGTCCAGATCAAATTGGCTAGAAACCCGGGTTATTTATAATTTATTATCTTAGTTGTTACCGTATTTTTCGCCCCATAGGACACACTTTTTCCCCTCCAAAAATGAAGGGGAAATGTGTGTGCGTCCTATGGGGCGAATGCAGGCTTTCGCTGAAGCCTGGAGAGCGAGAGGCCTCGGTGCGCACCGACCCCTCTCGCTCTCCAGGCTTCAGGAAGCTATCTGCAAGCCTTGCAAGCCCGGCGGGAGTTCCCGCGGGCTCCCAAGGCTTGCGGGCAGCAGCCTGCAGCCCCGGCGAGGTCCCGCCGGGCGCGCTAGGCTTGGGGCGGCAGCCTGCAGCCCGAAGCACGCGGAGCCCTCCAGAGGGTGCCCCATGCTTCGGGCAGGTGTGCGCATACTTGGGGCGGCAGCCGCAGCGGGGGGGGGGGTTTAAAATTCATTTCCCCCCCCAAAAAACGAGGTGCATCCTATGGGCCGGTGCGCCCTATAGGACGAAAAATACGGTAAATTTCTATACTGCCCTTCATCCAAGGATCACATGTTCTTTCAATATAAAAGCACAATCTGGAGATCATATTCCTGTCTTAGGTGTGCCTGCTTGATTTGGGGTGAACCATTGCCTGCATTACGTAGGTCGATCTGACGTGCATGGTCCTGATTTTGGGTGAGGGACAGAAGTAAATTGTCTTTAGTTCCCTCATTATACCATTGTAAGGATCTTAATACACCTAGTGAGAATGAGAACCAGCCTAAGGCGTTCATACATCCTCCCTGTCTTTGCAACATTTATCTGGCATAGAAGGCAATAGTTGTGGAATATTCTGGTTCAGATATCTGAAGGAAAGATGTCCCTGAACTCTAGATATTGAAACCTTTCTGTAGCACTAGCAACATAAAGGATAAGGGAATTCCTACGTTTTAGAAACAAGGGATCTTCTATATGCACTGATCAGAACCTGGTAGAAACACACAAACCTAGGCATTTTCTTAGTCTTAGCACATTAGAGATGTTGGGGCGGGGAGGGATGTTTATACCTGAACTGGCCCAAGAGGACCGTGTGACTTCAGAAGGCACTTGTGAAATCGTATTTTGGGAACACCAGCGGTTGTATACTTTGTCTGACTTAACCTCCCTATGTTTTGTTCCCTTCAGATTGAGACAATTGGGAAGAAGGTGTCGGCAAAAAGGATTCCGTTTGCTTCTTCATGTGACATACCAAAGTTTAGCTTGCAAGATCCTCCTCTCAAGAAGCCAAGGGTATAGGTTTCAATTGTCACAGAAGGGCTCTTCCCATGGGAGCTGTAAACCAGCATGAATTAAAACAAAAAACGGGGGGAAATGGGACACAATGGAGCCAAAGTTAAGTGCTTGTCCTTTTGATATCAATGGGACAGGTAATCATGTCCTCAAATATTTCCTTTTGAGATCAACAGGACTAAAAAGTACTTAACTCTGACTGAATCATGCTGAATATTTTCTCATAATGAAGACATTTTTTTCAATAATAGCATTGTAGCTGGGACATTTCAATCCAGAATCTGTTTTATAATCTCTATTTTTATAATACTGGAACTTTTGTCATTGAAGTGAAAAACTGTACAGTCATAGATGATTTTAGTAATTTTTATATATAAAAACTCAGATTCAACCTTCCAAGACTTCCTACTCTGTGAGGTTTACAAACTGCACTTTAAATTTTTATGATGTATGTTGCGGTCCAAAAGAAAAAGGGATTTTCCCATCTTGTTTGATACGCTAATCTGTACAATGCCACGCAACATTGTTCATTTTAATTTGACTCTAGGCAGGTGTGGGCAGCTTGCTCAAGGATAGCTTTTCTTTTTACCATAATATGTGAACCACGGGGCTCAATGGAAGGTCTGTTGCTCCTATGAAACACCACATCTTCCTATTTTGGTGTTGGGATGGCTGCAGAGATGGGTTTTTGGGATCAGAAAGCAGCCTGAGGTCAATACATTCCTTGTGGTAACGTTATAATAAAATCAATGATTGATTATTTGTTATCCTGAGACTTGCTGCCTGGGACAAGCTGCCTCATTCCTACCCTATCCTTTCAGCAGCAGGTTCTTGTCTATAAAATAACATGCCTCTATAGAAGTGTAGAACTGGCTGAAAATACGGTACTAAGCAGTATATGAATCATATGCAATATAACTTTACAAACCTGAGAGCCCTGTTAAAGAGGAATGGTCTGGATATGTGCTCTATATTTTGCAAACTGTTCTACCATTACAGCATGACTGCAACAGGCCACAAACCTGATCATCAGAAGTCATTAAAAATCCTCCCAAGGCAAGCAGGAAGATAAGCTTTTTATAACATGGAGTCTGTGCTTTATTCTCTTAGGTACACAAGCATGGGCTAGTAGCTTTTACAGCCTCCGCTCAAAGTGAGAGAATAATGAAGTTTTCACTTCCTATTGTAGCCAAAAGCTGCTTCTATTTGGTTTCAACAACTTTTGATTTCATCCAGAAATAAAAGTGGTTTTTCCAAGTTTCTGCAGTGGCTCTGAAGTCAAATCCCTACTACAGCAAATACTGTCTTTACTAGAAGATCACACCTGGTCCAGTTCTCTCTAGATCATAGATTTAATTTTACTAGAGCAAGGGTTCTTAAAGTGAAAGCTCTGCATGTTGGTAAAAACAGGCGGATTCCTCCTTTCCCCATTACCAGGGCATTGAGCTAGGAAGCGGAATTCCAATCAGTGCATTGTTAGTGGCTCTTTAATCTGCACCACCACTATTCAACTTGCCAAAAGTCATACAACGGCCACCTGTTTTTAATTGTTTTTTGGGCTTCCTACATTTATTGGGAGTGGAAGCATAGCAAAAACTCACAATCCTTCCACTTTCTTTTGATCAACTGCAAGCACTGCTCCCTAGAACTGCCTTTCTAGCAATACAGTCTCCCAAACCATTTCCATTAACATATTTTTTTGCATTAAGTCCAATTTCTGGAAGGGACATCACTCATAAAGCAACCGCATATCATTCATGACTGCCGTGAAACACAGTGGTTTCCCACTGCTGTTTCAACACTTGACTTAACGCTCAAGAATATTGCCAGAACAAAAAGTTCACAGAGTTCCAGCAGAACAGAACCTTATGTCATATATTATAATCTGCTTACTACCTCACTGTGATTACAAAAAATAAATCTTTGTCTACTCATTGGTAACAGTCTACTGTGATGCTTAGCTTTTTCCAGTATTGAGTTGGTTCTATTAAATACCTTTGAGGCAGGGGGGACATTCCCAGCGTGAGATACATAACGAAAACCATGGTATTCCTCCCAGCCCTAAAAAGTATTGAGGATGCTAAATATTATCAATGCGGCATAACCTTCAAATGACACTATGCTGTTGCAAATCTTTTGAAGGGTTTCTGCAGTCCCACCCCACAATGAACAGACCTTCACTACACCTTATAACGGTACAGTTGTTTCATTAAAAAAGTAAAAATCCATCATTCCAACCCTAAATTAATACACAGAAATTTCAGGGATTCGTACTGCAAAATGGAAGTGTGAAGTATATAAATATGCCACATTTTTTTTTAAAAATACTTGATGGGGTTAGAAAAAAGGCCCTCTCCCCTTGGAATTGATAAAACACCTCCTTAGATCAATAGCAATTCTTGGGTTTTAGCCCCAGCTGTGCAGTGCTTAATTTCTAACAGTTTATGTTTGGACAAAATACTAAGATCAAATTTTCCTCCTCCGTAAGGGATAATTTCAATTTCCATAAAGATCTATTCCCTTTTCTTGAAATTGATTAAATATACCTTATGTCAGTCTCAACTAATTAGAGAAACCAAGCCAAATTTTCTGAGTTTTCTTTTGTACATCCAGTGGAGGTCCTTTGCCTTTGCACTCAGCGGCTCATACAATTTGTGTGCGCGCAGAGTGATGGGGACATCATAAAGAAACACTCGTGTATGTGTGCAGCATTTGAATAGTTCCATTTAAAATGAGTTTGCTCTTTGAGCAAGAGCTCTTTTGTGGAAAGTTTCATAGTGCGTTGCCTCTTCAACAAGTGCTGCTGTGTAAAAGCTCCCATAAATGCTGTGTACGGTTCATATCCACATCTTGGAATTGCAACCTATTGCTGATAATGCTATCACAAGCCCATGCTACACTGCTATCCCTAATGTTCGCTAGCACACCTGCTGATGAGATCAAACTTTTCAGAAAACAATGTTTAAATAGTAAAACACTAAGGGATGCTATCGATGCATGGTAAAATCCAGCCAGATTTAACCATATCTCTGTTTGATGGTAAAGGATGTACTCTCTCAATAATCAATATTGACGATTTTGACTGTGCCTCATAATGTTTGCACATTGGCTTGTAGGATTTTTTTTTAAAAAAATGAAATGACAAGAGTGTAAATATGGGTGCATACAAAGTTTGAAGAAATGCTGCACACTGTGTTCAGCTGTTTATTACTGGTATTATCTGCAAGATATTTAAAATATGCATCTAACTCTTAATTTTCCCAATGGGTATATCTCATGGTGCAGTTATTCCTTCATATGTTAGAAAGCAGAGGTTTGCTAAGGTAGATCTGTACCACTTACTTAGAAAGAAACCAACAAATCCCTTAGAACTTAATTTTGAATGTATATGTATAGGATTGCACTGTAAGCCATATAATACATATTAACATTTTTTAAACTACAGTAGAAGATAGCAGTTCAGAAACAACCTGAATCATTCATGGCTAAGTTTAAATGCTTGCAGGGGCAATGGCAATAAACAAAAGCATCTTGAATGTTCTTCCTTTATTTGTGATGCTGCCATCTGGAATCCATTAGAGTTGCCCATGAACTTTTTACATTTCAGATGTCTTTCTTCTTCCTCTTCTGTACCAAATTCTTCAAGAAAAATTCACCTGCACAGACAAAAAGAAAACATGCATCTATTTTAACAGAGTAGCAAGCATCTTGTGACTGTATTCTTTAGCCTGTGTTGTAGGAAAGAAATGAGCAGTAGCATCTACAGAAGGCAGCTGAAAAGAATCCTTGCTGCCTATTACTCTCTTAGCGCTGCAGGAATTAACCCTGTGTCAAACGGGGCAAGTCACATAAGCAAACTATTTCCCCCAGCATAAATCATCTCGGTTCTTAAAAGGTTTTAAATGAGAAAGACTTGGAATGTTAGGCAGCAGGAAAAAAAACGAGGCTTTCTAAACCTTCTGATGATATTTAATCAAAGGTAAGTCATACCAATGTCAATGTAATAGGATTGCTGCATTTAATGAATATTTCCTCTTGGCAAAGGAGCCGCTTTTGGATCGGGAAAGAGCAATCCTGGAAAACTTGCAAATGGTGGTTTCCCTGAAATTTTAACACTGAACAAGCAAATGTAGGGAAATGCTAGCATCGTGGCAACTGTGCTGTTGATGGGAGGGAGGTATTCAGTTGCTGTGCTACCCAAAGACCGCTAGACTATTTTGGATGGCTGTAAAAAGTATAAGGAATAGCACAATCCTTGTGTGGGTTATAGTTGTCAGGCATGGCTTCTCGGCATTTGTCACTCGCAGATTTCGCACTGAACATTATATGTAACTGAAGAGATAGATAAATCTCAGGAGCAGCACAAGATCTATGAGCTGCACATTATTGGGTGCTTCTGTAAATCATGGTACAGCCAAAAAGCAAATGATAAAAAAATCAGACCTTGAACTGACACTTCTGTAAATCATAGATGAGCCAGGAAGCAAATAAATTTTTAAAATTCTGGCCTTTAGCCATTTTTAGTTTTTGTCATGCTTTCTGCAGCAAGTATGTTTGTTTAATTCACACCAGCAGACATACTCCCATGTTGAATGCAGTATGTACAACTTTAAAATAAAACTAAATTAGATCACTGTAGTTCACACTGCATATGAACTACTTGCTCTACTGCTTTTGCCACCTAAAAGATTACAACTATGAAGATCTGTATTTCAAACTTCGTAAGTAATATTTCCCATCTAAGTTGTATAACACACTAAGGCTATAATCAGTGTCAGAAGCAAGTCCCATTGAATACAGGTATTAGTTTAAAGGGAACCGTACTTAAGAGTTTGCATGTCACAACAAAAGCTGCAAGTTACTCACCAATGTATATCTGAATTTTAGCTACGGCCACAATCTATTGTATCTTGCCTCTATCCTATTGCCATTTCTCCACTGGCATGAAGGAACATGGTACAAAATGAAGAAAGTGGTGGACTGCACCCCAGGCAACTCGCAACACATGAAACAAAATGCCTAGGCAGATTATCTGACTATCATGGAACAAATAACATTTTCTATAAATCATGCCTGTCCAGCTACTCTTCAAAAGTAACATGATGGGCCATATTCAGTTGCACTAATGTTAAGCATTAGTGCTAGTGCAAGTGGATTCCACCCCAGTGCTCCACATACAATTCTATTCCATCCCCAAATCTGTTCCAGAGGGTTGGGAGAACCCCGGAAAAGATTTAAGGGACGAGGAGAGGGAGACCTAGAGGGAGAGAATGTTCTGTTGTGCAAGGAGAAATCCTTGTCCTGCACTCAGAGAACATTTTGCTTAGTGTTACACTGAATAAAACCCAATGCCTGTACATATAAAGCTAAAGGTGTATTGCACTTGCCAATAAGGGGGCAAGTTTAAACGGAAGTTTGCATAAATTTATATAGTTCAGCTCATCTAGCAAACTATGTATCTCACCTGCTTTGTAGGAGGAACGCACAAGAGGCCCACTCGCAGTGTAATGAAACCCAAGATCATTTCCTACGTTTTCCCAATGTTTAAATTTCTCAGGAGTAATATATTCTTCGACCTGGATAGAAGAATACATTTTCATCATGATCCAGTCATTTTCAAAATGCATATATCCCTAACCTTAACAAGCACAGACTACAACATCCACAACTAAATTGTACACGGATCTGTGTTCCAAAAGAAACTGAGGCTGGCATAATTGCCTCACCTTAAGATTCCCATCCCAGAAGGCATATCCCAAGTCACTTTCAGCCTTCAATCCAGAAAATGTGATATATTTTCAAACAATAAACTTCCAGTACAATTTTACCTTTAAATGGCGCTTTGTGGGTTGCATGTATTGTCCCAAGGTCAAACAGTCTACGTCAGCCTCACGTAATACTATAAAAATTAAACATATATCTAGTGAATGACAGAAATATAGCATTGTTTATTCTTCCAAACCTCAGTGGTGCCTGGTTTTAAGCAGCACATTTAAGAGAGCAGATAAAGTATGTTTGTTGAAACTGCCAGGTTTCCTAAATGAGGAAGAAAAAAAACCATATCAAAAGTTAAGAAAGAGACCCAAAATGAAAACTCTTTTCAATCTCCAATCAGCTTGCCCCATATCTGAACTCAATATGCAGGAATGAGTTTGCTTTAAGGAGTGAGCCTCAGAAATTGTGCATGGACAGGTTAGCATATGGCTATTAGAATAACATGCTCCAAAACTCAGCTATGGTCCCTACGCAGCTTACAGTCATGGGAAAAAGAAAGTGCACCCTCTTTGTGCAATGGCCCAGTCAAAATCCAGTCCTCAATCCAATTGAAACGCTACGCGGGACCTTAAGAGAGCTGTTTATAAACAAATGCCAGCAAACCTCAATGAACTGAAGCAACATTGTAAAGAAGAGGGGACCAAAATTCCTCCACAACAATGAGAGAGGTGGATAAAGTCCTACAGAAAACAATTACTTCATGTTATTGAATCATAAGGTGTATTTAGTTTTTCACACATGACTTTTCCATTTTGGTTTTATTTCTATGTAATATGTCATGTGTTCTTCATCTGAGGTTGTATTTACCTAATTTTAAGACCTGCTAAGGAACAGGTGAAGGGACGCGGGTGGCTCTGTGGGTTAAACCACAGAGCCTAGGACTTGCCGATCAGAAGGTCGGCAGTTCGAATCCCCGCGACGGGGTGAGCTCCTGTTGCTTGGTCCCTGCTCCTGCCAACCTAGCAGTTCGAAAGCACGTCAAAGTGCAAGTAGATAAATAGGTACCGCTCTGGCTGAAAGGTAAACGGTGTTTCTGTGCGCTGCTCTGGTTCGCCAGAAGCAGCTTAGTCATGCTGGCCACATGACCCGGAAGCTGTACGCCGGCTCCCTTGGCTAATAAAGCGAGATGAGCACCACAACCCCAAAGTCAGCCACGACTGGACCTAATGGTCAGGGGTCCCTTTACCTTTACCTTTAAGTAACAGGTGATTGTTATTATGTCTTCGTATGTAAAACTACAGAATTCAAAGAGGGTGCACTTTCTTTTTCCTTGAATCTGTGAATCATGGCCTCTATCCACACAAAATCCTGACTTACATTTCAATGTGTTGTATATTTGTTCATCTGTTTCACCAAGACCAAGCATGATGGATGTTTTGGAAATTACATCAGGCTGAACTTTCTTAGCATGCTTCAAAACACTGAGGGACTGGTCGAAGTTAGCTCGAGGATCCCGAACTTTTCTTTAAGAAAAGAAATAATAAAGAATAATTTAGCATAACAAGAATGGATCTTGTCACACCTCTGGAAAAACCTTCTGCAGAACCCACTGGATCAGATGAGTCAAACTAAGTAAGAATACACAGATCAAGAATACCTTCTCAAACATTGAACTGAAAACTCGTTCAGAGTAACTGGATTGAAAGGGTAACAGGAATTTGCCAATGCCCATCACAACAACAACAAAAACTAACCTTATCAAGGAATGAAAGATGGTCAGATACTGTATTGTCATAGTTCCAGAATCTACCTTTCATAACTGCTTCCAAAGGTTGTGTGTGTGTGTGTGTGTGTGTACACACATTTTTTCTTCTGTCTTTATAACATTACCTTCAATGTGTATCAGGCTGAACGACATCACCCTTGCTCTGAGAAAAATATTCAAAAGAACGACAGAGAGAACAACACTCTCTATGATGGGTGATATCCCCATTTAATCGAAATGGGGCAACTATTGCAAGTTATTTTTTTCACCTGCATAAGCAGACAGATGTCTTGGTATGAATGACTAGTACATGTGATCGGATTTATGACAAGCCTATGAACAGCAAAACAGGAATCTAGGAGACAATTCTCAAGCCACTTAAATATTTGGCTTTTACAAAAGGCATTCATTGTGCTGGCGGTCCTAAAAGTAACTTCCAGGGATCAATCCTTGATGGAATATGTAAAACACGGAATGTCAGTTTGGGGTGAAGCACCCCGCGGTTAATCACTACCACTGCAGTTTGCTTTCATTTGACGGCAAAGCATACATTTATTATGACCAGTAAATAGCTAGAGTATAGAGAGGCTCATTCTGATAAAATCTGAGAACTGTGGTTATACAAAGCAAAAAGAGGTTCTTAAACATATCTAAACAACAAAGTACAGCTGCAGTGACACTAAGAATGCAGAATAAGTCTTCTGGGCATGCACCATTCTGTGGGACCCCACTGTGAACAGAACATAAAAGCAGATTCACTACTTAGTCTTCAACAAGCAGAAAATGGCTTAGCACTAATGCAGGCAGACTGCCAGTCCCTCCTTCATGGAACTATCTCTTAAATTGAAATAGTCTGCTCTCACAAACCTTATTTTACTCTATCAGTATATATCACCTTTCATCACCTCTGCAATTCTGGAACTGTTTCCACATTGTGAGCATAGACATCGAGCCCTGACAGAGCAACCGTCTCCACAGCTTTCAGGTCCCCTCTGAAATCAGGAGTTAAACATTCCACGAGAATTTTGGGATTCCTGAGAAACGGGGGTTGGAAAAAAACAAAACAAAAGTGCAGCGTGGTCAGTTGAAAGCTGCATTAACCTTGCCCCAAAAGCAATCCATTTAATTTTTCTATATTCACTCCTTACCTTTCTTTTAAGTGCGATACGGTCTTTGCAAAGTGCGCTGCTCCCCCATCTGAAACATCTAATAATAGAACACGGCAGTTATTTTACAGGAAGAACAAATACCTACTTTTACATAGCTATAGTGGTGTCGAGGATGCATTTGTGTAAATTTAATGCCTGCAAATATTAACTATTGAAATAGAGAACAGCGATCTGCACAGCTTACAAATACCTTAGATGAGATTTCTGCATACAGCATAACTGTATTTGCTTTTGGGGAAGAGTCTTTTTTTGTAAATACTTTTTATTTGACCTTAAGAAGATAGAAACATATAACAAAAGCAATTAAAAACCCATATAAAGAGATTACTCTGAATCTCATGACACACCCCCATCCCCTCCATGGGTCCTAATGACAGTGTTTACAACTGCATATCAATTTGTTATCCACATTTTTTATCCATCTAAATTGTCCATATTTTTGTTACTTTACAAGTGTGGTTAAAATCCTGCTAATGTTTTCATCTGCTTACAATGGTCTCCTAAATATATTATACATTTTCCCCATTCTTTTTTGAAGTCCTCTTGGTTTCTGAGCTTCCCAGTTAATTTTGCCATTTTAGCATAGTCCATCAACTTGGTTTGCCATTCTTCCTTGGTTGGAATCAGCGTAACTGTATTTTCAAAAGGACTCAAAATTAGAAAGTTATTTACCATCTCTGTCCACAGAGGTCAATACAACATAATCCAGCCCCCATTCAGCAATTGCTTTCGCTGTGTTATATGGCTCTTCGGGATCTAATGGAGGGGGACTTCTTGCTGTCTTCACTGAGCAAAAGAGACAGCCTCTTGTACAAGTGTCCCCCATCAGCTGAAACAGGAAACAATTGGTTAAAAAAATAATAATTCAAGAACCTTCTATAACGAATATTAAAAGAATCTCAACAGCTAAGCCAGCAGATGAGAAATTATTATATAGTCCATAGTCTTTACATGCATAATTCTGTCCCCCCCCCCAACAAACAATGATGGTACATAAAGGTTTTCTTGTAACTGCAAGCCAGCCTCTGGTTTGTTTCCTCCTCAACGGAGGAGAAAGGGGAGGAGTAACTCATTGTTTTAGCTATGGTTTAGTTTTATCTGCTCTCTGAGCACAGACGAAAACAGCAGGAAATTCCCCCTGTTTTCATATTAATAGCTTGACACCAATAAGGGCAGGCAGGGAGAGGAAATAAAATCACCTACATTTTTAAGAATCCTCATCTTGTCCCCTAGATGGGCAACACTGAATGACATTTAGTGTGAAATGTTCCTTGCAGCCAGTTCTTATATTAAGACAGCAGAAGGGTTGCAGCAGTCAAATAATTGCACAGAGTTCCAGTAACTGATTTAAATAGAAAGATCATGTCATAGGTAAACTGGTTACTCCCCATGTCAGCACCACACCACCCTGGGACCACATATTATGGGGTGCAGCCATGCTATATGCACCTCTCCGTGTGGTCTGCTTGCTGGAATACCATGAAATGAGACTCTGTTGGAGCAACCCAGTCAGATGAGTGGCACAGAAATAAAATCATCATCATCATCATTTTCTAGATAATGTACAAGGCACCCTTAGAGCCCTGGTTGCACGACTGCTTTCTAGAATGACAAAAGCAAAGACACGCAGTCCCTCTCACTCTATTCCCTTTATTCTCTGCTAATAACTCTGAGTAATACACAAAACAAATATGGGACAATTTGGATGTGCTGTTCCCGATAAGACCACCAGTTGTCAGTGGTCAGCTTACCATTATAGTCGCTGTAGCAGTAGCATATTTGCCCCCTCCCCAGCACTCTCCGATGTTTGGACAACGCGCTTCCTCACACACCTACAGGCAACGAAAGAGTTATTAACACTGTAAGAAGGGCATAAATTGCATTGGCTACAAGGAGTCTCACCACTGTATAGCTAATGATGAGGTAAATACAGTGGTACCTCGGGTTACATACACTTCAGGTTACAAACTCCGCTAACCCAGAAATAGTACCTCTAGTTAAGAACTTTGCTTCAGGATGAGAACAGAAATCGTGCGGCGGCTGCGGGAGGCCCCATTAGCTAAAGTGGTGCTTCAGGTTAAGAACAGTTTCAGGTTAAGAACGGACCTCCAGAACCAATTAAGTACGTAACCAGAGGTACCACTGTACTACTGTTATAATGAAAATTATTTCACATGGCAGTACCCAACGAGGGTGTTTTTTTCAGTCCATCTGGCATGCATGTTGGTACTGTTGGGATACTGCCAGGGAGACAAAGTCCATCATGACCCCACGTCGCCTCCGGACGTCCATCGATCTCCCGTAGATACAGTATCAGCAATTAGCGACACGAGCTCCAGAAATAGCCTGCCACATTCCAGAACTGATGCACGCTCTATCAGCAGATAATGCACAGCGAAAGATGCACGCAGGAGAGCATATTTACAAGTTTATTCAGCGTTGGTCAGAATAAAGAAAACATGACTGCCAGCTTCAGTGTCTCAGACACAGAGAGAGAAACGAAAGCATAGACACAACAGAAACATCCTGTGAACAGGAAATACGCAGGCTGTGACACAAACATCCTGCTCCCTTTTAAGGTGGAACGGAAATATCCTAACAGGTACAACCCTGGTCTGCTCTCAAACTGTTCAGGGAGGGTTTCCATGACAAAGAAAACAATGTGATACCATAATGACTACTCCAGTGCAAGCTGCTATTGTAAGTGAGTGAGGCCTCATCACTGGAAACAAAAGTCTTCTAAACACAACAGATGGGCTCTAAACCTATGGAAGCAAGTCCACTGCAAAGGAATTTACTTTTAAGTAAGTGTGCCTATGATGGGAACTTTAATTGCAAAAACAACACTGAACAACACAGTAAATCATCTGCTACAATACAGGCATTAGAATTACCGTGTGGAGATTTAAATTTCTCAGCGAATTCTTCAATTTGTTATAATTTTTCCAATTGGAATCTCTGTTTTCAGCCATGGAGGAAGTCGCAGCCTAAAAAATACAAAAGCAATGCTTATTTTGCTTTAACAGGTAATGTTTGTAAGTCTGAGAAATTAACGGACTTTCCACACAGCTGACCTATTTTGTAAACACATCGTTCTACTCATTCTAATGAGGTAATTAAGTTGTTTTAAATACCTTTCTCCTTTCTGACGCTTTAATTCGCCTTTATAGTCTGCCCACTTTGTTTTGTCTGAAAGTTCTCCAGACATAAAGTCTTGCAAATCAGGTCCATTTTGCAAAAGTCCCTTCTGCTCCTCTGGCAATGAGCTTGATGCTCTCCACTGTTTGTGCCGATTGCTTTCACAGGTCTAGGAAAAAGTATTTGCACTTTTATTTCCAAATAACACATTTCCAAATAATTTATTTATTTTTTAAATCAAAAGTTACAACACAGCTTTGTCCCCTGCTATATTTGTGCACTTATTTCCAACTAATGAGGTATAAAAGCTTTATCCAGAAGCTGGAATTTGTAGATCATGGGTTGGAAGGGACCACACGGGTCATCTAGTCCAACCCACTCACTGTGAAAAGTGAGATTACAGGGAACCTGGAAGAGGGCCTTCTTGGTGGTGGCGTCCGCCTTGTGCAACGCCCTCCCACCAGATGTCAAGGAAATGAACAACTATCTGACTTTTAGAAGACATCTGTAGGGAGCCCTGTTTAAGGAAGTTTTTTAAAAAATAATAATAATTATTGGTTTTTCCATGTATAGATCCTCTAACAATATTCTCTAACAATTTTCCATATTCCCCCCCTCACCTGGACTTCCCTCATATTCCCATTTTGTTTTATTTCCATATTACTCACCCTCCGTGTTGTTTCCCAAAATTTTCCCAATACATATAGTCTTACTTTTTGTTATAAACAATTGTTTTTGTTTATTCAAACCCTGCCAGTGAGTCCAATTCTTTATGATGTCTCTTCATATATGTTGTAAATGATTCCCATTCTCTTTTAAAATCTTTGTTATCCTTTTCATGTAATTTATCTGTTAATTTTGCCAGTTCTGCATATTCCATAAGTTTCCCTTGCCATTGTTCTTTTGTTGGTATTTCGCTGAAGGCAGCCCTGTTTAGGGAAGCTTTCAGTTAGGTCATTGTATTTTAGTGTTTTGTTGGAAGCCGCCCAGAGTGGCTGGGGAAACCCAGCCAGATGGGCGGGGTAGAAATAATAAATTATTATTGCTATTATTGTTGTTGTTGTTGTTGTTGTTGTTGCTGTTGTTATTTCTTCTGTCTTCCAAGCTTGTGCTAATATAATTCTTGCCGCTGTTGTTGCAGACATAATTTCCAATTTTCTTTTTTTAAATCTTGATCTAGAATTCCTAGGAGGAATGCTTCTGGTTTCTTGGTAAGCTTTTAATGTCTGATGTTTTATCGTGTTTTTAGTGTTTTGTTGGGAGCCGCCCAGCGTGGCTGCGGAAACCTAGCCAGATGAGCGGCGTATAAATGTATTATTATTATTATTATTTATTATTATTATTATTAAGACCAGGGTTCGAATCCCCACTCGGCGGTGAAGCTCGCTGGGGGCGACCTTGCGGGACAATGACTAATCTCTCCTTCGCCTAGCCTACCTCGCAGGCTTGTTGTGCGAGGAGGAGATGGGGGCGAGGAGGAGAACCACGCAAACCGCCTTCCGCTCCTGGGGGGGGTGTTAAAAGTGGCCTATAAATGCCATTAGCAAGTAAATAAATGATAATATTGGGGGCAGGGATTCTCCCAGAGGGAAGGTACCAGGGAAAAGGGCTCCACACAGGCCTATCCCTCCCCCCCCCATATGCTCACCAGCCTCCCCAGTGACGTCAGCCTCCTCAGGTTCTCCCGGGGGAAGCCTAGGTGGAGCAGAGCCATTTCGTCTCGACCCCGACTCCTTCCTCAGGCTCGATGTACTCGGGGCTCGCCCACCTTCCCCTTCCCTCTTGCCGTTTTGCCTCGGAGACGATTGCTCTCGCCTCCCTGCGCTTTGACGCCCCACCCCGCGGAACGCGCTGGCGTCACGCCGCACGGGGTTCAAGACCGTGGTGACGTACGACGCTCTTCCTTTCCTCCTCTACGCGAACAAGGAGGTGAGGCCCGGCTTTCTTTTTTCCTTGCGAGGTGAGGGGCGGTATCCGGTTCCATCCGGGGCGCCGCGGCTGCCTCTTGTCCCGAGCGCCCCGCGGAGGCCGCGGGCAGGGCTCGGAGAGTGAAACGGGCGTCGCTCCGAGGTTGGGTTAGGCGGGGGCTCCTGAGAAGGAGGCCAAGAAGCAGCCGCCCCCTTCCCCTCAACGGCTTTGCTCTCTCGCGCGCCCCGGCTTCGTGTGCGCCTGCGTAAACTGATGCCGGGTGAGGGGGGGGGTCTCGTTTCTACGGCGCGCCCCTAAGAAGGCTGCTTTCGTGGCAGAGATTATTTCAGCGCAAAACTGCACGGCTGCTTTCTCAACCTTTTAATGTGGATTACAACTGCCATCACGCTTCTCCACTGGCTTTGCTGCTGGGAATTATGGGAGTTGTAGTTCAACGAGGTCTAGGGACCCAAGGCCAAGAAAGGCTGCAGGATCTCTGCTTCAGCAGCATTACTTTAAGGTTTCCCAGAGCTGAAAGTGCCGGTTTTGCTTCCTGCCTTCTGCAATAATATATAGTGGGCTTTTTGGGGGTTTTTTGTCATGCCAGAGAGTTCTCGCTAGGCCTAGGCAAAGTTAAAGCCAGGTGGCTGTCTAGATGTTGCTGCAGTTCTCATTATTATCTCTTGCCATTGAACATGATAGTAACATCTGGAGTGCCACAGGTTAGCCACCCCTGGTATAAGCACTAGGTGAAGAGGAGCATGCTTTTTATGTGGCCTTTGAGATTGCTAATAGGAGTGGGAAGTGATGGTGGCAGGGGAAAGTATTGGTTAAAGCAGGGCTTTCCAAACACTGTCTCGACAAATTAGTGTGTTAGCTGCAGTGTGTTGGTGTGTCGCATGAACGCTCCCTGCACCACTCCTGGGGATGGAAAGGGTTTAGCTTAACCTCCAGTTTGCTAGTAAAACTGAATTACGTTGTCACGAAATGATGCATGTCTAAAAAGTGTGTCACCAAAGTGAAAAGTTTGGAAAGCTCTGGGTTAAAGGTTAGAAACCTTTTACGGGACCAATGCAGTTGATCATAACAGTTTTAGTAATATTCCTCTTGAGCATCTAAATCAGGCATGTCCAAAGTGGCCTATAAATGCCATAAGCAAGTAAATAAATGATAATTTTGGGGGCACCTGTGGCAGTTTATTTCCTGGGGTAAAATCCCAAAGAATCTAAACAACTTCAATCCTAAAAAAAAGCTCAACAATTTCAGGGTAAAAATCCTAAAAAACTTTGGTTGGCCCTCACGGCCCTTCACTTCATCAAATTTGGCCCTCTGAAAAAAGTTTGGACACCACTGATCTAAATTCTAAATGGATGTTAAAGCCACAACACAAGGGACGGTGCCTTTGTTGCAAAGGGCGTGGTACAGCTGATATCAGTATCATGTTAAACCTGCAGTTTTTCATTTTGCTTTTCCTGTTAGATTTAAAATGAAGACCATTCTCAGCAACCAGACGGTCGACATCCCAGAAAAAGGTATGTGCATCCACTTGGATGTTTTTATTTTTAGCACTACCACACACACCCACCCAAAAAATACCCCAAAATCTTTAATGTTCTTATCACTTGCAGTTGCTGTATGTTGTACTAATGTTTAATTATCTCCATCCAGTCGAGGTTCGTTTGAAGGGACGGACAGTTATTGTCAAGGGCCCCAGAGGAACCCTGCGAAGGGACTTCAATCATATCAATGTGGAACTCTCTCTCTTGGGAAAGAAACGCAAGAAGGTGAGCAATTTGTGGATGTTGTGAGCGTTACTGTATATCATGTTTCTGCTGACAACGGAAGCTGTTGGCCCTGTGCAATGTTTTCAGATTCCATGTTAGCTTTGTATTGTCAGTAATGGTTGCTGGATTCTATGGCTATAATTACACGTTTGCTGGTAGATGTGTCAGTTGTGAAGCACTGCACCAATGGGGCAGTTGGCTGTGGAAAAGCAGTAGGTGGGAGGAGGGACTTAATCCTTTCCTTTCCAATTTTTTTCTTTGCAAACTTCACCTCCAAGCTGCTTTTCTTTGCTATACAGCAGATACGGATCTGGGACGCTTTCTGCGGAGTGGAGAGTTGCACAGGGAAAGTGGCAGGCAGAAAGGCTTAGTATCTGTTTACTGTTTTTCAGTGCTTTGGAGCAGACCTGTGTTCTGTAAAACATGTAATCTTAACTTTTTGAAAAGTGAAACATGCACTTATTTAAGATGCATATGTACTTGTTTACAGAAGTTTCTAAGCAGTATATTGAGAGAAAAGGTGCTTTGGGGTGTTTTGTCTGATAAATGAACCTCTTGCATATGATGTTTCAAGTGCGAGATTTCCAGAGGACGTTGTTGCATCCTACAGCACAGCCAGTCAGTTTGCAAGAAAAATGAGTCCCCTGTTTTTTGTTTCAGGTGCAAAAATGCTTGTGGCCGATTCATGTTAAAATAAACGAGGATGATAGGCAGTGGACTAGATCAAGACATTTGGTGCTATTAGAGCTATTAATTAATAATGGCGTGTAGCAATACTAACACACGCCAGCTGGTTCCCAATCTCTGTGAATTGTTGTGTTTTAATTAAGAATAAATTGGAACCCTGAGCTAGCCTTTCTTCTATTAGCAAATGTCAAATGTCTGTGGTTTATTGTTCACTGAATTTTAGTTTTCAGTGTAATTAACAGGACATGGCTCTTGGCAGTGAATATGGACCATTCACTTTTCAGAACATTAACATATTTGTGTATTACTCCCATTATATGGGAGGCAAAGTGTACTGACAGTACAGTGGTACCTCGGGTTAAGTACTTAATTCGTTCCGGAGGTCCGTACTTAACCTGAAACTTTTCTTAACCTGAAGCACCACTTTAGCTAATGGGGCCTCCTGCTGCTGCCGCACCGCCGGAGCATAATTTCTGTTCTCATCCTGAAGCAAAGTTCTTAACCTGAAGCACTATTTCTGGGTTAGCGGAGTCTGTAACCTGAAGCGTATGTAACCTGAGGTACCACTGTAGTCCACTTGTACTCCAAATGTAAGTCCTGATACAGCCAAAACAGTAGCTCCATACACAAGAGGGACCTATGGCAGCAACTCCAAGGTTTGCAGTGCAGTTGTGCCTTGGAAGTCGAACGGTATCCATTCCGGAAGTCCATTTGACTTCCAAAACGTTTGGACACCAATCCTGCAGCCAATCGGAAGCCCCATTGGACATTCAGCTTCTAAAAATAGTTCGCAAACTGTAACTGTCACTTCCGGGTTTGTGACGTTCGGAAACAGCTGTTCGAAAACCAAGGTACGACTGTAGTTTTCTATGGGGAAAAAGCCTCAGAGGCTGGGTACCAATGTGGATTCAGTGGTCAAAGAGGCAGTTACTGTATGTGCTGTAGAGGGAAATGAGGGGCAGGTGGAGCTCATCAACCTAGGAAGGTACCTATCTAGGAGAAGGAATGGCCTGGCGGCTTTCATGAGAATGATTTAAGGAGTGAAAACAGCATGAGGGGCAGCAGTTACGAGTTACTGGTCTCCACAGCCACAACAAGCACTGTGGTTCTCCATTGGTTTGACTTCAACCCTGTAGGTACACTCCATTGCCTCTTGAGACATACAGATGCCAACAACAACAGTTAGGGGAAAAGGTGGTGGTGGAAATTTAATATTCTAGAAAGACTATATCACTGTTAGTCTAGAATCCTGAACAGGAGCATTCCACACTGCAGTATTTTGTATAGCTGACTACACAGTTGAATAAAGACAGTCATTGAGGTATATGACTTGCTGCTCTCTATAAATTTTTTTAAAGAAACTCTGAACTAGTTCACATAAGATGTGTTCTCCACGTAATTAGTCCTGACCATCCCTGGGTATGCATTCTTACAGATATTATAATGTGTGAACTGAGTAGATACAATTAAATATTAAATACAGCTGCTGTTAAAGTGCTGGGCCTTCCATCAGTTTGTACCCAAGAAGATGAAGGTAATTATATTGATGTCTTGTGTGAACTTGGCCTCAGTTTCTCTAAAGTAGTAGCACTTCCTTTAAAACTGTGTGTGTGTGTGTTGCTGATACAAGAAACACATGTAGCAATGTTGACTTGGCAGATGAGGATAGCAGTACTACTTGATCATTTGATAAATACCGTATATAGAAATTGGAAATAATCATATTTGCTGGTGTGGAAATTCATTAATCTATTAAAACTTAATTCTTGTAATGTGTACACGGAAAACGTGTTTTATACTTGGAAATGAGCAGCCTGTTTTTATACACTTCATTGTTTTTTCTGTAGCTGCGTGTTGACAAATGGTGGGGTAACAGAAAGGAGCTGGCAACAGTCCGCACAATTTGCAGTCATGTGCAAAATATGATCAAGGGTGTCACATTGGTAAGTTTCCAGTGGGAATTTGCTATTAAGTGTTGATATAGCCAACTTCATCTTTGCAGCTACACTACAGCCAGATGGGCGGGTATAAATAATAAATTATTATATATTATTATTATTATTATTATTATTATTAACATACTATTTGGAGCATAAAGTGCTTTAGAGTCAGTTTGGACAAAAACACTTAAGTTTCTCTTTTCCCCTGTTTGTTTGATTTTAAATGTGTGTGATTCCAGGGCTTTCGCTTACAAGATGAGGTCAGTGTACGCTCACTTCCCCATCAATGTGGTTATCCAGGAGAATGGCTCACTTGTGGAAATCCGTAACTTTCTTGGGGAGAAGTACATCCGTCGGGTGCGCATGAGGCCAGGTAAGGAGCTAGTTACTGTGGCGATATCTGTTACCAAGATTGATATAAGAATTGGGGGGTGGGTAGTCACACCTAGGCTTCAAATGAATCCTATAATGTCCAAAAACCTGTATTTTTCCAAGCAAGTTGTTTGTACCATATGATAACTGGAAAAAAGCTTGCAGAATCGGATACTTGTCTTTTGGAGTTCTGCCTTGCTCTGGATTACCTCCATTTTTCAAGTTAAAAGTATTTTGAAAATGCAAAATTAATATGCACTAATCTTTAAAAAATAATTGTGATAATGTGCCCCCATTAAATTTCTGTAACGAGAAAACCTCCAAGCACTGGTTTTATTCCTGCTACAGAAGCACAGATTAATGGGCATGTATTACAATAATTCTGTGTCTTGCATGTCATGTGACTTCAGGAAGAAAGATACAGAAAACGCCTTTTCCCGTGCTACTGATGTAGGAACTTAATGTCCCAGTAGGCTAGTTAAGATGGTATTTTAAGTTTGGGAGTTTTATGATGGAGTATGAAATGATTTTTATTAATTTTTCATTAATAACATTCCAATGGATTCAATACAAAATATTGCCACATCATAATACAAATAATAAAGCCAATTATACATTCCAAATTATATATTTTAGGTGACTTCCCATGTTCTGGCTGACGGGAGAAATTTTTATTCCTTGTTCCTGTTTCTTCTCTTGTTTATTCCCAATATACCAGTTCCGATCTTAATCCTTTATCTTATTTTAGCAGCCACTGATGTGAGACTTTGAGTCATATTTAACAGATCTGTATGTGTATTAACATGCAAGAGGGATTTTTATCCTATTGTTTTTGTCCTTCCTGTTGTTGTCCACCAATTGCATTGGACAGAACCCCATCAGCAATGAGTGCCCAATTCCCTCAGGCCTGTTGGTCTTAGTACTGTGCTATGTGTGTACAGGATGCAATTTATTCTGGTGGCGCTGTGGTCTAAACCACTCAGCCTCTTGGGCTTGCCGATCAGAAGATCGGTGGTTCAAATCCGTCCGGGGTGAGTGTCTGTTACTCTGCCCCAGCTCTTGCCATCCTAGCAGTACGAAAGCACACCAGTGCAAGTAGATAAATAGGTACCGCTGCGGAAGCAAGGTAAATGGTGTTTCCATGTGCTCTGGTTTTCCTCACGGTGTTCTGTTGCTTCTGAAGCGGTTTGGTCATGCTGGCCACATGACCCGGAAAGATGTCTGTGGACAAACGCAGTCTCCCTTGGCTTGAAAGCAAGATGAGCGCAGCAACCCCATAGTCACCTTTGAGTGGACCTAACCGCCCAGGGGTCCTTTACCTTTTACCTTTTTTTGCAGTTTATTATAGTAAGGGATCATGACTAGATAGCCGAGATAAGTATGCAAATGTATGTGTTCTGTTTTTAAAAAATGGTGGACTTGTATGAGAAGGATAAATTTTTTTGATTGAAGAAATGTGTGCTTTTAAAACATTTTTAAAGGGGTCAACTGTGCAGTATCGCAAGCCCAGAAGGATGAGCTGATCCTTGAAGGAAATGACATTGAATTGGTATCTAACTCTGGTATGTCAGTTAATTATTGTATTGTGGAAATAATGGTTTTACTTTGATGTGGTCCATAAACATGCAACAACTGCCGTTTAATTCAGCTTGCATTGTCTGTATACTACTAAAACATTGGAAAACTTACTTTAAATAATGTCTAAAGTTAAAAGAGAAGCTTATTTTGTTGGGTGTGTTTAGTTAGACTAAACAAGGTTAATTGTTTTGTCTTCCATAGTCTGTTGCTATTGTTTCTCCAGCAACAAATAGGAACAAGTGTTGCTAATGGGACAGGAGAAGTTTGACTTGACAGGGAAACTACCTAGCTTGATTTGAAGTTAGCAGTATTTGTCCTCGTTCTTGTTCAATTGGCTTGTTTGATTAAATTGGGAAAATACGATTGCTTTGTTAAGCCAATCTTGCTTAAATTATCCTCTTTTTGTTACAGCTGCCTTGATTCAGCAGGCCACCACAGTCAAGAATAAAGATATCAGGAAATTTTTGGATGGTATCTACGTCTCTGAGAAGGGAACAGTACAACAGGCAGATGAATAAAGCTCTATAGATAGGTTTGTGTTCTTTTCACATTTCACAGATGGTGTATTCTGTAAAGGACCGAGTTTTACCATATAGACCGGAGGGTGAAATCTTTTATTTGGAAGAAGATTTTGGTATCCAAAATATCACGAAGGTTTCTATGCAGTAGAAATCCCTGGTTGAAATCTTGTCTTGACCACACTGGGTTACACTGTAAGACTAGCTTGGAATTTTAAAAGGAGCATATATATTTTCTTTCTTTCCAATGGAAGCCATTTGTATTCAAAGTGCATTCCCAGTTCCTTGAATGCAAATTGCTTTCTCTGCAGAGCAGGGGAAATGCTCCAATCTTAGGAGCAGGTTCCCGTCTGTAGAGACTCACTGCACCAGGAGAATCCAGGTCTCTGCTCCAACTAAGAGGAGCCAGCATAGCAGCTGCTGCACCGTGTGGCTTGTAATGGGAGAAGCACAAAGTCTTCCAGCTTTGGATCATGCTTCCTGATCCAAACCTGAGTAAAACCTAAGTAACTTCGTAGACTTGAATTGTCTTTCTGAACACCAGAAAGAATAATAAATTGTGTTTTTTAAATAATAATAATGCTGCGTTTCTTCTGCAAAAGCATTACTCATGGTAGCTTGCAATGTATAAAATTAAATTTTTCATTAAAACCAGTGATATGAAACAACTAAACAGGGAGAGCAGGTGTTAGAGGTCTAGTGGTTCAAAATCTTAGGCTGCAGACTTGGATGATTTCTGCTTCATATTTGCACGTCACGTGAATTCTTGATGATTAATCTCAACATTCTCCCATTATTGGAACGTGTAGTAACTTTAAACCATACTTCTCATGTTATTTTGGAGGTGCTTGTAAGGGGATTGCAGTTGTAAAAGGTTATTTAAAGCTTCAGTTGTTTTTAATAATCTGATCTGTTTCATTGTTTCAGATCCTAAATTGACAACCAGGGCACAAAGCAGCACGGCATGCAGCAGGCCTTCAATTCACATCAGGAGTTGGCTGTATGAACCAAACAGTTTGACATTGTTTGGAGAAAAATTAAACAATATATTTCAATATTTTATGTTTTGTCATTGAGCTTTCGGCCATTCTAACATTTTGGTTTCCGGCATAAGCATTAAATAGCTTATTAATTAAATATATTATATATTACAGTGGTACCTCACGCTAACCCAGAAATAGTACCTCGGGTTAAGAACTTTGCTTCAGGATGAGAACAGAAATCGTGCAGTGGCAGTGCGGCGGCAGCGGGAGGCCCCATTAGCTAAAGTGGTACCTCAGGTAAAGAACAAACTTCCAGAACAAATTAAGTTCTTAACCCAAGGTACCACTGCAATCTGGAAAAGTAAACTCTGAAAATGGGGTAAATGGGTGATATCCCACTCTACTTGGTGGAAGGCATCTGTCATGAGGGAAGGAGGCATTTTTGGCAGTTCATCCCCTGCTGTCCAGCATATCCTCTCCCCCAACCTCCAGAACAGATTGGGGGCAGATGGCGCAGCTATAGGGATAAAGAGGAATAAATCATCTCTTCACTAGCAAGCAGCTTCCATCAGCATAGAAAATATTGGATTATCACCCAGCATAAAAACCCAGTACAGTAAGTGGTTATCAGGTTGTGTTTTCTAGTGTTTCACATAGTATAATATTCTAGTGTTTCACATAGTATAATATTTGAGTGTCTCTAACAAACTTTACAGTGAAATGGAACAGTTGTCAATTTGCAACCCATTTCATCTCTGACAACAGCCTAGCAGTTTTTACCTTTAGGAGGAGGAGACATTGCCAATAGGCAAACAATGCCATGCGTAACATTAAGATATGGGTTTAATCGGATACTTCCTTGGAGTCAGTCACACTGACCAAATGGACATCCTTCAAGAAGGTACTTCTGTCTTGAAGCAGCAGAGTCGAATACAAAAACCTAAGAATTCCTTTAATGTCCTGGTTACATCAAATGATAACTGCTTGGTTCTTTTTTTTCAGATATTACCGTCAAACTTGGTTGTGCTGGTTTTTAAACAAGGGTGCATAATGGCTGGTTTAATTTTTTTAATGAATTAGTAACCCTCCTGAAGGTTGGGGGGGGGGGTAACCGGAAAACGGCAGCTGAACCGATGTTCGTTTTACTGACATCTCATGAAAATAAGCAACTGCATGTATGAAAGTGGGGGGGGGGACCTTTTTTGTTGTTGTTGTTTTGTTGCCCATGAATCATTCCCTCTCGGCCAACACCCTGGGAGTCAGGTGCAAACCCACTGATGCAGCAGGTTCCAATAGAGATCCTTTTTCCAGACCTGATCATGGTATCAAAGGGACCACTGACCATTAGGTCCAGTCGTGACCGACTCTGGGGTTGCGGCACTTATCTCGCTTTATTGGCCGAGGGAGCTGGCGTACAGCTTCCGGGTCATGTGACCAGCATGACTAAGCTGCTTCTGGCGAACCAGAGCAGCGCACGGAAACACCATTTACCTTCCCACCGCAGTGGTACCTATTTATCTACTTGCACTTTGATGCGCTTTCGAACTGCTAGGTGGGCAGGAGCAGGGACTGAGCAACGGGAGCTCATCTCGTCGGGGGATTCGAACCGCCAACCTTCTGATCGGCAAGTCCTAGGCTCTGTGGTTTAATCCACAGCGCCACCCAGGTCCCACAGCACACAGGGAAAGTGTGAATAACCTTTCCCTCATCAGCTGCCTGCCGAAACAGCCATGTGCACTTTATTTAGGGTGAGGTTGCGGAGGTACCTGTTAGGGCCTAAATTATATTGGGGGTATTTAACTGTCCATCCCTGGCTGCAATTCCAATTCATATCCACACACCCCCAATAGTTGCAGCAGTGGGAGGTACAGGACAAAGAGGACGTGCTGCAGCAGGGGTGGGGAACCTGTGGCCCTCTAGATGTTTCTGGATTTGCATCCCCTATTGTCTCTGATCATTGGCTGTGCTTACTTGGTCTGATGGACGGTTCCCAAACCTCAGCTGCACATGGATCTGGAGGTCAAATGCAGCCCCAGGGCATTTGATTACTCCCCCCCAGTATTAAATGTTGGCTCTGTCCCACAAGTTGTACGCCAGGTTCTGCAATATGCACCCACTTAGTATCTCTTTAAATACTTTCGAAGAAGCATATTGGCTTTTTTTTTAGGCACGGGGAACTCAACACATTTCTGCAGCTTGCAAAAATAAGACTTTCATGGGTAACGTGCATATCAAAGAGTGACAGATTCAGAGCAGGACCACTTGTGTGCACTGAAAGTTTTAATATGGATAAAGGTTTGTGTGGTTTACACATCTCATAACTGTTAACTATATAGTTCATTGATCCACAGAGCATGCCTTTTATTTTTAAATAAAAGGGTGTGCACAACAAAGTGGGTCAGTTTATTTTTTAAAAAAAGCTGTATTTGTGCCGATTTGATCCTGAACAGCCTAGAATGTATCCCAGCTTTTAAATAATGGCCATTGGCGAAAATATATATATAACAGAATCATCCTATGTGAAAAGGAAGGAAACTTTGAAAAGCACAAATACACCAATATTTCCCAATTTCGTTTTAGAAAAGTGTTGCAGTTCATGCTTCACAAATATGGCTGTGTCCTAGGAAGGTTGGCATTTCTCGCTAATACGGGATTTCCCCCAAAAAACAACTATGGTCATTTTTAGTATGGTCTCCACAAGTGGGGCCTGCAACAAGATGTCGCAATGCAAAGTGATTCTGTTCACGATTCCATTTCTCCTCTTCCCTAGCCCCTAGTTTTCCATTTTGGAAGATCGGGAGGTGGCCCTCTCAGGAGCGTTTTCCAGTTTATTTATTTGTATACCCCCTCCAGCCTGCTAATACTCCACCCACCCTTATGTGCAGATGGTGCTGTTTTTTTTGGCTGCATAAAGACTTGGAACTGCAATTGCAGTTGGTATGTATATGAAAATCTTAAATACACAGAGGGCTTTCCAGTCTAATCACCCCCTATATTCAACTGCTAAAGTATTTCAGACCAACTTAAACATCCCTATTGCGAGCCTCCTCTCCTTTAAGATTCCTGATATCTTTTGAGCTGAAGTAGACATAACAGAGGTATTATATGTCAGGCCTTTCTCATTTACAACCTGGGCTTGAAGGAGACGCTGCTGCAATCACATGCTCTGGACATGTTTTTGAGGTGCCGTTAATACAGCTTTTAGCATTTCGTTTACAACCATGAAGACTAGTCGTGTGATAGATAGGGTAGCTGCCCTACTGGAGCTTCCGCAAGCCAAAACAAGCAAAACGAAAGTGTGCAAATGTTACACCTGCAATCCACAACAGCTGCAGGCATAGCGCCACAAATTTTGAGACATTTCTGTAAAAGTTCACAAATTGCGAACCTTTTCATGTCAAATTAGTTCCGTCGCTGTACTAGGTTACAAAAGGAAAGCATTTATGCTTAACTAAGTAATTAAATATATTGGACTACCACCATTTTGAAGTCCTTCGTATAAAGCTGTCCCTGCTCTCCTCCTGAGATGTTCAGGCCTGACAACAGCTAAAACTTCCTTTATGTAATCAAGTCTTACTCTGAAGAGGGAAAAAACGTTGGAAAGGAAGCTAGACACTCTTGTATCATTTCTTTTCGCCGTGTCTTTTCATGGTGTACGTTGATGTAAAAGCAAGGGACTTGGAGTTCTGAATGACTTTATGATAAACATGAACACACAAGTAAACAACCTGGGATTCCCTGACAGCATAAACACAGAACAAGAATTCTTGATAACAATCCTGAATCGACTATCATGGGAATTCTCATGCAAAGCAGCATTTTTTTGCTAAGTATCTTGGTGGAGTGATTTGGAGTGCTTTCAATAACTTATCCTCGCCGTTGACATTCACATGCAGGGGAAAAAAGACCACTCTATATCTGGTGGAGAACTTCCCTGTGTCTACTTTTGACAGGAACGCACATGTATTCCATATTTTTCGACCAATACCATTTTCTCCTTTTCCTTTTGTGGAAAACAATAATGCTTAAGAGCAAGATGAGAGTCGAGCAAAGGCAGCACCCAAAGAACACAAGCGGCTTTTTCTGCACTAGAAGCAGGCAGAACATGCAGGTTGCTTCTTCCTCTGGCTGGTCACAGATGTTGTTTGCAGTCTCCAAGAGAAAGCCGTTGTGGCTAATGAGACGGTTGTAGAACGGAACGGACGCCTTGGCCTTGGCTTCGTGGGTGAAGAAGCCCAGTCTGGGTTTCGATTTTTCATCGGCGAGTTTAAACGCAAAATAGCCTCGGACGTTGACTTTGTCAATGTGGTAAGCTGGAAACGACAAGAAATAAGCGAATTATTCACTGTTAAACGGCGTTGCCCGACTGTGAAGCAAAAGGATGCTTTTATAGTATTTAAAACAGATTGGGGAGGCTTGGCATGTTGATTGGATGCCTTCCTCCAAACAGGCCCCTCCATAGAAACAGCCCTTCCTGTAGTGGTAGCAGTTTTCCAATTGTCTCTGGAAATGCTTCACGTTAAGTACAGTAAATGAATTCACAGAAATTGCAAATGCTTGTATGCATTGCTATGTGTTTAAATTTGCTCAGTTGGGAGCTGAATTCTAGAGAGTTCTCTAGTAGTTCTCATGTGATTGGCTAACGTTAATCACCTGGGAGGTATCCGGTGAAGGAGAGACTCCCATTTTATGTGAAGCAAGATGGCTGTGTTTTAGAAATACTGTGAACACTGCTAAGTTGAATTGAGCGTTGCAGCGCTGCTTCTCGGCTTGAAAGAAAGAGAGCAAAGCTGTAGGAGAAGGTAAAAGCGGAAATCTCTCATAGGAACTGCAAGGCAAGGCCTGAGATACATTGAGCTCTGGAAAGGGAGGGAAATAAAGTTGTTAGGAAGTTAGAGAGAAAGTCTGTAAACCCATGCTTAGAAGCATGTGACTGTAAATATTATGCTTTAATTCCTCTATAGCTTGGAGTTTCTGCAAGCACAGTTTTTGAATGTTAAAGCCTGGGCATTGGTTTAATTTTCAGAGAAGGGTGTCAGTCATATATATGCTTTGAGCTTCTTGGCTACGATTTCACTGCCCTTACTTCAGCGGTGGGCAGGTGGGGGAGCATTTGAACGAGAGCTATGTTCAGCTCCCATCAATAGTGGCTGCTTGCCGCCTTAAATTATAATCCTGCTTGGACTATAGCTCTATGACACCTATGAAGCAGGGCATAGCATTTTGGGTAACTTAAAAGAGCAGAAAAATGGGACATCTGGGGTGGATCTAGACACAGGGGGGGAAACCCCCGCTATAAATAAATCAGAAATTAGATAGTTATAACAAAAGAATCTCTATGGAAAAATCACATTTTAAAATTTCCTGCTCTTTGGCGCCATCTGGTGTTAAATGTTTATAGCGCATTCAAATCGCTGCTTCTTTACTAATGTAGCTGAGTCCCCTATACTACTGGGGAAGAGGAGGGGAAAGTACCATTGCAGAAGTTTGCTGTGCTAGCAGAACAGCTGTGTTGTTGTTTATTAAATTTGTATGCCGCCCTTCATCCGTAGATCTCGGGGCTGTTCACAGCATAAAAATACAAGATAAAAACACATTATGTGTCTCTTCTAGTTTAGCATCTTTTACCATCCACTCACCTTTTAAGGCCTCCTGGACATATTTTTCAATGTAGTATTTACGAAGTCCATCGTCAATTAAAGACTGATCGTCTATCCCGTTTGCCGTGATGTAGATATTTAGGTCGCCATAACGTTTTCTAATCCAGTTTAGGATTTTGCGTAAGCCGGCAGGCACGACCGCTGAGCGAGATGGGGAGTTTAGGCAGGTGATGTCTTGCAGAAATTGAACGTCCTGATCAAAGTCATACCGACTTCCGTTTTTCGACTCGTGGTTCACAAACCGCGTGGTGAAATGATTGAGCGCGTAAAAATCGGCAGCCCCTCTCACAAGTTCCTTCTCTTCCTTTGTGAAATACGGCAGGGAAGAACTAGAGAGCCCTCTGCTATTCTTGTAGTCGAGGTATTCTCTCATAGCTGCAGGATAGTCCCCCGTCTTAAAGATCGGATCGGAAAACCAAGCTATTTCAAACTGAAGGAATCTCTCGGCAGCTTCCCAGTGGGTGTCCACAAATGGGTTGGCAGGTTCTGCCCAATCAGAATGCAGAGATAAAGAGATCTGACCATGCTGCATGGATCGATATTGTTTATCGTAAACATGCCAAGCTGAGGCATGGGCTATCAATAGATTATGGGCAGCCTGATAGGTGTGGTTACTGCCGCTGTTATAAATATCGCTGAGTCGATTAGGTTCATTTATTGTGATCCAGAATTTAACCAAGTCCCCAAGCTCCCGAAAACACATCTCTGCGTAGGTTCGGAAAGCCTGGACGGTGGACTGGTTCAACCAGCCACCATTCTGGACTAAAGGACCAGGCAGCCCCAAGGAGCGGTGAGTTGGATAATATAAGGTGACCACAGACTTGATGTTGAGTTTGAGCAGCTCACTGATCACGCATCGATAGTAACGAAGGACTTGGCCATTGATGGATTTCAAATCGCCGCTAGGCAGAAGCAGGGACCAATTCAGTGCAAATCTATAATGGGTGATTTTCAATTTGGACAGCAGGTCAAGTTGCGTTTTAATGGTAACAAAATCCGTACATTGAGCCGGTCGGGTTTTCAGTTTCACTCCCTTCACCTGGTAGAAAAGTCCATCGCCAGTAAGATTCCAGAGATAGAGGTTAGGATCGCAGAACTGTGGTGAGGAAGCGACAGATTCTGCCTGCAAATGACAATCATATAATTTGATTTTTGATTTAATAAAGGATATTGGTTTAGTTTCACAACTCCAATAGAGACCAGTTACATAAATGGTTCTCGTAAGTTGTAACGCTACCAGTCTAAATAATAAACTGGCTTTTTTCTCTGTATCACTAGGTGTCACTATAGCAGTTCTACAGAAATACAAAGAAGCATGTAAACAAAGTCCGGCAGAGATGGTGAATTCTCCAACTTGCTTGGACCACCGTTCACATGCAAGCAACAAAAGGGAGAGCGGGCCAGCTTGTGAAAAGAACTATACTGTAGTTTTAGAAATGTGGTTCTCTCAAGCAGCCTTCATCAAGCTGATGTCCTGCAGATGTTTAGAACTATTAGCTCCAGCTGGCACAGATGTTTGGGAGTGGTAGTCCTAAACATCACAGAATAAATGGGTGCAGGTGACCCTAAATGTGTCACTTTATGTTGTACGAGTCCTTTTAAGAAATGCCAATAGCAGCCGCAGGAGGGTCAATCAGTCTTGGGGTTGTGGGCACAGGTAAAAAGGTAAATGAGAGTGCAACCCACCTCTTGCAAAACTTTCCCTTCCAAAACTGATGTTTGATGAAAAATAAATAATTATTTGACTAGATTAATATTAAAGGTAAAGGGACCCCTGACCATTAGGTCCAGTCGTGACCGACTCTGGAGTTGCGGCGCTCATCTCGTTTTATTGGCCGAGGGAGCCAGCGTACAGCTTCCGGGTCATGTGGTCAGGATGACTGAGCCGCTTCTGGTGAACCAGAGCAGTGCAAGGAAACGCCATTTACCTTCCCGCTGGAGTGCTACCTATTTATCTACTTGCATTTTGACATGCTTTCGAACTGCTAGGTTGGCAGGAGCAGGGACTGAGCAACAGGAGCTCAACCCGTCGCGGGGATTCGAACCGCCAACCTTCTGATCAGCAAGCCCTGGCTATGTGGTTTAACCTACAGCACCACCCGCGTCCCAGATTAATATTGGGGGGGGGGGGCCTTTAAAACCAGGCTGTGTGTGACGAAGTAGAACATTGAGGGAGAAATAAAAACATGGCTGCTGCAATCAAGAGCCAAAAGCTGCAGACTCTGCTGCTACTTGGGTGAGGACATAAACTTTCTGCAGGGATGAAAACATTAGGTGCCACCAGCCTTTGTAGAATCAGGAAAGAGCGGTGTCAGCAACATCTACAGCAGTGCTTTTCAAGCTTGGTTGCTTAGATATTGTTGGAATACAATTCCCATCATCCACTGCCAGCTTAGCCAATGGTCAGGGAGGAGGATCCAACCTTGAAGAGCACTGTGGGTAGGGAAACATTTTGCATCCCCAGCCCCCTCAGGACCTCTAACTCCTGCCCAAATCCTTTGGACTCAGCTAGACTGGTGAAGAAAAAGCAATTTATATGCGTTGTATGTGTGATATAACATTGCGTCACCAGATGGCGATGTGGCGTCCAGTTTTCTCTACCCGTTTTCCCTGTTTGCATTTACAATGCTTTGAACTGAAACGCTTCTTTGATGTTTCTAGATCCAGCTTTTATTAGGTGTAATTTTCCTGTTATTGCCAGAAAATCAAGACGGCTGCCTTGGAAGACTGTTGTCAGGCAGATAAATAGGACAGAACTTTTAAAAAGTGAATGATTGTGAGACACACACACCTCTCTCAAAATAGCACCTGCAAGGCAACAAGCGATTGGAAGCGCCCCGTCCCCAAAGGAGTAAATGCAGATATTTGTGTGTATAAATTTATATCTGCTATTATTTCTGCTCTCTTAACTACATTTTCCATCTTGTTGCTGCTGCATTGTTTTATTCATATTTCATTGCTCTGAACTGAAACCATCTGTTTCTCTGCCAAATTAGCCGCTGCAGACCTAACAAGGTTTTCTACTAAAACTAATAAACACAATGCTATATCCCCAAACTATCTATTAGTGCAGATGGATGTCATTTTTAGCATGATATCCACAGGCTTTCTTGCGGGTGTGCGTGCGACTGGCTGAAACTGAGCTGAATTAGGTTTCATTTGCCAGCCTGTAAAAGTACATCATTTTGCTCTGCTTCTGGAGAAGAATAAGCCCTGACGAATGTGGAAAGGAATATTTTAAGAAAATTATGGCTTGGATCCACTGGTGGAGGAAGAGGGGGTTGGGGGGAGCGCATCGCCCCCAGTACCTTGATCATGGTGGGGTGCCATTGATGCTGCCCCCCCCTCTGCTGGGCGCCACGCCCCCGGGACGCACGCCAGCCACGCCCCCGCCTGCTCTCCGCCACTGCTTGGATCCAGAGGGTTCCTTGTATGAGTGGGAGATGCTGCAGGATGTGTCAGTGATACCCACAGGAAAAGACTTCAGAGCAAGCATCTAAGACAGGCATCCCCAAACTCGGCCCTCCAGCTGTTTTGGGACTACAACGCCCACCATCCCAGACCACTGGTCCTGTTAGGTAGGGATGATGGGAGTTGTAGTCCCAAAACAGCTGGAGGGCTGAGTTTGGGGATGCCTGATCTAAGGCCTCAAATAGCAGAAGGGTGCCCAAATACATTTTGAAGTAAAAAAATGTTTCTCTTTAAATAGCCCTCCCACCATATAAAGCAATTAAGTTCAGCATTACTTAGCTGTGGGTGTGTACCTCGGCACGTGTGCTGATTTAGCCAATTTCCAATTCTTTGCGCTCCGTGACCAAGTGAAACCTGACCCTCTTTTTGGTAGGCAGAAGAGGCTGCAACAGATCAGAGGTGGGTGACAAAGTCCCGCTGCAGATGCTCCAGTTCCTTGGATCAGAGCCAGTACAGTGGTACCTTAGTTCTCAAACGCCTTGGTACTCAAACAACTTGGAACCCAAACACTGCAAACCCAGAAGTAAGTGTTCTGGTTTGCGAACCTTTTTCGGAAGCCGAATGCGCTCCGTTTTGAGTGCCACACTTCCGTTTTGAGTGTTACGCTGAGGTCTGTCTTTGTTATTTATTTTGCGTTTTTGTTTTTGCGGCTTTTTTGTGACTGTGTGGAACCCGGTTCAGCTCCTGATTGATTGTGTGACTGCAGTACATTGGTTATTGCTTTCATTTTATGGATCAATGGTCTTGTTAGATAGCAAAATTCATGTTAAATTGCTGTTTTAGGGGTTGTTTTTAAAAGTCTGGATTAATCAATTTTGCATCATTTTCTATGGGAAAGTGCACCTTAGTTTTGGAATGCTTTGGTTTTGGAACAGACTTCCAGAACGGATTAAGTTTGAAAACCAAGGTGCCACTGTATCATCTTAGCCTCGGATTCACAGCTAATTATTCTACCACCACAGTTCTCAGGGAGTGATGCACATTTCCTTGAGAATGTCTAGGAAAGGAATGATGTAAGGAGACACTGATATCCATTCGGACCCATGTTTGCCACTTGCAGTGCTGTTTCCGTTCTGCTGCAGTTTGGCTTCAGACAAAAAAAAATGTGCTGCATGCTGTCCACTGGGGTGGAATTTTACCCACTGAATTACATTGTTCTGCAATGTTGATTTCAGTGCAAATCAAATGAAAATTAAATGAAGGGGAAAAAACTCATCAGTTGCCTATCCTTTCTGTGGACTGTTGTACTTGCTGGGTTTATTTCCATTCTAGACATGTGGCAAATAAGACAACACAGGGAATTTCTGTTTCCTCCCAAATCCTCTCCAATCCATATGTACCAAGGAGCGTAATATCAACGCACCTGCTTGGCACCTGTCTTTCACATGCCAGGCTGTCCTGAAAGTACGAGGGATGAGTGGAATCCTGCCAGTGCCAAAAACTAGCATTTCCAAACATGAACCTTAGACTACGCGACAGGGTTTTTGCCCTCATGTAGCCTGTGAGGAATTTGTAACTATTTGGATTGGAGATAAATTATTATGGAAATTGTGGGTGGCTCTGACTTGTGGTGGGGGGTCATACTTTACTGTGAAGCTGTTCAATTGAAAAAATAGATATAAAAGGAGAATTCCCTGGATGTCAAGATCCAGGTTTGGGGCAAGTACTCTTTGGTGAGAGCCCTAGCAGAGATTTAAAATCACAAAACTTGCAAGTAAGGCTTGGAAATGTAGGCTGCTAAACCTTTAAAATATGCCCTTGTGAGTTCCAAAACTCCCCTTTTATCCCAGTGTAGGAAAACAGTGGGTTAAACTACAGAGCCTGGGACTTGCCGATCAGAAGGTCGGCGGTTCGAATCCCTGCGACGGATTGAGCTCCCGTCCTTCGGTCCCAGCTCCTGCCAACCTAGCAGTTCGAAAGCAAGTCTAAGTGCAAGTAGATAAATAGGTACCACTCCGGCAGGAAGGTAAACGGCGTTTCCGTGCACTGCTCTGGTTCACCAGAAGTGGCTTAGTCATGCTGGCCACATGACCCGGAAGCTGTACGCCAGCTCCCTCAGCCAATAAAGCGCGATGAGTGCCGCAACCCCAGAGTTGGTCACGACTGGACCTAATGGTCAGGGGTCCCTTTACCTTTAAGCAACAGCAAAGTGATTAAGAAGAAGCAGGAGCTTAAGCACTATCACTATGGACCATAGCAAAGCTATCCAGGCGCACCACAAATTCCTGCTATCCCTCGTCAGGGGTCCTTTACTTTAAACCTTTAAATATGCCCTTGTGAGTTCCAAAACTCCCCTCTTCTCCCAGTGTAGGAAAAGACCACACACTTGGCAAGTTAAAAATTGGTTTACAGTGGTACCTCGGGTTACAGATGCTTCAGGTTACATATGCTTCAGGTTACAGACTCCGCTAACCCATAAATAGTACCTCGGGTTAAGAACTTTGCTTCAGGATGAGAACAGAAATCGTGCTCCGGCGGCGCTGCAACAGCAGAAGGCCCCATTCGCTAAAGTGGTACCTCAGGTTAAGAACAGTTTCAGGTTAAGAACGGACCTCCAGAATGAATTAAGTTCTTAACCCAAGGTACCAGTGTACTTACAAACTCTCCAAAGGTCAGGTTCGTGTGCTTTTCCATACATCAGTCAGAAAAGTTGCACGGTCAGTGAAGCTTGGCTCAGTTACCATGGTGAAAGTTCCTAAATTATTGTCATAGGAACTGAAGAGTGGCTGGCTAAGCCGGAGCAACTAGCTGAGCCTCTTCACATTCTGAGCTTCTCAGGTAGACTGGGGGAGACCAATAGGGAATTGGACAGAGATATGCCTGACAGATGGCTTACTCTATGGTATTAATCCCTTCATGCATTAAACTCAGTATGCATTAATTAGACTTAAGTATGTTGGTTAGCGGGACGCGGGTGGCGCTGTGGGTAAAAGCCTCAGCGCCTAGGGCTTGCCGATCGAAAGGTCGGCGGTTCGAATCCCCGCGGCGGGGTGCGCTCCCGTCGCTCGGTCCCTGCTCCTGCCAACCTAGCAGTTCGAAAGCACCCCGGGTGCAAGTAGATAAATAGGGACCGCTTACCAGTGGGAAGGTAAACGGCGTTCCGTGTGCTGCGCTGGCTCGCCAGATGCAGCTTTGTCACGCTGGCCACGTGACCCGGAAGTGTCTCCGGACAGCGCTGGCCCCCAGCCTCTTAAGTGAGATGGGCGCACAACCCTAGAGTCTGTCAAGACTGGCTCGTACGGGCAGGGGTACCTTTACCTTTACCTTTATGTTGGTTATATGAGGCTTGTTATCTGTGGTTAAACCACAGAGCCTAGGACTTGCCGATCAGAAGGTCAGCGTTTCGAATCCCCGCAACGGGGTGAGCTCCCGTTGCTCAGTCCCTGCTCCTGCCAGGTAAATGGAAGGTAAACAGTGTTTCCGTGCGCTGCTCTGGCTCGCCAGAAGCGGCTTAGTCATGCTGGCCACATGTACATCGGCTGTACGCCGGCTTCCTCAGCCAATAAAGCGAGATGAGCGCTGCAACCCCAGAGTCGGTCATGACTGGACGTAATGGTCAGGGGTCCCTTTACCTTTACTATCCTACAGAAGCAGTAGGCAGGAAGGAGAGCTTAAATTTACCATCACCTGCTTGCTCCCCTTTAGCGTCACAACTGGTGAATAAATATTAAGCGTCCCTCGTTCTTTATTTCACATGGCATCCTCCCCCTGCCATTTCTGCCAAATATGTACTCTGCCGTATTTTCATAAGGAAGTTATCTTATAAAAGTCTGTCCCAGAACTTTTTACTAGGTGAAAAGAAATCCTGTTGGTCTAAACTGTGTTTTAGCAGGCATTATGTAGCGTATTCTGCCATTTGTGTCGCAATGTACATTGTACTTTGATGGGCAGAATCTTTTGTCTAGTCAAATGAAAATTGGTTTAACTGTTGTCATGGGGGGGACCTTAACTGACAACAGAGAAAGGGTGGAAGTTAGAATTCTCAGTATGCAAAAGAGGGATCGAAAGCATGCAAATTCTGATTGGTGGTTGGAGGTTTAGAATTGTTAGTTAGACTATGTGATTGGCTGTGGTGGCCAGAAAAAGTGAATATATGGCAGGGTGCGAGTCAGCCAGAGTCAGTTCCCATCAGTGGACAGCTGGAAGAAGAGTCTAAAGACAGAAGACTTGAGAGGAAGCAGCACTGGATTTAGGTCAGTGCAGGCAGGCCGCCCCCCCCCCCCCGCATAGGGTGCCAAGCTGAGCATAGGATGCCAAGCAACTGATATTTAAAGTGACAGTAATAAGTTTGGGTTAAAGCTGACCAAAAGTCCAGAGGTAGCATTATTATCAATTCATGGTGGGGTGGAAGGTTTGCAGGCTCTGAAGGACTTGATCACAGATTTATTGACAGCTGTACAAATTATAGCTAGGAAGTGGTGGAGGCAAGCAGAATATAAAATGGAAGAATGGTACAAAGAAGTCTGGGATATAGCTATTAACAGTGCTTTTTTTCTAAAAAAAAAAAAAAGTTTAGGGGTGTGGCCTTCATACGGAGCTCCCGGTCGTCTCACGGACTATTGACCCGTACACCACTAATCCGCTGCCACCAACCAGGTCCTCCCTGGTAAAATCACTTCAGTCTCAGTCAGCTTCTCAATTAATAAAGAAGAGTGTATTTTATTTCAGACACAACAAAACTTTTACAGCATTCCAAACGTTTTGCTCTTTACTTTCTTAGTCTTATTTTCCTCTCTCTATCTCTTTCTACCTCCCCACACTCAAGAACCCACTGCCCTAACTGTCTCTCTATTACCAACTGCCTTTCCCAACCAGCCAACCCACGAAATCCAACCAACTATCCGCCACAACTCCCAACGAACTCCTCCCAGAACTGGTTTTATAGTTCCACTGACTCCACCCCCCTGGGTCCTGACAGTGCAACCTATTTAACTATTTCACCTCCAGCACTCTCTCTTATGTTAACGTCACAAGGGGTACTCTCATTTTCCTACTCATATTGAAATACTGTCCCACAATGAGGCCAAACTTAGATTCACAAAATGTTTAAGGGTATGTGTACCCCAGCGTCCCCCCAGAAAAAAAGCACCGGCTATTAATGATAAATTAACCTGTGGCTATTAAGGTAAGTCAGGGAATAGGCAGGAGAAATTATTCTGAGGAGATATGAAGGGTGTTTGTAGAATTTGTACTGTTAAAATGGAAACGGGTCAAACCGTCGCAAGAGGTTTTGAATTTTTGGGAGGTTGGATAGTTACAATGGAATGGCCTCGGTGGTGGGGTGCACATTTTTATTCTTATTTATTTGTGATTATTACTTGGTTAAAATAAATAAATAATTTTAAAAAAAATTAAGTTAGCAAGGTATATACCCATTTATAGTGGCAAAGCTATATTTAAGTAACCACATAAGCTTGTATACTGCATAATCTTGTAATAACTACACACTGATATCTTTGTTAAATATAACAACTATGTCTGACCAGATTTGAGTACATGGCATTAAGTGGTAGCGTTGGTAAGGGTTTAGGGAAACCAATGAAGATGGAAAAGACCCCAACCATTGCAGTGAGTTCTCTTTTATTATATTCGTAGGCTACTTTCAGGCATCCTGTTTATGGAGCATTCATCCTAATGGTTTGTGGCGAGCCTAGACATTGTTCTGCCAAGCAAGGGTCATCCACAGTGCTGGATTTACGTATAAACTAAACAAGCTATAGCTTAGGGCCCCAGTCTCTTGGGGACCCCCAAAAAAATTAAAGGAAAGAAAACTGGATGTACATTTCCAAAATATAAGATAAAAAAACAAATAAAATAAAACCCACATACAGCAACAGTGTTTCGTGTTGTGTAGGCTCCTGTGATGTAGGTAATGGGCCCTGCCTGCTAGCCTGCTCCCTAAAATATCACTGGTTTGCTCATTTCTATATATAGGCTACCTACATTCTGCATGGACTGGTTGCATGGCAACATGTGCAAATGGCTTTAGATACCTATTACCGTAAGTCCATAAATTGGGGTCGCGGATGGCACTGTGGGTTAAACCACTGAGCCTAGGGCTTGCCGATCAGAAGGTTGGCAGTTCGAATCCCCGTGACGGGGTGAGCTCCCGTAGCTTGGTCCCTGCTCCTGCCAACCTAGCAGTTCAAAAGCACGTCAAAGTGCAAGTAGATAAATAGGTACCGCTCCGGTGGGAAGGTAAACGGCGTTTCCTTGCGCTGCTCTGGTTTGCCAGAAGCGGCTTAGTCATGCTGGCCACATGACCCGGAAGCTGTACGCCGGCTCCCTTGGCCAGTAAAGCAAGATGAGCGCCGCAACCCCAGAGTCGATCATGACTGGACCTGATGGTCAGGGGTCCCTTTAGCTTTTTAAGTCCATAAATTACCATATAGCATATATTCAACACAAAAAACAGCGACAACGGACAGCTGGACATATAAAGGGCCCCATTACCTTCAGTAGTTTAGGGCCTCATCAAACCTAAATCTGGCCCTGGTCATCCCACATTTTCCACTGCATTTCCCATCACTTTCCTAACTGCAAACATCTAAACTTTTTGGGAAGCAGGTTTGTTGTGCAGGATCTCCAGATCAGCTTCAATTTGCAGGCTGAATTTGCTGCTGTGCGGCTGAATCTCACCTGAAAACAGCAGCTATCTGAAAGCACCCATAGATTTCCCCATCCCTTTCTTTTTAAACAGCTTTATGCCTTTCTGTTTCATTTGTTTTCTACTTCTGCGTTACGAGGATGGCATACAAATGCTGTAAATAAGTAAAATGCCACTTGAGGAAGCAGGGAGCATGGATATATGCCTGCATTAATTCTATTTCCAAAATGAACCAGGCACAGTGTTCATACAAATCTAGGGAGAAACTTCAAACTAGATTCATTTGTCAGACTATTATAACCGGGTGGCAAGATGCTAAAGAGAATAAGGTGGAATCTACACACATATTAAAAAACGCTGTGAAAATGCTTTTTTTTAAAAAAAAAGTTTTGAAAAATGCATTGAATTTTCCATAGCTCACTGTTGCCATCTAGTGTCACATTTGTATATTGCACTTTACAACACACTTAAAACATTTTAGTTGCAGCTGGATAGCTGAGCTGGATAGCTGAGGGACGCGGGTGGCGCTGTGGGTAAAACCTCAGCGCCTAGGACTTGCCGATCGCATGGTCGGCGGTTCGAATCCCCGCGGTGGGGTGCGCTCCCGTTGCTCGGTCCCAGCGCCTGCCAACCTAGCAGTTCGAAAGCACCCCTGGGTGCAAGTAGATAAATAGGGACCACTTTATAGCGGGAAGGTAAACGGCGTTCCGTGTGCTGCTCTGGTGCCGGTTCGCTGGAGCAGCTTTGTCACGCTGGCCACGTGACCCGGAAGTGTCTGCGGACAGCGCTGGCTCCCGGCCTCTAGAGTGAGATGAGCGCACAACCCTAGAGTCTGTCAAGACAGGCCCGTATGGGCAGGGGTACCTTTACCTTTACCTTTAGCTGAGTCCCTAAGTCTCCTGCATCTTTAATAGTTGAGTAGAAGAGCTTGCAGAACTGGGTATGCCTGTTGAAATTCTACATAACTATTAAAGGTGCAAAAGATCCATCTCTACCCTAAATAAGAAATAACATTAATAACTCAAATAGGTCTTTTAGATGCATTTGTGACTTTTTGGTGGCTGCAGGAAGATAATGTTGTTAAATTTAGCTCAGTCCAAGGAGAGACTTGAGATGCTTACATTTTTTTATTATGCCTACCTTAATAACTGACTCCGTCACACCCCAGGAGAAGTCACAGGGAAACTGGCCGTGGAAAGCTGGTTCTTTCAGAGGAAAGCCGTTTTCTTGTATGATTTCCTTGTAATAAAATGCGGATGATTTGGGAATCCTCTCTTTTTCTTTGCTATTAAAATCTACATAAAACAATCCACGTCGCTTATTGTAGGCATGTTGCCATTCATATCCATCCAGGAGAGACCAGGCCGTGTAACCAAATACATCGATTTGATCGTATTTAATTGCTGCACAGGAGAAATGAAAGTAAAGGGACAATATTAGAAAACCAGACTATGATTTGCATTACAAAGTTTGTACAGTAAAATGGTTTTGGAACAGGATATTCAGGAAGTTCCTTTATACTCAGCCCATTGAGTTATATAGCTTTGTACTGTCTCCATTGGATGGTAATGGTTCTCCATTGTTTCAGAGTGTTATTCCCAAGGTTACTTGGAGATGTCAGTGACTGACTCTTCTCCTAAAGACATATTCTCTGGTGGGACGGACGGACCCTATTTTGAAGCAGGCATTTGCTCTGAACGAAAAGCCTACACTGGTACCAAGTTCTACTGCCTGTGTTTTCTGACTGATGCATGGAAAAGCACATGAACCTGACCTTTGAAGAGTTTGTAAGTAAACCAATGTTTAACTTGCCAAGTATGTGGTGATATTTCTGAACATACTTAGGACAATTATGGACCAAAAGAGGTATGTAGCTTTCATTCTGCAAGTCACAGATATTTCCAGTGATCAAAGGATAGGACCATGTGAATATACTACTAAGAAAAGAATTGAACTAATTGGATATTAGCTTCAGTGTTTTGCCTCAGGACTACAGTGGTTAAATTCCCTTTCTATGCCTGCTGTCATCCTCTTAATTATCTGTCATCTCCACCCTCCTCGACAACTGCATTTTTCATATAAAAAACTGCAATAGGCTGCATGCGTACATACATAAACCATAAGCTTGTTTAAGGCTGCTTATTTGTTTACAGTACCACACGTGAGCCAGCCTGTTTGCATGTATGAATCTACGATGTGTAGAGTGAGGTTTGGGTGCAAATTCCTGTTTGGAGAAGTGAATTTCCATGCTTGACCTGCATGTACATTCGTTCAGATCTGTTGGGTGCATTCAAAAACCCAATGGCTTCACAAACCTTGCAAGACTTTATTAATAAAATTCTTCATCAAGTAGATGACTGTGGTGTCTTCCGTTTTCACGTGGCTGTCGGTAAACCAGCCATTTTCTGCAATCAGGATTCTAGGATTGTTATATTCCAACTTAATCCAGTTCAACACTTCCCTCAGGTCGAGCGAGAAAACTTGTCCCATTTTGGGTAGTATAAAGTTATTTGGACCAAAGGAAAATGCAAAGAAGTCAGCGGTCCCTTTGATGTAGTTCTTCTCGGTCTCAGTACTGTTTGGCAAGAGAGAGGCAAATTCCGTCTTCAGCTCTTCTGGGTAATCTCCATCCCCATGTATTGGCTTGGCAAACCACCCAAGCACTTTCTGCATGGACTGCTGACACTTTCTGATGTCTTCTTCATTCTTGGATCTGCTCGGTTCGATCCAGTGGGATCCCAAAGTGATCGACAAAAACCCTTTCTGTTGTGGTCGGAAATGTTTGTTGTAATTATGCCAGACTCTTGCATGTGCCTAATGAAGAAGAAGAAGAAGAAAATACAAATGGAAACGTCCTATCAGTAAGTATTTTGGATTTGGTGTTAATGTACTACAGTACTGAGGGGGTTTTATTATCATTTTTACAGAGATGCAAATAGATTGGCAACATAGTCAAATGAGAGTCTTAATTGCTCATTCATTCATTAATTATTGTTTGCTAGCAGCCTCACATCGAGCCATAAAATCAGTTCAGTTCAAGATATTTTGGTTTCAGAGACATACAATCTATAGGGCACGTCTGAATGACAAAAATATAATAAATGAAATAACTGAGCCACTTATTTATTTATTACACCTCTGACTTGCCCTTCCTCCACAGGAGTTCAAAGCAGCACACAAGATTCTCTCTCCATTTTATCCTCACAAAAACCTTGAACATTAAGTAGCTAACTTACATGCCTAACGGCAGAGCCAGCCCTATTATTATTATTATTATTTAGGAAAAAAATAAACTGTTTAATAATATAAGCCTAAGTGATGTACATAAGATCGGGGGGGGGGGGTGTTTCAGCCTCTCAGGTGGGCGCCATTGACATTCAAAGAGAATGAGGGAGGTGTTCTGGTGAGTTCCGCATGTCTTTTTCTAGAAAAATAGCACTGCATAAGATAATACAAAATAATTATCAATAGCACATGGGTAAATCAGCAAAATGTTTAAAACAAGTACAGTGGTACCTCGGGTTACATACGCTTCAGGTTACATACGCTTCAGGTTACAGACTCCACTAACCCAGAAATATTACCTCGGGTTAAGAACTGTGCTTCAGGATGAGAACAGACCTCCAGAACAAATTTAGTTCTTAACCCGAGGTACCACTGTACTAAATTATACGTGTGGGTAGGCTTGCTGAAACCAAGACATTATTAGCAGGCTCCTCAAGTAGTATATTATTATTATTTATTCAATTTATATACCACCTATCCAAAGCTCCTAGTGCGCTGTACATTAGGAACATTATTTACTCAGCATAATAAAAAAATAATAATACATAGCATAATAACACACAGTATAATGGTAAAATAATCATAATAACACCCCCCCCCCATTTAACAGGCCATAGATCATTTGCTGGCTGAAGGCCTGGGTAAAGAGGAATGTTATTACCTGGCACCTAAAGACATGTAACGAAGGCGCCAGGTGAGCCTCTCTGGGGAGAGCTTTCTACAAATGCAGAGCCACTCCAGAAAAGGCCTGTTCTTGTGTAGTCATCCTACAAACCTCTCAGGGTGGGGGGGGGGGACCTAGAGAAGACATGGAGAACCTATCAGGGAATGGGGACCTAGTGAGCATCCCTGTCTCATGTTAACTGCGCTAAAAGGTCAGCTCCTCACAGATGTGGAATAACCATTATATGACACTTGTAAGGTGCAAGTTCTGCATATCCAAGCAGTTGATTAGTCATGGATGAGGCAAGACCAGGATGGAATCTACACACACATAAAAAAAACCGCAGTGAAAATGCTTTTAAAAAAAGTTTTGAAAAATCCATTGAATTTTGCATAGCTCACTGTCGCCATCTAGTGGCACATTTGCATATTGCACTTCACAACACATTTTATTTGCAGCTGTGTAGATGAGTCCCCAGAGAAGCTATGAGCTATGCTACTGGGCCCATCACCTCCCGGCAAATAGAAGGGGAAGAAATGGAGGCAGTGAGAGATTTTACTTTCTTGGGCTCCATGATCACTGCAGATGGTGACAGTAGTCACAAAATTAAAAGACGCCTGCTTCTTGGGAGAAAGGCGATGACAAACCTAGACAGCATCTTAAAAAGTAGCGACATCACCTTGCCAACAAAGGTCCGTATAGTTAAAGCTATGGTTTTCCCCGTAGTGATGTATGGAAGTGAGAGCTGGACCATAAAGAAGGCTGATCATCAAAAAATTGATGCTTTTGAATTATGGTGCTGGAGGAGACTCTTGAGAGTCCCATGGACTGCAAGAAGATCAAACCTATCCATTCTGAAGGAAATCAGCCCTGAGAGCTCACTGGAAGGACAGATCGTGAAGCTGAGGCTTCAATGCTTTGGCCACCTCATGAGAAGAGAAGACTCCCTGGAAAAGACCCTGGTGTTGGGAAAGATGGAGGGCACAAGGAGAAGGGGACGACAGAGGACGAGATGGTTGGACAGTGTTCTTGAAGCTACCAGCATGAGTTTGACCAAACTGCGGGAGGCAGTGGAAGACAGGAGTGCCTGGCGTGCTCTGGTCCATGGGGTCACAAAGAGTCGGACACGACTAAATGACTAAACAACAACAAGATGAGTCCCTGTTTTCCACTCCAATGGCCCCTGTTTCACATCTTACTCTTCACGTTCTTTATTTGAGTAAGTTATCCCTGAACCTGAGCACTGTGATCTCTGGAAGACCAGCAGTATGAAAAAAAGCAAAACAATGTTTGGAATGGGATGAGAGAGTATCAGTTTTGCTTAGAAGGGTCATGAAGGGCATTTCAAATGTATTTTACTTCCACGAGGCAATTTGACCTCTCCTCCTGAGATAAAGGTGCATGCCAGATTATCTAGCGTTTACCTTTGCTTCTGACGTGGACTTCTTTGCCTTTGTCTGGAGAGAACATCTCTTTACATATGGAGAAAATGCTGACCAATGACTCAGCAAACTAATTCTGCTCAGAAATTAGTTAACTTTGAAATTCTTACTCACGTTGCATGCATGGGTGTAGCCGGGGGCTGCCCCCCAAATCAAGTAAGTAATAAAAAAATATTTAACTAACTGACCAATCGAGTCACAGATCGCTTGGTACTGCTGATTCTAGTTGCAGAACTTGATTCAAATAGCAACGTAGCAACCAAGTTGAGGACTGCTTCAGACTGGCATCATGGAAGAATCTGCTATCAATTGTTTTATGGGCTTCCAATGCCGCAGTCTATGTCAGGACATCTGCCCAAGGTCTAGACATTAGCATTAACCTTTGAGATGGAGGGAAAAGGGGGAGAAGTCTGCATTCAGGGCCTGTAAGACAGAGTTGTTCCACCTGGCCGTTGGCTTAGAATCAATTTGATTCCCTCCCCCCTTTCTTTTTTCCTTTCTTCTCCTGTGATGAGGCTGCATTTTAATGTTTTAATTGTTTTAATGTTGTATTTTAATATTGTTTTTTAAGTTGTATTTCAATCAACTTGTTTTTATTATTGGTTGTTAGCTGCCCTGAGCCTGGTCTTGGCTGGGGAGGGCGGGGTATAAATAAATTTTATTATTATTATTATTATTAGGCATGTACCAATGAGTCATATCCCTGCTCAACCATGAAACTCTATGGTTGGTGTCTAGTGGACTCAGTAGATTGTTGAGTGATTCAGGATATGAACATAGGATCATACTAGATTATACTAAAGGACTGTCTAATTCAGCATTCTGTTTCCCATGGTAGCCACTCAGATGTTTCCGGGAAACCCACAAGCAATAGTGAAATAGATCTCCTCTCTGAATCTGTCTAATCCCCTTTTAAAGCTGTCTGAGGGCCTGTTTATTGAGCATTCATCCAGATTTGCTTGCAGGAAGGTTAGGCAGCATTAGGGATGCCATATTTCAAAAAGTGAAAATCCGGACAGAAAACTTACCAAGCTTTTATGGGAAGTCGGCAAAAACGGCATTGCCGACATGGGCTGCCATATGCCTGGATTTCCCCGAGCACTTTTCCTATTTCTGCCTGGACACTGCTGCCGACTGCCGCAGTATTCCGGATATGGCTGGGAAATCCTGGACGTATGGCAGCCCTAGATAACATTGGCTATTTAGTAAGCATTCATCTTGATTTGTTTGTGAGGAGGTTAGATAATGGTGCATTGGGTGCTCTCCCACACATTCTAGTGCATGTTCCCATCACTTTTCTTATTGCAAAATGAAATATACTCGGAGTCGAGAGCGGATTTCATACTCTTTATTCAGCTCATAGTGGTGAGGAGGAATGGAAGTTCCCCCAGAATGTCTGCTTTATATAAATTATTTACACAATGGGCCCCATGTGATTGGCTAATTCCGGGATTCTCCTGTAGGCCAATCAGGTTGCGGATTCACTTCCACCTGGAGTTGGATTGGGTGGCTCCTGTGGACCAATCAGACTGCTGCTTTCTGGGTCCTATTGTTCTAGGGCCAATCAGACTGCTGCATTCTGAATCCTGTTGTTCTAGGACCAATCAGACTGCTGCATTCTGAATCCTATTCAACTCAGTACATAACACAAAACATACGATATTTGGGGGGAAGTGGGTTTGTTGCAAAGGACTTCTCAATCGACTATATTTATGCAACTGGAATTTGCCAGTGTCTGAATGAATCCCACTAGGAAATGGCTACTGTCCAAAAGCGCCATCAATTCATCTTGGGGTAGCAAACTCCACCATTTAAGGATGAGGCTGCCTCTTGTACTTCTTGTACCCAGCATGCACTGCTCTGAACTCCTTGCAGAAAGAATTAGATACAAATGTGATCTATATAAATAAAAATCAACATTGGGGGGCGGTTTGGAGACACCCTGCAACTTTCCACCTCTGGCACTTATTCCTGACATCTCAACTTGATTCATGCTCTGACTGATAGACCTCAGCAACAGATTATTAACTGCAAAACAAACAAGCATAAAAGTTAAGACTGACCACAATACATGTATTTTCATTTTCATTTTTTAAAAGCAGATCTTGATTGCAGTTGTTCTTTCCCCCCAGGTTGCTGCTCGATACCTAATCTGCTTTGCACCTTGAAGATCAAGGCTAAATGTAAAGGCTAAGTAGATAGTGGCGGTACAATCAATAATAGGTGCTATATCCTTGCAGGTACACGGGATTTTCTGCACCTTTCCCTGTTCCTCGTGCATTTGATGTACAATGCTAAATTAGTTAATATAAATCCATTAGGAATGCTTAGAGCAGTCAGGAATGTACTCCTGAACAGATATTAATTTTTACAGTATTGCAAGAGTGGAGCAGCAGCTCCTATTTGTAGTTCACAACATGTGGACTGCTTGTAACAGACTAAACAAGTTCCTGAAACAGAACTCTCTTCTTAACTAAAAAGTCTGCATTGCCATTTCTTGATCTGGACGCCTTGCTTTATCTTGCTTTGATTTGTTTATATCCCTGATTTTGAATATTTCTGGAGTACCCTGGCTATGTGAAATTTAACAAAGAAGTGGCAAAATTAAATCCAAATATCTTCTGCTTCTGCAAGGGTGTCCACGACCTCTTGTGCAAGCTTGAGGATGGCTGCATGTTGCAGGATTGTGTGAACGCTTGCACAAGCATTTACAGCAGATCTGCACCAGCAGATATTTATTTTCCCTTACACTACTGCTTCTTCTGATCCCATTGCTTGTTTACCATCTGGGGAGGAGCAGGGGTTCTTGTGAGCCAAAAGGTAAAACTGAAATAGAGCAGGGGGAGCTAATTTGGTGCCCCCCCCATATCATGTTGTTGGACTACATCTCCCATCAGCCCTTACCACTAGCTATGCTGAACAAGGCTGATGGGAGTTGGAGTCCAACATCGTCTGGCAGATACCATGTTGGCTACCCATAATACAGTGGTACCTCGGGTTACATACGCTTCAGGTTACATACGCTTCAGGTTGCAGACTCCACTAACCCAGAAATAGTACCTCGGGTTAAGAACTTTGCTTCAGGATGAGAACAGAAATCGTGCTCCGGTGGCGCAGCGACAGCCAGAGGCCCCATTAGCTAAAGTGGTGCTTCAGGTTAAGAACAGTTTCAGGTTAAGAACGGACCTCCGGAACAAATTAGGTACTTAACCCAAGGTACCACTGTATCTGCAACAAGGCTGGGGGTGTAGCTAAAGTGGTGCTTCGGGTTAAGAACAATTCCAGGTTAAGAACGGACCTCCGGAACGAATTAAGTACTTAACCCAAGGTACCAGTGTATAGGGAAATGAAACAAATAAGTAAAAACTCGTGCTGTGGTGACGGTTCCAGTTTCCTGTTAGCTTCTGAGCCTTTGTTGCAGAAAAACAAAATGAAAAAGCCTGTCCTGCACTTCTGTCATCTGTCAAAAATTGGTTTTGCTATGTTTATACGGTTTTCTCCAAAAGTCACTGGAAGGCAATGCTATACCCTCCAACGTTTTTCCAATGAAAATAGGGACATCCCATTCCATTATGATAGTTTTACTGTTTATACCTCACACACCTTACTGGGTTGCCCCAGCCGCTCTGGGTAGCTTCCAACATACATAAAAAACATAACAAAACATTAAACATAAAAAAACCCCTTCCCTATACATGATTGCTTTCACATGGCTTGGGGGTCAGATAACTCCATACCCTCCAACATTTCTCCAGTGAAAATAGGGGCGTCCTAAGGAAAAGTGGGTGGTGCTGTGGTCTAACCACAGAGCCTAGGGCTTGTCGATCAGAAGGTCGGTGGTTCGAATCCCCGCGACGGGGTGAGCTCCCGTTGCTCGGTCCCCGCTCCTGCCAACCTAGCAGTTTGAAAGCACATCAAAGTCCAAGTAGATAAATAGGTACCGCTGCGGCAGGAAGGTAAATGGCATTTCCGTGCGCTGCTCTGGTTTGCCAGAAGCGGCTTAGTCATGCTGGCCACATGACCCGGAAGCTGTATGCCGGCTCCCTCGGCCAATAAAGCAAGATGAGCACCGCAACCCCAGAGTCATCCACAACTGGACTTAAAAGCCAGGAGTCTGATACGGTAAACGGGGGGGGGGTCCACCCTCCCACGTCCGAAACGATGACCTCAAGAGCGCCCACTACACTCTGCACCCCTTCCCCAGCCTCTTCACTGTCGCACAAGCACCACACACAACCCTTTTCCCCTTTTCCACGGGCGAAATAAGCCCAAAACTCCCAAGCCCCTATCCCTTCTCTCGCTCCATCTTTATTATGAGTCGACCGTGTCAAAATACATCCCCGTTTGTTCCAATGGCCGCGTATTGACCAATCAGATACGTGCATCTGCTCTGCAGAACCAGCTCAGCGAGCCTCTGCACGCCTCATTTAACCTCTTGACAAGCTGCTGACAGCTCCCCGCTGAGAGAACAATGGAATCGAAACTCGTAACCTCGTAAAACTGTCAAACCCTGTTACAATGTATCCAGTTTAGCTCGTAAAACTGTCAAATGTATCTAGTTTGTTTCCGTTTTCTATTATTATTGTAAGAATGGACGAAATAGACTGAAAACTTCTTAAATTCATATAAAATCAACCCCTTCTCCGATTTCCTTGGTTCTGGTGTCAATCGACTCAGCCTTTCCAGGACTCCATAATCCCTCGAGCGAGGAGTCACGTACTCAGGAAGACCTTAATCTGGTCAGATCACCTCGCCCAGCCCTTCCTCCGGGCAATACCAGGTGGCAGACTTTACATATTCGGACCATTGTCTTCTCATCACCGGTACTCAGGAAGTGCTTATCTATGCATATCTTCAGCTCTGCATATTCCCTCCTCCCTGTCCTCTATGCTAATCCGTGTAACCCAACCTCTCTGTGATATCACCCATGTAACCCAACCTCTTTGTAATGTATTCATGACGCGTTTCGCACTGTATTATGGGACATGGAGGGAAGTTTCAAAAACTCCTGTCACCCCTTACTCGGGGTTCAATTTCATCTTGAACCTGTTGCGCAATAAACTTGGATTTCCTGGAACTTGCTCCCGTCTCCGGCTGAGCTCATTTTCTCCCGCAGGGACCCGCGGACTCAGTCCGACGAGGCTGGGTGGCAGAGTAACCCCGCACCCAGATTTTACCGTAACAGTTGGCGCCCAACGTGGGGCTGGCGGTTCTCCCGAACTGCTGACCGGGGGCCCCGAAATCTTCAGCCGGCTCCGGGCCATTTTGCCTGGGAAGATCCTTTTGGACCTCCGGCCATCTTCCGGGCGGTAATCGAAAGCCCTAGGAGTTCAGCCGGGGAGCAAAGAGGGATCCAGCCGGCTTATTCATCGATCCCGGGATCATCGTAGAAGACGCGTGAGTATAGGAAAATCCAGTGCACTGGTGGGTAGGGGTGGAAGTCTCCTGGCAACTGAATTCTCTGCCCTCCTCTCTATCGTTCCTTCTCACCTTTCTCTTGGTCCGGTTAGCGAGAAAGACCGTGGACCACCGCTCGACCCGAAAGGGGGGTTCTGAGCTCTATCTCTTTTCTGAACCCTCCAGCCAGCCGCACCAATTGGGAGCCCGAAGTAAGACGGAGAGAACCGACTTCAAAATAAGCCGACTCTCCGCAACGGGCATCTCAGTTGAAAGCAAGGGGTTGGAGTTCTCTTTCCGAGCTTCCCGAGCGTCCTTCCTAGGAGGCAGGAAGTGGTCTAGCTTTTCTATCCCAATCCCAGCCGCACCGGTCGGACCACGTGCATCGTGAGCCCGCTTCCGAAAGCAAGGGGGATTTTCGATTCGGAAACCTATCCGGGGACCACCCGATCTGGCACCGCACAGCGCGGGCGTCCAGTAGGGCTCCCTTTTCTGAGATTGTAACGCTAGGTAGGAGGTTGCCAGGAGGGATAGCTCATGAGGAATTGGGCGGGTTTGGCAGAGTGGAAAGGGACCCCTGATTGTTAATTAAGGACAAGGAGGAAATTAGGAAAAGAGAACTAAATATTAAGAGCTCACTAAATCGTTAAGAGGTTGCCAAGCAACGAGAAAGATACCCAGGCCCCTATAAACCCTTACCGACCCTATATCTCTCTCCCTTTTTCTACCCAGACACGCGTGAACCATAAAATGGGTACCCAGGCTTCCAAGCACGAGCGGGCTCACTCTGGGAGGAAGGCTTCTAGAAAGCCATCCCGGTCCCAGAGGGACCCTGACTCTCCTCTCGAATTTGTAATCATCCATTGGAAGTCGATTCCTGGCCACAAACTTCTATCGAAGCAAAAACTAGAGAACCTCTGCACAGAAATCTGGCCCGCCAACACCACTTCCGCCCGACCAGAATTACGTTGGCCCAAGGGAGGTTCGTTTAACGAAGACCGACTGAAACACCTAAGGAGACACTTAATGGAAGAAAAACCCCGCCAGTTAGAATATTTGGCAGCCTTCGAGACAGTTAAAGGATTACTCCAAGTCTCGAAGGGAGCACCATCGTATCAGCTGCCCATATTAAATCCCGGAAGGCAGCCTATGCCCCCCCCTTACGAAGGACACTTCGCTGATGATACAGTAGAACAAGCCCTGGTTCCCTTCTACTATGGGGAACCGACACCACCCATCCCTAGCGATAGCTCGGATAGTGACGAAGAAACGGGGGATGGAGGGGCACGAGGAAGTAAGAACCAGAGGCTCACGAGGTTACAAGCCAGAAAGAACAACCCCATCGTAGAAACCCGTAGCCTTACAGAGCGCCCTATAGAAGAAACCGAAGAAACCCCGGGAACTTCTGGACAGGAAAGTTCCACAGCGGTCCAGATGCCCCTAAGGGCCCTACCGATTCCGCCCATCCAACCCGACGGGGCTCCCCGGATGGTTTATACGCACCAGCCCTTTTATACTGCCGACCTAGTAACCTGGTCAAATCAAATGCCCTCTCTAAGGGATGACCCAGATAAATGCCATCGCCAGATCAGCGCCATCTTTTCCACTCACAACCCCACTTGGCCAGATGTCCACGTTCTTTTAAACGCCCTATTCAATGAAGCTGAAAAGGCGGACATTCTGACCAAAGCCGGAGAGGCCATAGAGTCACCGGACTACCAGAGGGGACGTCCCGCGGCATTAGCGGCCCTCTCAGCCCAGTGCCTGCGTATAGAACCTACATGGGACTACAATACCACCAACGGGATTTGGTGCTTAAATCTATTTAAAAGGGCTATCTTAGACGGTGTAAAAGCCGCTGGACAGCGTACTGTCAACTGGACCAAGGTCCAAACTGTACTACAGGGACCAAATGAACATCCATCGGATTATTACACTAGATTGGTCTCCGCCATCAAGACCTGGGGAGGGATAGACCCGGAGAACCCCCAACATGAAGTAATCGTTAAGGGTTTCTTCAAAGACCAGGCCAGCCCAGATATAAGAAAAGCCCTGAATCTCCAAATAGGATATGATGGGAAGAGCGTTAGCGAAATCTTATCCATCGCCAAATCAGTTTATAACTCTCGGGATGAAAGGAAACGAAAGGAAGCAAAACCTGAGACTGAACACATCTTAGCGCTGAGCATGGAGCCTAACTCCAGCCGGGGCAGAAGTTTTAACCGAGGAAGAGGGGCCGGGGAGGAGGACCCCCCGCTCCCCACAGACCATGGGGACCCAACACCGGAGGATGCTATTACTGCCAAGAAGAGGGACACATAAAGAGGTTTTGCCCCTACCTAAACACCACAACCTATGGAGTACAAGGCTCTAAACCCTTTCCGGCTCAGACCAATTATCCTCCTTTCCCGATGCGCCCACATTCCAACATGACCCAGGGATATGGCAACCAACAACCCACTATGCAAGCACCTCCAAACCACCGACCTCAACCGGGCACACAGGTTCAAATGCCCGCTATGACTCCAGCCACTCATTCTTGGGCAAATGCCACCGCTCATCCCTTACAACCCCAACCAGCCACCTCCTGAAGATCAAGACACATACTGACAATTAAAGGGGAATCTCAGTCCGGCCCAAGCCATCTACCCTGTCCTAGCATTATCGCCAGATGACCCTATCTGCACGATTGAGATCGATGGCCACCCCTATCGATGTTTATTAGATACGGGAGCTACGTATTCGACCCTGACTAGCAGCCACCTAGAACCCGGGTCAGAAACCAAGAAAGTTATGGGACTGGACGGGATACCCCGCACTTGCCCTCTCTCACAACCGGCCAAAGTCACCCTCGGACCCTTATTGGCGGAACACACCTTCCTCCTAACGAGCAGCCCAGTGAATCTCCTTGGCAGAGACCTACTCTGCAAACTCAATGCCACCATAAAATGTTCTGAAGATGGCATCTACCTGTACATGCCCGAAGACTCTGTCCCTGCCTTTCAAGGCATGGTATTAGAGGAAAAATTAGATCGCCAGTTTCCCGAACTTCCCCCAGAACTAGAGAATGAATTACCTCCTTCACTGTGGGGCACGGAATCAACTTCTGTAGGATTGCTATTATCTGCCACCCCGGTAAGGATTACCTATAGAACTGATCGGCCCTTCCCTTGCACCAAGCAATACCCTCTACCCAAAGAAGCAATCGACGGACTGACACCTATGATAGAAGATTTCCTCAGCAAAGGGATCCTTGTTCCCTGTGCGTCACCTTGTAACACCCCAGTGCTCCCCATAAAGAAACCCTCCACAGAAGGAGCCCCAGTCCGGTACCGTTTTGTCCAAGACCTGAGACTGGTAAACCAATTCGTAATACCCCGCCACCCAGTCGTGGGCAACCCTAACTCCCTCTTAAATGCCATCCCGGCGGGAACAACCTGGTACTCTGCAGCGGATCTATGCTCCGCCTTCTTCAGTATACCCTTGGACCCCGCCAGCCAATTCCTTTTTGCATTTACCTGGGGACCCAGCCAGCTAACTTGGACAAGGCTGCCCCAAGGCTACGTAGAATCACCCGCGATCTTTTCCGCCATATTACACCAGGACCTACAGGACGTGTGCCTGCCTGCTAACTCCGCCCTCCTTCTCTACGTAGATGATATTTTATTGTGCTCTACTAGTGAAGAGGCATGCAAATTAGACACTAAATATCTCCTCTCAGAACTAGCCCGGAAAGGACACAAGGTGTCCCCTAAGAAGTTACAATATTGTAAACAGGAAGTAAAATACCTCGGGCACATCCTAGGAGTGGGTACCCGAAGCCTAGCCACCGACAGAATCGAGGCCGTTACCAGAATTCCCTCCCTAAGACTAAGCGGCAATTACGCGGCTTCCTTGGTATGGCAGGCTTCTGCCGAGCATGGATTGCCGGCTATAGCGAAATAACGAAGCCTTTAACCGCTATGACCCGCCAAGACCACCCAGATACCCTGGTCTGGGAAGAGGAAGCTTATAAATCCTTCGAACGCTTAAAAAGAGAATTAAGGTCCGCTCCTGCTTTAGGACTGCCAGACTACCGGACTCCTTTTAACCTGTTCATCCATGAACAAATGGGAGTCGCCTCAGGGGTCCTAACCCAACCCTTCCGAGATCAGGAAAGACCAGTAGCCTATTACAGTCTACAACTAGACAACACCGCAAAGGGAGCAGTGAGTTGTTTAAGAGCTATTGCCGCCACTGCGATCCTCCTTGAGAAAGCCCAGGAAACAGTCTTGGGACATGAAATTACCATCCATGTTCCCCACTCGGTCTCCACCCTCTTAACCTTGAGAGGTTGTCATCACTTCTCAAACTCTCGCCTAAACCGATACGAAGCCCTTCTATTAACCCCATCTAACGTCACCATCAAACGCGTCAATTCCCTGAATCCAGCTACCCTATTACCCCTTCCTGATGATGGCACCCCACACCACGACTGCGCTACCATAGTCCGCCAAGCCGAGAAACCGCGGGAGGATCTAGACCACCTTCCCTTAGAAAACCCCGACCTCATACTGTACACTGATGGCAGCTCAAAGGTCATCGAAGGGGAAAGGAAGACAGGGTACGCAGTCGTCTCTGACTTTGAAGTCCTGGAATCCAACCCAATTAACCCACAGTATAGCGCCCAAGCCGCTGAATTAATTGCACTCATACGTGCTTGTGAACTTGGCGAAGGGAAGAGAACCACCATTTACACGGACAGTAAATACTGCTTCGGGCTCGTACACACAACCGGTCAAATTTGGCTTCAAAGGGGCTTCTTAACTGCAGCCGGCTCCCAAATTTCACACGCCGCCCTAGTAGAGAGACTTCTTACAGCCATTCACTTACCGAGTGCAATAGCAGTAGTCCACTGTAAAGCACACACCAAAGGGAGGGACCCGGTCTCAAAGGGAAACAGACGGGCTGATAAAGCTGCCCAAATTGCTGCCCTTCGCCCCCCAAATAATGAGTCCGAATTTCAAGCCTTACAATTACCTACAGACATAGACGCAACACAAATATATGATTCAGCCCCAGAGGAGGAAAAATCAAAATGGGAATCCGTGGGCGCAACTGAACAGAATGGTATTTGGACCCTCCCCGATGGCAGGACAGTCCTTCCAAGAGCCTGGGTTCCAAAATTAGTGAGAATCCTCCACCAACAGACTCACTGGGGAAAATGGAGATTAATAGACCACGTTACGAGGTCCTGGTACGCCCCAGGGATAGCCACCGCAGCTACAGCAGCCTCCAAGAACTGCATTACCTGCCATCACTTCAACCCCAAACGTGAGCCCAAAAGGAAACCACCAGGAGCTAGACCGTGGGCCTTTGTCCCCTTTGAGAGTTTACAGCTAGACTTTATCGACTTACCCCAATGCCAAGGCTTCAAGCATGCCCTGATTATAATAGATCAATTTTCCTCTTGGGTGGAGGGATTCCCCTGTCGAAAGGCCACCGCATCGGTAGTCGCTAGGGCCCTCCTTCAAGACATCATTCCTCGATATGGGATACCCCGCCGCCTAGACAGTGACAGGGGAACTCACTTCACTGCAGAAGTGGTACAATTGGTGGCCAAAGCCCTCCAAATAAAGTGGGACCTTCATACACCGTACCACCCACAGTCCTCTGGTCAAGTAGAACGTATGAACCAGGAGATAAAAATGCAACTGGGAAAACTCTGTAGACTCTCGGGGCTGAAATGGGTAAATGCACTCCCACTGGTCCTTCATAATATACGAAGTGCCCCAACAGGACCTTTGAAACTTTCCCCATTCGAACTTCTATTCGGGAGACCCCCTCCCGTATACAACACCTTGTTTCCTCTCTCAGAACTGGACGTGGGGGAGGCGGAACTCACTAACTATATTATTCAGCTTCAGACACAGCTACTACGCCTCCACCAGTACGCGGCTATCGAGGGACAAAACCTGCCTATTGACGTCCATGCCCACTCTTTCCATCCCGGCGACTGGATCCTCGTTAAGGTCTATCAGAAGGCGCCGCTCCAACCTGCGTGGGAAGGTCCTTACCAAGTACTACTGACCTCCCCGACTGCCGTGAAAGTGGGAGAGAAAAACGCGTGGCTACATCACACGAGGTGCAAAACATCCCCACCACCCCAAGAGACGCTAGAAAACCCCGAGGAGGACTACGCCTACGAGACCCCACCCCACTCGCCGGCTACCTACATCGACGACGACGAGGAACAGACCGGACCGGATCGGGGCCAAGATCGGGCTCAACAGACCGGACCGGATCGGGGCCAAGATCGGGCTCAACAGACCGGACCAGATCGGGGCCAAGATCGGGCTCAACAGACCGGACCTGACCGAGGCCAAGTTCGGGCCCAACAGACCGGACCTGATCAGAGCCAAGTTCCGACCCAACACGCCAGACCGGACGTTACAGCACCTAACTGGACGTCCGAGATCGTCCCAGACTCCAACGCCATCAAACTTCGCCTTAAGTGCCTTTGACAGCTCGTTTGACAGCTCGTTTGACAGCTCCATAGACTGCTATTACTTGCCTTTGACAGCTTGTTTGACAGCTCGTTTGACAGCTCCATAGTCTGGTACTACTTGCCTTTGACAGCTCGTTTGACAGCTCGTTTGACAGCTCCATAGACTGCTATTACTTGCCTTTGACAGCTCGTTTGACAGCTCGCTTGACAGCTCCATAGACTGCTATTACTTGCCTTTGACAGCTCGTTTGACAGCTCGTTTGACAGCTCCATAGACTGCTATTACTTGCCTTTGACAGCTCGTTTGACAGCTCGTTTGACAGCTCCATAGACTGCTATTACTTGCCTTTGACAGCTCCTTTGACAGCTCGTTTGACAGCTCGTTTGACGGCTCCACAGACTACTATCGCCTGCGTCTGACAACTCGATCCGCAGCTTCAACTACCCCCCCCCCCGCCAGGAGCCATGAACCCCACCACTGCTCTCATCCTCCTTGTCACCCTGACTGCGACAACACCTTCCTCGTTGAGCCACTGCACTGGACTACAAACAGACTACCATTTCCTCGACTATCACAAGGTCGAAACGGGAGGGAAGTCCAACCCGGACCGAATGGGGGACTTTGAGTTCTGCCTTCCAGAATCTCGAACTCTACTGCGTCATTCCCTGGTACCCCGGCTCACCGACAGCGCATACTGGGAACTCTTCATCCGAGATAAGGACTTACGTCGCATCGGGTCAGCTGCCCTCACACTTGATCACTCCTTTTACCGGCTGAAATGTTATAATGGAACTTACCTACTCTATAACAACGGAGAAGTCACACGCAGCCCTAACTGGACCGAGGCCGAACTGGGAACGGCCTCCCACGTATACACAGACCCCAATCACCCCTCCGAGAACTTGATCTTTGGGTTCCAGTGCCTCCTCACGACCCCAAAACCCCACAAGCCCCAACTCCAAGGACTTTGCCTCAGACGATTCTGCTGCCTTTGGAACTTGGGAGTCACCCGTGATTGGAAGGGAGCCGACTACCTAGAAGGGTGGCACCATCCCATACACCCCTCACGCTCTCCTTCATGGGACAACGTTGGGCCTCTGAGGTGCGGCGGCATTGCCCGGGATAGGCGGCTCCTAAATACCTCTGACCCACTCCACCCATTTGGCACTGCACCTCGACGACTAGGCCCTGCACCTGCCCTCCCAGGAGAAGACCTTCTTTCCTCCTGGGAACAGAACTCCTACATCAAACTTCTCAGCCAGGTCGCTAAAGAAGCACCATACCCCGATTGCTGGATTTGCGCTCATGCTCCCAGCCACCTTCAACAGAGTCTACCCCTGGTCCCGGTGCCAGTGACCTTAGAACAATTTCGCTCCGGAGATGTCGTCTCCTGGAACCTAACTGCATTAAATCTAACACACCAATATCTGTACCTCACCGGCCCCACGAAAGGACCCCTTTGCCGCAGTTTCACTGGAGAGGGAACCTTCATCGGATCCAGTACCTGCAATACTGACTTAGAAATCCTAGCCGATGGCCAAGTCACCATCACTGACCCACGTGGTTCCCAGACCTTCCCCAATCTCACCATTGCATGGGCTACTGCTGTCAGCCAACCCCCCACCTGGCAACCACAACTCACAGACTTTATGCTGTTACAGACTTTTGCTTCAGGAAGGATGGAATCTTACCTCAGTGGCTTATTCTGGATTTGCGGACACCGCGCATATACTTGGGTGAGCCCACACATGTCGGGCTCCTGTTTTGTGGGGTACATCGTCCCCGGAATTAGAGTTGTCCCACACCTGCCCCCGGAAGACAGAGGAATAAAAGGGACCAAAACAGCTGTCAGACCTCTCAGACGTTGCTGCAAATGGAGAAACCGTAGGCCGTGCCCTCTTTCCCGCCTATGGAGCCGGATCTAACCATGTAGACATTCTTCGCCTTACAGACATTCTCCTCAAATTTATGCAAGAAGCCACTCAGATTACCGACTCCTTGGTGTCCGAACTATCCGAGGTAAGACAACTCAGTCTACAGACCAGGATTGCAACCGACTTCCTGCTGTCTAGTCAAGGAGGGACATGCGCCCTAATAGGAGCTGAGTGTTGTACATATGTAACCGATCAATCCCTCAATATAACTGGACATTTAAATAATATCCATGAACTAGCAGGAAAGCTACAAGATATACAACATGAAGGGCTGTCCGATGTAGACTTGTGGGGATGGTTACCCAAGTTAGGATGGCTCCGACAGTTACTGAAAGTCGTAATTTCTACTGTTTTAATTGTTATCCTTTGTGTCCTGACCCTCTGTTGTGCCATACATTGTATTCCTCCCTGCTGTTCCCTTCTTCGCTGCCCGACTCAAGCTACCTCTCTCTCACTCCGAGCGTATTCCCGCTCACAGCGTACCCCTACTTTCCCAGAATATGTACAGATGAGGCATTTAGGGAAGGGGAATACGAGATCACTCAGATCTAGGTGCGGAGAAAGGATTTGCAAGTTCTTGCAGAACTTTGACGCAAATCTATCTCCGAATGGGGGACTGATACGGTAAACGGGGGTCCACCCTCCCACGTCCGAAACGATGACCTCAAGAGCGCCCACTACACTCTGCACCCCTTCCCCAGCCTCTTCACTGTCGCACAAGCACCACACACAACCCTTTTCCCCTTTTCCACGGGCGAAATAAGCCCAAAACTCCCAAGCCCCTATCCCTTCTCTCGCTCCATCTTTATTATGAGTCGACCGTGTCAAAATACATCCCCGTTTGTTCCAATGGCCGCGTCTTGACCAATCAGATACGTGCATCTGCTCTGCAGAACCAGCTCAGCGAGCCTCTGCACGCCTCATTTAACCTCTTGACAAGCTGCTGACAGCTCCCCGCTGAGAGAACAATGGAATCGAAACTCGTAACCTCGTAAAACTGTCAAACCCTGTTACAATGTATCCAGTTTAGCTCGTAAAACTGTCAAATGTATCTAGTTTGTTTCCGTTTTCTATTATTATTGTAAGAATGGACGAAATAGACTGAAAACTTCTTAAATTCATATAAAATCAACCCCTTCTCCGATTTCCTTGGTTCTGGTGTCAATCGACTCAGCCTTTCCAGGACTCCATAATCCCTCGAGCGAGGAGTCACGTACTCAGGAAGACCTTAATCTGGTCAGATCACCTCGCCCAGCCCTTCCTCCGGGCAATACCAGGTGGCAGACTTTACATATTCGGACCATTGTCTTCTCATCACCGGTACTCAGGAAGTGCTTATCTATGCATATCTTCAGCTCTGCATATTCCCTCCTCCCTGTCCTCTATGCTAATCCGTGTAACCCAACCTCTCTGTGATATCACCCATGTAACCCAACCTCTTTGTAATGTATTCATGACGCGTTTCGCACTGTATTATGGGACATGGAGGGAAGTTTCAAAACTCCTGTCACCCCTTACTCGGGGTTCAATTTCATCTTGAACCTGTTGCGCAATAAACTTGGATTTCCTGGAACTTGCTCCCGTCTCCGGCTGAGCTCATTTTCTCCCGCAGGGACCCGCGGACTCAGTCCGACGAGCTG